AATTTATAATAATTGATTTCTTTCGAACATTTTTATTGAAATATTTGAAAATAATTGAATTCCTGTGAAAAATTCTAATATTTTTGTAAATAATTAATTTTTTCGAGGAATTGAAATTAAATTTTTAAGAATAATTATATTTTTCGAGCAATTTCTGTAAAATTGTATTAAAATAATTGAAATCCTGCGATGAATTTTATGATTTATGAAAATAATTGAATAGTTGTTAAGAATTTTATTCAAATTCTCAAAAATAATTGAATTCATGTGGAGAATTTTATTATTTATGAAAATAATTGAATTATTGCAAAAAATTTTATTAAAATGTTTAGAAAGAATTGAATTTCTGTGAAAAATTTTGTTATTTTTGAAAATAATTGAATTCTTAGTAAAAAAATTGAATTTCTGTAAAAAATTTTGCTATTTTTGAAAATAATTGAATTCTTGGTAAAAGAATTGAATTTCTGTAAAAAATTTTGCTATTTTTGAAAATAATTGAATTCTTGGTAAAAGAATTGAATTTCTGTAAAAAATTTTGTTATTTTTGAAAATAATTGAATTCTTGGTAAAAGAATTGAAGTTCTGTAAAAAATTTTGCTATTTTTGAAAATAATTGAATTCTAGTTCGATTTTATAAACCTTTAAATAATTAATTTTTTCGAAATATAATAAATATTATGAAAATTTTATTTTAAACAATTGAATTCTTGTGGAAAATTTTATTTGTGAAAATAATTGAATTTTTCGATTAATTAATTAAAAATAGTATTAAAAATAATTGAATTAATTCTTTAGAATTTTATAAAAAAATTTTTTAAATAATTGAATTTTTATGAAAAATGTTATTAGTGAAAGTAATTGAATTATCGTCGAATTAGAATTCGTATTCGAATATTTGTGAATATTTACGATTTTTGTTTTTCTCATTTATTTTTATAAATTAAAAGCGAGGGAATCTCGTCGGTATGACTCACCTAACCATAATTTATTTTTTCCGTTTTTATTCCATGCATAACTATTGTATGTCTCACCAAATGACGTGTTCCTACTTATTCAATGGAATATGCATAAATAATAATAAAAGAACAAACCCTTTTCAAATGCTATTGAGATAAGAATTTATTTCGCTTGAAATAACGACAAATATCTAAAAAGATGTAGGTCTTCGAAACAATTGCCTATAATCATCTGATTAAATATTACATCGAAATATTTTGAGCACTCTTTTAATAACAATTTGACGTAATAAATTATTTAACAATAAAACTATTATTGTAAAGTCGATTACAATTTAATGTAGATTTCACTACCGTATAGAGATACATTTTTGTATCAACAAATACATTTGTTGTTGGTAATATAACGTTTATAAATTTTCAAATTCGCTATTATATATACTACAACAAAATCTTCTACCTACAACCATCTGATGATTCTGTTCTATTTTCTCTTCGGATTTTGAAGTATTTTTGAAAAAATATTTTCATTAGACGTGCAGTTGTTATAACATTGTCAATAATGTATAATTTATTTATCAAATTTTCTTTAAATTTAAATTCTGATATTTCAGGTAACAAAAATCTTTATTATAAAAAGTGTGTCAAAAATAGTATTATTATTATTTAATAATAATTCTATCCTTCGTTCGAGGAAGGGTTAACTTATTGTAAATGAAGAATCGAGATTTTTTTCTAATGACTATTGGATGACAGACTTAGTACAACTGACAGGAAAAATAATCTCTTCCTGCAGTTGTACAATACACTTTTTTTAAAGCTCATTTCGTTTCTTCTTTTAATCACGATTAAAAATTAAAAAAATAACTACCAACATTTAATTTGATTTGGTAAAGAATTTTTAAAACTGTTTAATTTAGAAATAAAAACAAAAGTTTTTCGGAAAAAATGTTACAATTTTTGGATATTTTTTTGAAAAGCAAAAGTTTTTCGTAACGTAAAGTGTAACATTGTTAGTAACATAAAGTGCAATATTATTTATATTGAAAGTTTCTTTTCTCTATTGTTTCCTTTTTTTTGAACAATATTTTAATTCTTGATAGATGTGCGCAAATTTGATATGTAATCTAAACACTACTTTCTAATTAATTGGCACGTGATAAATGTGTTCCAGACCATTTTTCTCTTACAAACTACACGTTAAATTTCGCATTATTGTAAATTTAGAACAGTGTTTAAAAAATGGTACATACAATGTATAATAAAGAATAATTCAACTTCATGCATAGTTTTAAGGCGCATGCAAGTCAGGTAACTATAAAATTAAATTCAGGCCTCGAGTCGACTTCAAGGCGCCGAAAAAGTCGATTAAAAATAGAAAGAAAAGTAAAAAAAAAAAAATTAGTTTATTTTATTCAGTGCAGTCGCAAAAATTTCTGACTTTTCACTGATTTCTAAAATCAATTATGTATTCGAAAAAATAGTCGGAAAAAGTCCAAAGAAAATTATTCGAGGCCTGAAATTTACTTCGTAACTATAACGTTGAAAAACGAAAAAGAAAATTATTTTTTAATTGAATCTATAGAATTTACGTCAACCTTTAAAAAATGGAAGAATTCTTTTTTTTTTTATTTTGAATCTTATAGTGAAAATATTATCAGGGTTGCCACAAGGAATTTAATTTTGTTTTTTCCTGACTTTTCCCTGATTTCGAGATAAAATTTTGACATTTTCCCTTCAAAATGTATTTTTATCATTATTATTCAATTATTATTTTTCAGAATTTTTAACTAAAATTCATCTTTAAATAAATTATTTTTAATAATTTTTAAAAAAGTTCTTTTTGAGAATTTTTAAATCCATTTATTTAAAATTCAATTATAATTAAAAATTTCGATCATTTGGAAATTCTTCAATTCAATATTTATTAGATAATAAAAACTTCAAATAATTTCAAACTAAAATTCAATTTAATTTTTTCAAAAAAAAATTAATTCTACAGAATTGTTCGTTAAAAATATGAAAAAAATTAGATTTTCAAAGATTTTAATTTGAAACCTTTGAAAGATTTAATTATTTCTAAAAATTTACGCCAGAATGCTTTTAATATTTATTTATTTATTTAATTATTATCTAAAATTTTGACTGAAATTCAATTTTAAATCAATATTTATTAGAAAATTCTACGAGAATTTAATTATTATTTAAATACAAAAAGAAATAATTTATTAAATAATTGAATGTTTCTTAAAATTGAATTCTCATACAAAATTTTATTATTCATGAAACTAATTGAATTCTTTTAGAAAATTTTGAAAATAATTGAATTTTGGAAATTTTTATTAGAAAATTCTACAAGAATTCAATTATTTGAATACAAAATAATTAATTGAATAATTGAATTATTCTTTGAATTGAATCTTCTTATATAGAAATTTATCAAAATTGTTTTTAAATTTAATTTTTGGTGGAAATTTATTTTAAATTGTTTTAAAAATCATTGAAATTCTACGATGAGTTTTATTATTTATGAAAATAATAATTGAATTTTTATAAATAATTTTATCAAAATTTTTCAAAATAATTGAATTTTTGTCAAATAATTTTAGTAAAATTTTTAAACACAATTACATTTTTTCGAAGAATTTATTGAAAATCTAATAAAAAATAATTGAAATCTCACGATGAATGTTATTATTTATGAAAATAATTGAATTTTTATAAATAATTTTATCAAAATTTATCAAAATAATTGAAATCACCGTGAAAAATTATATTTTTTGTAAAAATAATTGAATTCTTGCGAAGAATATTATAAATATGTTTTTAAATAATTGAATTCCCACGATGAATGTTATTATTTATGAAAATAATTGAATTTTTACTACCAATTGAAATTTTTTAAATTAATTAAAATCACTGTGAAAAATTATATTTTTTGTAAAAATAATTAAATTCTTGCGAAGAATATTATTAATATTTTTTTAAATAATTGAATTCCCGTGACAAATTTTATTACTTGAAAATAATTGAATTCCTCTGAAGAATTTTGTTAATTATAAAAATAATTGAATTCTAAGAGAAATTTTATGAAAATAATTGAATGTTTGCGTAGAATTTTATTATAAATTTTTTTAAATAGGTAATTGAATTCTTTTGACGAATTTTAATAAAATTTTTTTAAATAATTAAATTTTCCAAGGATTTTGATGAAAATTGTGTAAAAAATAATTTTGAATTCCAGCAAATAATTTTATTATTATAATTTTTTAAATAATTGAATTCCGGGGACAATTGTGTTATTTGTGAAAATAATTGAATTCTTACGAAAAATTTTTCTAAAAGTGTTTGGAATATTTGAATTCCAGTAAAAGTTGTTATGCAAATTCTATTTTAAATAATTGAAAAGTGAAATTTTGTATTAATTATGAAAATAATTAAATGTTTGCGTACAATTAGAAAATTTTTTTTTTAAATAATTGAAGACTTTTGAAAAATTTTATTAAAATATTAGACATTAAAAATCATTAAATTGAGGAAAATTTCTGAAAATAATTGAAATTTTGCCAAGAATTCCATTAAAATTTTTGAAAATAATTGAATAATTGCTGGGACAAAGAATTTTGCTTTTCATAACGATAATTGAATTCTTGACGAGAATTGTTTCAAAATTTTGGAAAATAATTGAATTTCCTCGAAGAATTTTATTACTTTTGAAAATAATTGAATTCTTCTAAGGATTATTGTTCTTTATCGAAATAATTAAATTGTTCAAAAAATTTTATTAAAATTCCTGAAAATAATTGAATTTCTGTGAAGAATTTTGTTATTTATCAAGATAATTGAATTCTTTTGAAAAATTTCCATTAATATTTTTAAAAATAATTGAATTACGGCGAAGAATTTGAAAAAAAAAGAAATAAATTATTGTCAGAAATAGAAAAAATTGAAAGTTTTTTTATTATTTTCTTACGAATTTTAAAAATTAATTTTTTCCACTACTTTTATTAAAAATTCTGGACTTTTTTTCTGATTTCCCTGACCAGTGGCAACCCTGATTATTTAAGAAGTTTTAGAATTTTAAATCGAAATAGTCAAGATTTGTGTTTTGATTTAATGTGAATTGTGACTTTTTTTTTTGCTAAATCGATGTCTTTTATGAATGTAAGTGCAATTCGGCTTTTATATAGTTTTTTCTGTCAGTCGACTAATACTGAAAATTTTCGAGAAAAAATGTCTTCTTTAAAAGGGTGTATAGAAAAATTGAGCTTTATAGTATTTTTCAAAAAATTGACTTGTATCAAAATATCTATAGGACAAAAAACCCAAAGGACCCATAAAAAATATGGATTCATCTCCACATCGTTTGTTTGTGTAAACTTCGAGTGTATTCGAATTTTTTTAGTCATAAATAATAATTTATTTTCGGATGTGTATTTTTCAACACAGCACATTTTAAAGGCAATGGTTTTCTATTCTTCAGTGAATATTTTTTTCTTTTCTCAACAATTAATTTTTTGATATTCCTCAACAAGTTCTATTATTTTTCTATTCTGAGCAAAAACTAAGTTGAAAAAATCAGACAAAGAAGTTGTCTTCGTTAATTATTATTCTTTAAAATGCATAAAATTGTGTTGAAAAATTTAAAAATGTGTAACGGAGAATTTTTGTTATTTTAGTTTGAAAGATTTTTTTTAATGGATTGAAAGCTAATTAGAAAGAAATTTGATCTAAATATGGAAGCATGCAAAGTATTTAAGTTTAGGTCATTAATTTCTTATATAGAAAGCTTTGTATTGCACAACATTCTACGCTATTTGAGTGCAAAATATATTTTTTTAATTCACTAACAGCTAAAATTATTCCAACATTTTTTTTTTGTTTTCTAAATCTGAACTTATTTGCGAAAACGATTAGCGCCTTTATTGCTTTTGCCTTGAGATCATTTCATTTTTCTCTCAAGCAATTTTAAAATAAAAATGCTCATTTTAAAAATTAATAAATAATTCATATTTTCCAAAGCTATTTTAAGTTTTTTTGATTTCATTTTAAATCAAACGTCGAATATTTTAAATAATTTTTCTTTGTTTATAAATTTGCTTCGAAATAATAGAAGTTTGGTTTTTTCAACAAAGAAAATTGTCATCTTACTTAAGTTGAGGAATTTTACTTCGGCCTATGATTTTGTTTCGTAGAACGTTGAAGTGTCCCTGTACTTGCGAGAGTTGGGCCCTTAATGAATCTGACAATTGCTTCTGTAATTGATGAACTTCGAGAATATCCTGACGCAATGTTTGATATTCTTCCTTCACTTGTGTCACTGAACGCAGAAGTCTCAGTACAGAAATCTAAAATTACGAAATTCGAATTCAAATTAACACTCGGACATTAAAACTTTATTATTATTATTATTACAGATTTCGCACTCGATAATTAATTTTAAAAAAGTAGCAAAAAGTAGCTTTTGAACTAAAAAAGTAGTAAAAAAAGTAGCTATCGAAAAATTAAACATGACGATAAAAAAAATAGTTTTAGACACTTCACAAAACTGACAAAAATTCCATTCTATATTTTATTTTCCTGACTTTTTCCCAATTTTCATAAAAAATATTTACTTCTTTCTTATCCTGCTAATAAATTGAATTCTTGCAACGAATTTATTATTCATAAAAGAATTTAAATATTTATAAAAATAATTTAATTACTTATAGAAATAATTTAATTCTTGCGAAGAATTTTATAAAATTTTTTTAATAATTGAATTTAAAGTAGTGAAAATTCTCGAAAAGAACGAACAGAAATAGTAGCTTTTAGTCTCTGAAATCTAAAAATAGTACCCAAATAGTAGCAAAACGTAAAAAAAATAGTAAATAGTAGATTTTAGAAGAGTGCGAAGCCTGTTACATTCTTGAATTTTTCCAGAATTATTCACAAACCAATGTCAATCATCAGCTATTATCAATAAATATAATATTCAAACCCTTTTTTGCTTCCACATAGAGAAAGAATTGAATTTTTAATTGTTTTTGCAACAAAAAGGCCTAAATATACTGCAGGGTAAAAAATATTGACAAACTATTGCAATGATACCCCGCAATCACTAGATTTAATCACCGAAACTGATTATTCTGACTTAAACATCACTTGAAATTTACATTATCAAAATATTATTATTACCTCGCTTTCGGGATCTTGAAATTCTTTTTCAAAAACGTCAATTTGCCAGGCGATCATGTCCAATTTTCCGTCAGCTTTCTGGACCTGCAGAAATGAAAACAAACATTTAAAGACACTGTATGTTTATATTTTGCCAATAATTGTGAGTGGAGCAAAATGTATATTCAATATTGCAAAAGGAGGGTAATTTCACTTACGCTCTCTTCTAAATTCATGATTGCCGATTCCATCTTTTTTCAGAATTTCCTTCCGCAAGTATTATTTTTATGCATTGATTTTAGCCTGAAGCCGTTGACAGAACACAATTAACTATAGTACTGGGCCGACTATTTAAAAGGAAACTTTGAAAAGTGACCGTCAGATGGCGTATAGGTCTTTTTAAAGTAGAGTTCTACTTTATCTTCGGCAGGTAACAATTTTGCTAATAGTGGCGGGAATTTTGATTCAATCTGATAATTAAACACTAAACAATTTAACTTATTGAATTAACTCAGAGTAATCGATTAAATCATGGAAATAATATGCTAGGAATGATTAATAAGACATTTTTTCCCCTTAATGAAAATTCATTAGAATTATTTTATTTTAAAAACGTAGAATTCTTTTCTTTTTACAAACAAATATTATTAATTCTTCTAATTCTTCAACATGTAAACAAAGGTGAACAGTGAATAGAAAGGATTTTTTTAACCTTGAAATTTCTCCTGCAGTAGTTTTTCCAATTTACGGATATCAACTGAAAATTTACGAATACCATCGCTCAATTTATCAGTTGCCATTTGATCTTCATTCAGCATCCATCTGAATTGTGATTCGTTTAATGAAATTTTTTGCAAATTACATTTCTTCGCTGTCTCTGCGTCTAATGTCTTGTGAATAACTTCTTTGCTTTTCTCCAATTCTTCGAGAAGTTTGGGACTGATTGTCAGAAAATCACAACCGGCTAGTTCTTTAATTTCACCTGTGGGAAAACGAAGAGAGAATTTTTTATTTAAATTTTTATTCATAAATACTAAAAATAAATAATAATAATAATAATAATAAATAAAAGTAAATAATAAATACTAAAAATACGCAAATACGAAACTAAAAACAATTAACTAAAACGTTAGCACATTTTGTGTCGCATACTTACCGACATTTCGGAAAGAAGCGCCCATTACGACTGTTTTGTAATTAAACTTTTTGTAGTAATTGAAAATTTTTGTCACTGAAATCACTCCTGGATCGGTTTTGCCTTCGTATGACTTTTTCTCTGTGTTTGACACGTACCTGTCGAAATGATAAAATTCTTCAAAAAAAAAAAGTAATAGTTTGAAAGTTTAGAATTAGAATTTTCTTCTAATTCTTAATTAAGAAATTTTTAACAAAGAGAAAGAAGACTCAAGAAATTTTATACATACCAATCGAGAATTCTACCAACGAAGGGAGAAATTAGAGTCACTCCAGCCTCAGCGCAAGCAACGGCTTGAGCAAACGAAAACAATAGAGTCAAATTGCAGTGAATATCGTACTTTTCTTCTAATATTCTGCAAGAAAATAAATTTATCAATAATTATAATAATAATAACAAAAATCAATATTAATAATCGTTGTACAAATTGTAAAATTCTTCACAAAAATTCAATTATTTTCAGAAATTTTTAAGTAATTCTGCGAAACAATTCAATTATCTTGATATGCAACAAAATTCTTCCCATAAAATCAATTATTTTAGGGAATTTAAAAAAAAATTCTTCTCCAAAATTCAATTATTTTAGGGAATTTTAATAAAATTCTTCTGCAAAATTCAATTATTTTGATAAATATCAAAATTAATCACAAGAATTCAATTCTTTTGAAAAGTAATAAAATACTTTGCTGAAATTAAATTACTTTCAATTTCAAATTCTTGCAGAATTTTAAAAGAAGAATTTTATTAAAAAATTTGAGAATAATTGAATTCCCTCGAAGAATTTTCTTATTTATGAAAATAATTGAATTCTCGCGAAGAATTTTATTCAAATTTTTGAAAATTCTAATTAATTTCATTTTGAAGAATTTATTTGAATTTCTTTGAAAATAATGGATTTTATTTAATAATTTTAATTGAAAATTTTGAAAGTAATTGAATTTTATGAACAATTTCTTTCAACTTTTTAAATTAATCATGGCTGTTAATAATTATAATTAAATATTTTATTATCGAAGTTTATTAAAATTGTATTAAAAATAATTGAATTCCTGAGGAGAATTTTATTATTTATGCAAAATAATTTAATTCTTGCGATGAATTTTACTATTTACAAACATATTTGAATTCTGCCTTAAAATTTTATTGAAAATAATTGAATTTTCACAAAGATTTTACTATTTAAAAAATAATTCGATTGTTTCGTGGGATTAAAAAAATTTTTTTTTAATAATTGAATTCTTTCGTTAAATTTTATTAAAATTTTGTTGAAAATAATTGAATTTTTGCAAAAAATTTTACTGTAGTTTAAAAAAATAATTGAATTCTTCCGAAAAATATTATTATTTATCAAAATAATTTAATTCCTTCAAAGAATGACGAATGTTATTATTTATGAAAATAATTGAATTATCGCGAGGAATTTTATTAAAATCTTTAAAAATATAAAACAATAATAATAATTAATTATTTACTTAATAAAGTTGAAGGCAAATAATTAATTTGTCATAAAACAGAAAAAATTTTACTCACTTTGCAGCTTGAATTCCTTCCCATGTACTTGCAAGTTTAATGAGAATTCTGTCCTTGTGAATGCCGGCATTTTCGTAAAGTTCAATCAATTTTTTTGCCTTCTCAATACTGCCTTCCTTATCGAAAGACAATCTGGCATCAACTTCAGTAGAAACTCGGCCTGGAATTATTTTCAATATTTCCTGACCGAATAGAACGCAGGTCATATCTAATGCTGCTTCAATTTGTTCTTCCAAAGTTCTGTATAGGGAAAAATAAAATATTTCTCAGTCTACTTGTGTAATTTTATTTATGTATATAAATAATAAAATTTTAGAAAATTTCTACTAACGTGCCAACTTTTTTGCCATATTCCACTGCTTTGTCTATTAAGTGCGAATATTTACTCTGATTAGCCGCTGATAAAATTAAAGACGGATTTGTTGTCGCGTCAGTGGGCTTGAATTGTTCCATTGCTTTGTAAAAGAAGAAAAAATTACGAATATTAATTTATTTCTGATAATATTTGCTATTTAATAAAATTTACTAAATACTAATATTTAATATTTACTAAATACTAATATTTATTATTTACTAAATACTAATATTTACTATTTAATATTAACTAAATATTAATATTTACTAAAATACTATATTATTAACGTAAGTGATGCATTCCCAAAAAAGTTCTTAAAAATCAAACGAATTATAGGTTATGTTTGCGTTAGATTTATTTTTATGAAAAGTTCCTTTCTAATTATGTAAGTTTGAAACCTGGTTTGTTTCAATATTTTAGATGCAATGAAAACTTGAACATCAATAATTTGTAATAATAATTGATTCTCTTTCTGTATTTTTACTCCAAAAATTGTAAACATAACCTAAAATTTTTCGGTATCTTGGCAGCGCGTCAAATATTTGATGTTAATTAGTATCATTAGTATATAGAAAGTAAAGTATTATACTTTCTAATATTCATAAAATAAAATGTACATAACAAATCGTTCTAAGCAGATAATAGTTTTATAATTCATTTCATACAAATTCTGCTTTTCATTTATTATGTAATTGAGGTAAACTTAAGTATATAGCAGTAAAGCATAATAACAAGATAATAAAGAATGCTATTTTTTTAATATCTATACGATTATCATATACATAATAATGAAACAAGTACACAATATATCTCTGTACATATATTATGTACACATGTTTCATGTTTACGAGTTTAATAAATTTATGAAATTTATTCAAGCATTACCTTCGCCTTTAACCTAATTTATATTATTTTTTCTATCATTATGTCAAGTCATAGTGTTAAATGCGCTAAATATGTAACAAGTATAGAAAATTTAACTAACCTTGAAAATCACCGGTATCGGCAACAATTGTTGTCATTGTTTTCAATTGCTCGAGAGTGTTTCCCACTTTTACCTTTTTACACTGTGGTTCACCCATTTTTGCAAAAATTTATTAAATTTTCTACGACGAGATTTCGTTCTTGTAATATTTATACAGAGAGAAAAATGCGTTGCCCGCGTGGTTGTTGCAGTGAGAGAGGAGAAAATGTACTAAATCACGTGATGATAGACGATGAGGATGATAAATTAGTGCTTGAAAAGCATTATTCTGGCAAAAGTTTTTGAAGAAGGCTATTTAATTACAAGAATAGAAAGAAAGTTTTTAGAAAATTTTCTTGATTCGGAAATAAGGTTTAAAGGCAAAAATTAGTTTTTAAAATTAGTGTTATTTTGGAATATTTTTAAAAAGATTTGAAACAATTTTTAACTTCTGCGCACAGGGTTGGGCAGTTGATACTCTTTTAGGCTCTGTTCACATGTCTGCGTTCGAGTGATTTTCCGTTTTGATATTTTCAAATTTCGAAGTTTTGAACAGTTGAACTTTCTAGATTTTGAATTTGCAATGTTTTGAACTTTCGGGATTTGAATTTTCTAAATTTTGAACTTTCGGGGATTTTAATTTTCGAGATTTTGAACATTTGGGGAGTTGAACAGCCTTGAACTTTCGATATTTTTGACATCTGTACTGTGAATTCGACTTTATAGCAGGGTTGGGTAAGTAAAATAGTATAGCAGAAGCACGTGTTGTGAAATGTGTTTTGATTTCAGAATTTAAAAACTTTAATATAAAGAAACAATTGTTATTTAATTTCACTTAATTTGTTATTTATTGATAATTTATTTTATTTATAATAATCGTAAATTTTTCTTCATTTAAGAAAAATGACAAGTCGTTTAGCGGTGGTAAGTAATAGTATTTAATTTTTAATATTTATACTAAGTACTTTTATCAAAAAAGTTTTTATTTACAAACGTTATTTATTTGCAATTATAATAACATTTATACTATTAAATTGTTATAACTGATCAATAATATTAATAATTATTCTAAAGAAATAAATGTCCTTTAATATTGTCACGATTATTATTCCTGCAATAATTTGATTAAAAGTTGTAAACATAACCTCACTTTCTTAACGTCAATGACGAAAATGACCCAAGCGTGTTCATTTAAAAATAAAAAAAGGAATTAAAATTAATATTTATTATTTATGATTTAAATTTATTTAATAAGTAAAATAATTTTTGAATTAATAGGTAGGAGGCGATGATTTGAACGAAAAGTCAAAGACATTTGTATTCATAGGCGAAGGTCACACTTTAGGTCGTGCACTTGTTACAATAATGCAAAATTTGTAAGTATTGTCGTATTGTATTTTATTCACTATTTATTATTATTAATTTATTATTAAACTTAGTTTCTTTTACTGAAAATTTTAAAAGTAATTGAATCTTATGAAGATTTTCTTTTAAAATTTTAAAATAATCGTGTTTATTATTAATTGTAATGAATAATTTTCCTATTAAATTATATTAAAATTATTCATAGAAAATTAAATTCTATTAAACAATTTTACTAGAATTTTTGTAAATAATTACAATTACCAGTTAGAGAAATTTTATTAAAATTTAATTTCTTAGAAGAATTTTATTATTTACAAAAATAAATGAATTCTTGCCTAGAATGTTACAATTTATAAAAATAATTGAATTGTTTCGAAGAATTTTATCAGAATTGTGGCAAATAATTGAATTTTTATTAAAACTCTTGAAAATAATTGAATTAAAATAATATTTTTAAAAATAATTGTATTCTTTCGAGAAATTTAATTAAAATTGGATTAAAAATAATTGAATTGCTCTAAAAAATATTATTATTTATGAAAATAATTGAATTCCTTTCGAAGAATTTTATTATTTATGAGAATATTTTAATTCTTTCAAAGAATTTTCTTATTTATGAAAATAATTGAATTCTTGAGGAGGATTTTACAATTCATAAAAATAATTGAATTGTTTCGAAAAATTTTATTTGAATTTTTGAAAATAATTTAATTTTTTGAAGGAATTAAATTAAATTAAATTTATATTAAAATTCTTTAAAATAATCGAATTTAATTAATATTTTTAAAAATAATTGTATTCTTTCGAAAAATTTTATTATTTTTCATTTGCTAGTTTATTTTATAATTAATCAAAATGTTTTTCCATTAATTAAGTATTAACTCAATAAAAAATAAAAAACATTAATTAATAGTTATTAATAAAAATACAATTATTAATAATAAATAAAATTTTGTTAAAGTGCTGACGTGATGTTTTGCTCGTACACAATTTCGCATCCAAACGAAGACAAAATGCTTCTGCGAATACAAGCAAAAGAAGGACGAGCGGTTGATATTTTACGAAGAGGTCTCGAAAATTTGAACGACGTTTGCGATCACACGATAAACACCTTCGAGCAGGCAATGAAAGATTTTCGAGATTCCACATAAGTATAAATATCACATAAATTTTTTTATTAAACCGCAATCTTGTAAATATATTCACAAAAAAATATTAATTTAAAAATTTTTTAAATTTCACCTTAAAAATAAATTTTTCTATACTTTACAAATATTCCAGGATTATTTACAATAAAACCTAAAGTTCCAAAAAGAAATGTTGAATATTTTTTTTATACATTATAGAAAACCTAAAGTTCAAAAGAAAAATTTTAAATATATTTTTAAACATTAGAAAGACATTTTACATTTTAAATGTACATGTAAAAATTTTTTGCAAAAAAAATAAATTTCTATCAGTCTAAGAGTAAAATTTGCAGCAGAACTAGATTTTTCTCTAAATTATTACTTATATTAAAAACTAATTTCGAATAAAACTGATTTATTTTTTTTTTAAAAACACAGTATTCCCATAACTTTTAGGAGAAAGAATACAATAAATAAAATACTTGTTATAATTAAAATTAATTTCTATCATCTGATCTTAAATAAAATATATAGATGTACAAAATTATCATAATTTCGACGACTCTCAAATTGGTCGTTGTCCTGTACTTTTTATTTGAATAAAAGATTCAAGCATTTCCTCCAACGACCACCATTTGTAAGGAGCGCCGACGCACACTTTCGACGAAAACACATGATTCACGTAAATACCTAAAAAAAATGATATCCAGATCCAGAAAATTGGATGAAACATTAATTCTTTCAGCATTGTTCTTATCCTCGAAAAATTAGTTTGCCTAGGAACAAAAGATTTTTATTAATTAAAAATTGATTCAGTTGAAAAACTTGAAAGAAATTATATTCATAAAATTCAATTACTTTCAAAATTTTCAATTAAAATTATTAAAATAAAAAACTCCAATATTTTAAAAAATTTAAAGAAATTCTTCAAAAGAATTTAATTAGGATTTTTCCAAATTTTAATAAAATTCTTTGCAAGAATTATTGTTATGAATTTTTTTTAATAGTAAAGAAGAGATACCTGTCTTGAATTTGTTCGAGGGAGAAATCTTCAATAGGCGGTGACTCTTGGGGAATGTCTTCCTCTTTATGCGACCAAATTTCGCTCTCAGCACTTTCACATGACGTCGAAATCAAGTAACTCGAATTTCGAATAAAATTATTATTTTCCTCCCTTGAATTCCGTCTCGACTCGGCTTGCTCGAATATTTCACGTAATTCGCCAATGCTGCTCGAACTGCTACTCTCAAAAAAATTATTCTAAAATTAAATCCTTTTAGGAAAATGTTTTTGAAAAAATATTTAAATGATCGCGCAGCAACCCACGGGTGATAAACAAAATTTTCTGCAAGCACAACAGTAATAGCGAATCATTATTTAAAGCTCAAAGAGGATTAGAAAAATAGTTTTTTATTATGTACTTTTTTAATTTATCTATTAAACTTTAAATATTTAAATTGTTTTGCAACAAAAATTAAACAAAAGCTTTTTGTGAAAATGGATTTTTAAATTATTCACCTAAATATTTATTTAAGTAAAAAAATTTACTAATTTTGGAAATTATTCACCTAAATATTTATTTAAGTAAAAAAAATTTACTAATTTAGTAAATTATTCACCTAAATATTTATTTAGTTAAATAAATTTACTAAATTAGGCATTTTTATTCCAAAAAGTATATAAATTTTTATAAATATTGATATTTTTTTTATATAAAGTGACGCAAATTAGTAAAATTGGTATCAATTTTTAAAAATTTTTATACAATTTCTAATCCTCTTGGAATGAGTAAAATTTTGAAAAATAATTATTTGAAAACTTACTCTGTTCGGAAAAGCTTATCATTATCCCATTTTTGAGTGTCGTAATTCAGTGACGGCCTTCTCAAAGTAACGCGACCAGAAACGGAATTTCTCTGTCGGGTTCCTTCCTGTTGAAAACAAAAAAATCAAAATTTTATCAAAAGCTCCACAATTATTTTGTTCTGAAATTAGTTTTTAAAATACATGGCATGCTGTTATTATTAGAATTTGTAAATATTCTAAAAATTCCCTTTTCTTACTAATTTTAATTCAAATTCTAAATTTTCCATTTTTAATTTTCTCAAATTCACAAATTATTTCAGCTAAAATCAAATTTTAGATTAAACTAAATTAAATCGAATCAAATTAAATTAAAATAAAATAAATTGAATCGAATTGACTTAAATTAATATAAATCGAAATGAATTAAATCAAATTTAAAATAAAATAAATAGAATCGAATTGAATTTAATTAAATTAGATTAAAATAAATTAAATCGAATTGAATTAAATTAAAATAAATTGAATCGAATTGAATTAAATTAAAATACATTGAATCGATTTGAATTAAATTAAAATAAATTGAATCGAATTGATTTAAATTAAAATAAATTGAATTAATGTTTTAAAAAATAAGCAGAAAGCACACAAAGTTATAAATCACACACTACATGAAGCCAAAAAAAAAAATTATTTCGAAAGGAGTGATTATCATTCTCCAGAGGAATCCAGTTTAATTTGCGTCTACGTTGCTTGCAGCTGTTAAAGACTAAAACTATTTAATTGGCAAAAATTGAAAATCAACAGATGAAGAATATAATTAAAATAGGAAAAATTTTATATTAGCAAACTCGTTGCCTTTAGGTCTTGCTGACTTCCCAAAGGTCTCGATATCGCCGCAATGCTAGCTCTCCTTCTAGCCATCTAAAAAATCAAAATCGAAAGAACATTCTTTAATTTCAAAACGAACAGTGTGACAATTATAAATTCTTATAGCAGAAGCCTGGCGTGCAAGTATTAATTTGCAAATTGAACAATGAAATTTTATGTCCTAAAATAGTCGAAGGAAAAGGAATCACCAAAAATGCTGTTTCAAGAAAAAAAGGATTATTTTTGTTGTGACATTTTTTTTGTTTTAGGATAATTTGGAAATTCGGAAAATATTGAAATTGGATTTATAACATAGAGTTGCAAAAATAAAAATTGGAAAGAAAATAGTTCAAAAGGAGAAAAGGAAAAAAGGAAAAAAAGGTCGAAAGGAGAAAAGCGAAAAGAAAAAAAGTTCAAAAGAAGAATTAAGTCAAAAAGGAAAAAAGTTCAAAAGGAAAAAAATTCAAAAGAAGAATTAAGTCAAAAATGAAAAAAGTTCAAAAAGTAAAAAGTTCGAAAGGAGAAAAGTTAAAAAGGAAAAAAGTTCAAAAAGAGAAAAATTCAAAAGGAGAAAATTCAAAAAGGAAAAAAGTTCAGAAGAAGAAAAGTAAAAAAAAAAGGAAAAAAGTTAAAAAGGAGAAAAGTTAAAAAGAAAAAAGTTTAAAGGAGAAAAGTCAAAAAGAATAAAATTTAAAACGGAAAAAAATCGAAAAGGATAAAAATCGAAAAGAATAAAAGTTGAAAAAGATAAAAATTAAAAAACCCAAATAAATAAAGATTCAAAAAGGAATAAAAAACAATTAAAACAAAAGTCAACTAAAAACATTATTAATGTAATCAAAAATATAAATTCGTGAAATAAAAATAATTTTCAATTCCGAAGAACACTGGAGCGAAGAAAGAACTTCGTATGAAAAGAAATGTATGAGAAAAAAAATGAAAGAAGCTGCGAAAATAGCAAACAAGTGTCTTTCAATATTTTCGAACCATCGTACGATTATTGGTAGGCACAGCGCGATACCGAATTCGAGGAATATCGTCGCCCAACTCACTGGGATGTTCCTCAATGAAGATGTTGTTCTCCATCAGGATTCGTCTGAAATTCAATGACAATTTCTATTTGTCAATTTTCATAAAAAATTTTCCCCTTATCTCGAGCTAATTCTAAAGGATAATCTGGTCGGAAAGGGCGAAAGAAAAGAAAGGAAGAACAACGCTTAAATGTTCTGCGAAAAAAAAATTAAGAAAGTGATATAAACAAAAATAATTAAATAAATAAATTATTTATTTAAATTTTTCTAAATTTATTTAAATAAAAATTCAGGGAAATTAGAGTCAGTTATTTAGGAAAAATTCAAAGTACAGTCAATAAATTAGAAATAATCAAAGTAAAAACAATTCAATTATTTTTTGAATCTGAAAATAAAAATTCACTTCTAAACTTTAATAATAGTTTAGAAAAATAATAAATTATTAATCATTTTAAATAAATATCCAATTATTATACTTTTTATCAGAGACAAAACAATGTGGAAAATTTAAAATCAGTAATTCAAATCTTTCAAAAATTATTTTTGAATAATTGAATTAAATTTTCGAAATATACCAATTTTAATTCCTATATTAAATCGATTTTGAATAATTGAAATTTTGTAAAATTTAATTGAAAATAATTGGTTTTCTTTTAAGTATTTTATTACAATTTTTTAAAATCAACTTTTGTAGAATTTCAATTTCAAATTTTGAAAATAATTTAATTCTCAAAAGATTTTAATGAAAAAAAAATCTTCAAAGTGCAAATTTAAAAATAAAAATTATAATAAAATTTATTAGAATTTTGTAACAATAATTTAATAGCTTCGAAGAAACTGAAAATTCTTTCAAGAAATTGAATTAAAATTGTATCGAAATTAATTTATTTCTTGCCACGAATTTTATTCAAATCTTTAAAAATAATTGAATTCCAGAGAAGAATTTTATTATTTTAAAAGATAATTGATTTTTTTCAAGCAAGTTTAATTAAAAATGTATTGCAAATAATTAAATTCCTTTAAGAAATTTTATTAAACCTTTAGAAAAAATTGAATTCTGTCATTTATTTATTTTCTTGAAATTATATAGAAAATAATTGAATTGCTGAGAAGAATTTTATTATTTTTAAAAATAATTGAATTTTTCCGAAGAATATTATTATATTTATGAAAATAGCCGAATTCTTGCGAAGAATTTTATCAAAATTTTCGAATTTAATAAACAATAATAATTAATTAATCTGAAGTTATTCAAAAATTTATATTTAAAAATTAAAAATTTTCTGATTTGCATAATAATAATAAAAAATTTAATCTTTGCGAAATAGAATTGAAAGCGAAAATTGCTTAGAAATCGCTTTAAAATTCGAGAAAAATAGAAAAAGGTAGAGAATTAGCTCGAGAAGAGAAAAGAGATCTCACGAATCCTCACTTGGTCTCGTTGATCTCACTGGAGAGTTTTTCGTATCTGGACTTTAGAAGTTGAAGATAACGATCGGCGAGTATAGCCGCCCTGGAAATTCGACGTTCCTGATGAACGGCACCGAGAGTTTCAGCAACGCAGGAAACCCTGTGTGCGCACTGGGTGATCATTTGGAGCTGCAATCTCACTTTCTCAACTCTATCGAGGGATTCCCTGTCGGTGCAGAGTGGTGCGAGATCCTGACGTTTTGTCAAAAATTTCATCTCTTCAACTTGGATCAAGCAAAAATAGATCGTCTCGTCTCGTCAATTTTTTTTTTGTTTTTTTTTTTTTTTTGAAAATATTCGACTAATTTCGACAGAGACGCGACAATTTTTGCTTTCTAAAACTTTATAAAAAGTTCTTCTATTTCTAAGGTACTTTGGTGTTCTCGCTTGCCTGTATGTCCTGGTGCATTCTCTCCACCTCGGCCGTCAGGTTCCGCTCGGACTGATCTCTCTGCCTCTGGGATAGCGTCAATCTACGGGAGAGTGTCATCCTGTCCGTCCTGAGGCCCACCGAGAATGACGTGTACTTTTTCTGCAAAAAAAATGTATTTTTCAGTACTTTTTTTCGATCTCAGACACAAAAAGATACTTTTTTCTTCGCTGTAATTCAATTATTTTCAAAAATAATAAAATTCTTCCCAGGATTTCAATTATTTACATATATTTAAAAAAAATTCGTCGCAAAAATTCAAATATTTACGTAAATAATAAAATTCTTTAGAGAAATTCAATCATTTTCAATGTAAATTAAATAAAATTTCATAGATAATAACATTTTTACAGGAATCCAATTAGGTATATTAAAAAAATTCTTTACAACAATTTTAAAATAAAATTGTAATAAAATCCTTTGCAAGGATTCAATTATTTTCACAAATAATATAATTCTTCAAAGAAAGTAAATTTAAATAAAATCCGTTGTTAAAATTCAATTATTTTAAAAAATTTCCATAAAATTCGTCGCAAGAATTCAATTATTCTTAAAAATAATAAAATTCCTTTAAAAAAAATCAATTATTGTCAAGAATTTAAATAAAATTAGTCGCAAGAATTCAATTATTTTCCATACAATTTTAATTCAATTTCTCGAAATAATTTTAATTTTCTTCGAAACAAGTAAATTATTGTCACAAAATTTTAATGAAATTCTTATCATGAATTGAATTATTTTCATAAATAATAAAATTCTTGGTATATGAATTCAAATATTTTGAATTTTAATTAAAATTTCTTGAAAGAACTTTATTTTATTTTTAATAAAAGTTTTGGTTGAAATTGAATGAGTTTTAAAAAGTTAAATAAATTTCATTGATATAATTCAATTATTTTCAAGCATTTTGATAGAATTTTTTCCTTTAGAAGAATTCAAATTTTTTTTAGTTGAAAAAGTAAAAAAAGCTTCGATAAATCTCTACTTTTGATTTATATTTAAAAATTTTCGATTCAAGCAAAAATTGATAATTTATTGTAAAGCAAGAATCGAACTTGGAAAGTTGCCAAATTAATTTTTAAAGAGGGCGAGAATTAAAAAGCAAGTTGAAACTCACCTCAAGTTCATCCTCCGACAGACTCTCACTGAAACAAGAAAAAAGTGGAGGAGAAGTAAACTATAATATTTCACTGCGATGATTTATTTCTCACTAAATAAATCATTTCTCTCTCTCTCTCTTTTACTTCTGTTTTCTAACAATTTACACATTTTTTTCAGTGTAAATTTGCTTTTTTTCTTTTCTTTTTTCCTTTTTTTTGGGAATTTTTTTTTCCTTTTTCAGAAATTTTCCTAAAAAGAAGGAAAAAATTCATATTTTCTCTGAAAGGAATAAAATTTAATAAAACTTTTGATTTTTTTCTTTTCTTTGGGAATTTTTTTTCTTTTCTCAAAAATTTTCCTAAAAAGAAGGAGAAAATTCATTTTCATTGAAAAGGGAATAAAATAAACACATGACAAATCAAGAGATTGAATGCAAGCCGATCAGTCGAAACGATATGAAAATTCCGAAAATAGAAGTCGTGTGTATGGATAGACGTTTGCTTGTAAACAAGATTTCAGAGGGAAAATCGAGAAAAAAATTATTTCAGTCATACTTTTCTTTGAAAAATGCTTCTTTCGACATTTTTTGCACTTTAAATTCGATCCGAGGATTTTATACGCAATTTGGTGAGTAAATTCTCAATTTTTTTTCTTTTTAGCAAAAGTGTAATAAATATATTATTAATTTTGTACAAAATATTTTTTTGAAAAAACACAATTTTTCTTCTTTTAGGAAAATTGTAATATATAAATTATTGGCTGATAAAGTTAAAAAATTAGATTTAAAATATTTGTTTTGAAAGAAAAAACTCAATTGCTTTTCTTTTAGAAAAAATGTTCTAGGAAATTATTAGCTGATCGATAATTCTGTATAAAATATTTTTTTGTTGAAATATTTACATTCCTTGAAAATTGAGGAAATAAAAATAGTTTTTCGAAATTATATTACCTGAGTTCAGACTGAAGATCTTTGTAATTGGCAATGCCTGATTCTTGAAGAAGATCATCCGTGAAACTTGGAAAAGCTTTGGGATAAATTTTCTCCTTATCTAGAGATTGTAGTGGAGTTGTTGTTGTTATGTCTTTAGAGTGGCATTGACATTCAGTGAGACGACTTTTTTCGTTTTCACTATCAGACAATGATCTTTTGTGCGTCCACAACAGTTTCTGTAAACAAAATATTTCAATAAATCACAACTACTCAATTTTTATTCATTAAACTTGATAATTATTAGGTAAAAAGGTGTAAATATTAATTAAATGATTTTTCAAACAAAATAAAAAAATTTTTTGTTTACAAATTTACTTATTAGGTAATTATAATTATCTCTTTCTAAAATTTTAATAAAATTCTTCGCAGAATTTCAATTATTTTCAATACAATTTGATTTAAATTTCACAAAAGAATTCAATTATTTTTAATACATTTTTAATTACAATTTCTTGAAAGAATTTAATTATTTTTCTTTAATTAAATTCCTAGAAAGAATTCAATAATTTTCAAAAAGTCGTCGCGAGAATTCAATTAATTTTCCATACAATTTTAATTCAATTTCTCGAAAAAATTTTAATTTTCTTCGAAGCTACTAAACTATTGTCACAAAATTTTAATAAAATTCTTGGCAAGAATTCAAATATATCAGTAATTAATAAAATTCGTCGCAGAAATTAAATTTATTTTCAATAAAATTTCTCAAAAGAATTCAATTTTTTTTAATATAATGTTAATAAAATCTTATTCATATAAATTCAATTATTTTGGAAAATTAAATTTGCACAGTTTTGTTATTCAATGGTGAATTTTGAAAAAATTGAAACTAAAATGAGAAAAAAAGAAGAGTCGAAATTGCTCCAAGAAAATAAGTGGAAAAAAGTCGTCTTTCTTAAAAATAGTCGAAAAAAAGTCAAAAAAGTAATAAATTATCCGAGAAGAGAAAAAGAAAAGAAAAGAAAATAAATAAAACTCGTGGAGTTTATTTATTTTCAAAGGTCAGGGTTTTTTGTATCAATAAATTGATTAGAGTAGTTTTTATCGCCCTTCTGAATGCTAATACAATATGAAAGATAGTTACAAATGATAGAACGAGTTTAAAACGATAAGGACACTACTACCGTTAACTACTGTAATTTCGCTATTGACCTTCACTCTACTAATCGAGTAACTTTAAGAGTATTGCCGAAACGTCGAGATTCTAATATTTATTTATTTAGAGTATTTAGACATTGTTTTGCATTGAAACAAATTTTTTACTTTTTCTACTTTTAAAATAGAAATTAAATGACAAAAAAGTAAATTTGATTTTATAGTCCATAAAACGAAAATTTATTATAATAATTAATTTATTTGCGTTCGAAAGGAAAATATTATTTTTCGCATCAGAATAAAACGGACAGTGACTGAACGTTTGACTTTTGCCGCACTTCGATATAATATTTATTCACAGATCTAAAGAACAGACATTGACGGAAGAAACTGTCTCTAAACGTAAGAAAAATATTCATTTCAATAATTTTCCATTTATTTTATCAAAATTTATTGACAGGTGAGAAAATAATCAAGAAAAAAAGCAGTGACGAATAAATTGAAAAATAAACAAGCTAAAATTATCATTTCAAACGTATTTTCTTTCCCTAAAGACAAAAAATCTTTCTATTCCTTTCTTTTATTTCCATTTTTGATAAAAAAAAAAAATAATTTCGATTTTTCTGAAATAAATTTCTTTTCTTAAATAAATTAAATTTTTCGTTTGTAAATAAAATCAAATGCGAATAAATTGAGAAAAAGTTCGTAGCTCAATGATTTCAATTAACGGCAATTTTTCTCAAATTCTCAGATAAATGTTTAAATATCATTTAGCGGGGAAGTTAGAAATTCTCAAAAGACTTTAAAACTCTGTCATATTTAAAATTAGAAATTCTAGGAATCGTTAAATGTTGGAAAATTTGAAAAAGGGGTTCGTTAACTATCAAAGAGGTACTTTAAATAAAAGTGAAATAGAAACTTGAAAATAAACTAGACACGGAATATTCCCGGCAAAAGACGATGATCACTTTCGGCAAATTTTTTAAAATTTAATACCACATTTCTCAAGCTAGTAAAAATAATTTCAAATAATTTATTTGCTTCTAATCTAAATTTAATTCAATTTTTATCAATTTAATTTATTTTTTTTCTCAATTTCACTTTCAATTGCAATTTCAATTTTATTTACAATTTGAATTTGAATTTAAATTTAAATTTGAATTTGAATTTAAATTTAAATTTAAATTTGAATTTGAATTTAAATTTAAATTTAAATTTGAATTTGAATTTGAATTTAAATTTGAATTTATATTGAATAGCAAATAATTGAAAACGATTTTTCCCAATTCTCCAAAAGCGGACGGCCTTTGAATCGAGGGATATAAGGAGTCATGAGAGAAGCTGTGTAAAATAATGATCTATTTAAGGCTACTAGACTCTATAGACACGACCTTGCCTCGGGCTTTTCGATTAATTGTAATTATCTCGTAAGTTGCGACCACTACAGGTGCCATTAAGAAAATGAAAAAAAAAACTGGAAGAAGAAAAAAACGAAAGAATGCAAATAAAAAAGGATGATCTCGTTCTTAATAACTTCCGAAGGTTCCTAAAACTACTTTTTACTTTCATAACTACTTTTTGAAATCTTTACTCTCAATAAAAAAAAATTCTTAAATAAATAAAAAAAATTCTCTCACACTTGAAAGTCACTCATAAATAAAAAATGATAGTTTCAAAATGAATAATATTAATGTTCACTTTTGAATCTCTTATTTTTACATACATTTATATCGCTCAAGGAAGAAGAGATTAAATTAAATTCAAAAAAAAATTCCAAATTGTCAGATTCTTTCAAAAATGAATTTTTCATCATGGAAATAATGCAATTTAGAAAAAATAAACAAATATTGCGACACATGGATTGACATTCAAATTTCAAATACAACTCTCGCGTAACATCCTAGGAAATTTTAGTGAACGTTGACCTAATTTCAGGTTCAAGATTTGAATTTAAGTAACAAAAATGTTACGAAAAAAAAAATTTTCTAAATCAAATTTTTGATTTCCAAAAACGAAGTTGAAAAAAAATTGATTTAAGCATTTGGACTTAATTTTTCTTTTTCAGAATTTTCACTTTTAATAGAATTTTTCATTAATTGAATTTAAATTAAATTGAAATTCTATATTTTTATATTAATTACTTATTAGGCAAATTACAAATTTTTTTTATTTTAAAATATCAAATTTAATTTCTGAATAATTTCAGAATAAAAATTTTAAAAATTTACTTTTTAAGTAATTGTAACAAAATTTCCATAAAATTCCTGATAAAAATTCAATTATTATTTTTATAAGTAATAAATTTCTTCAGAAAAATTCAATTATTTTCAAAAAATTTAATATATTATTTCGTCACAAGATTCAATAATTTTCATAAATAATAAAATTCCTCAGCAAAAATTAAATTATTTTCAAAAATTTTAATAAAATTCTTCCTGAGAATTCAATTACTTTCGAAAATTTAAATAAAATTGGTCGCAAGAATTCAATTATTTTCAATACAATTTTAATTCAATTTCTCGAAAGAATTTTAATTTTCTTTAAAGCAATTAAATTATTGTCACAAAATTTTAATAAAATTCTTGGCAAGAAATTAATTTTTTTAATAAACAAAAAATTTTCCTTAAGGAATTCAATTGTTTTCAAAAAATTTAATAAAATTCGTCGCAAGAATTCAAATATTTTCGTAAATAATGAAATTCTTTGCAAGAATTGAATTATTTTCATAAATAATAAAATTCTTTTTCGGAAATAAATTATTTTTAAAGATTTGAATAAAATTCGTCACAACAACGATAATTAATATAGATTAGAAGAATATTAAATTAGTCGAATTTCTAAATTCCAGAATTTCTATTTCTAGAGCAGATCAAAGCCTCGATCAGAGCTGAATTATTTGATTGCTAGGAAAATATTAATGATCGTTCGCAACGAAAACGAAAAGTTAGTCTCTCAAGTACGAAGCAATAGACGCTGACTCGTTTAATCACAATTCTTAATTATCTCTGATCGGTGTCAATTGTTTCAGATCCATATTCTGTATCTCCTCACAAATCAACGTCTTGATCAGAAAAAAGCCAGTCACTTGTGAATACAAATTGAACCGCGCACGTAATTAAAAAACTAAATGAAAATTAAAAGGAAAGAAAACTAGAAACAAATTAAAAACAAAATTAAATATTAGAAAATTAGAGAAAAAATATTCAAATATTTTAATTTTTCAAAAGTATTCTTTTTTGTATTTGTATTTCAATTTGTATTTTTATTTAAATCAATGAATTCTCAAAGAACTTGCTGAAAATTATTTAAAATTATATTGAATTAAAATCAAATATTAATTAAAAATTCTGGAAAATAAATGAATTTTCGTAGAGTTATAAGAGAAATTTTTAAAGACAATAAAATTTTAAAAATCTCAATAATTCTGTTTTTTGAAAAATTTGATTTTTTTTAAATAAGTTGAATATTCAAATTGAATAGTCGAATTTTCAAATTAAGTGACAATTATTCGAATAATAGAAAATTCGTAAAATTTAACTGAAAATAATTGAAGTTAAGATCTATTTTAATTGAACTTTTTTTTTGAATGATTGAATTTTCAAAACTATTAACAACAATTAATTTAAAAATTATTTTTAGTAAAAAATTCTAGAAAATAATTGATTTTAAAAAAAAGATTTTTAGTCAAAATGTTTAGAAAATAATTGATTTTAAAAAAAAGATTTTTAGTCAAAATGTTTAGAAAATAATTGAATTGTGTATCTCGAAAAGAATTTTTGAGGGAAATTAATAAAATTAATTGAATTAGAAAAGATTTTTAGTTAAAAATTTTAGAATTTAAATTTTAGTTTAAAATCTCTAGAAAATAATTGAATTAAAAAGAATTTTAGTTAAAAATTCTAGAAAATGATTGAATTTGAAAAGAATTTCTTACAAAAAATCTTTTTTTAAATCAATAATTTTCTAAAATTTTTAAATTAGCTAAATAAGATTTAGAAAATAATTGATTTAAAAATTTTTAGTTAAAAATTCTACAAAATAATTGATTAAAGAAGTTTTTTAAGTTAAAAATTCTAAAAAATAATAGAATTGTAAATTTCGAAAAGGAATTCAGTTGAAAATTCAAAAAATTAACTGAATTAGGAAAGAAATTCAATTAAAAATTCAAAAAAATAATTGAATTAGAAAAAAATTTTAGTTAAAAATTCTAGAAAATTAATTTAATTAGGCAAGAAATTTAGTTAAAAATTCTAGAAAATAATTAAATTAAAAAAGTTTTTAAGTTAAAAGTTCTAGAAAATAATTGACTTAAAAAAGTTTTTTAAGTTAAAAATTCTAGAAAATAATTAATTTGTGAATTTCGAAAAGATTTTTGGAAAAAAATTAATAAAATTAATTGAATTGGGAAAGAGAATTCTAGAAAAATTCTAGAAAATAATTGAATTTTGAATTTCGAAAAGAATTTTGGGGAAAAATTAATAAAATTATTTTAATTGGAAAAGATTTTTAGTTGGAACTTTTGGAAATCAAATTTCAGTTAAAAATTCCATAAAATAATTGAATTTGAAAAGAAATTCAGAAAAAATTCTAGAAAATAATTTTTGATTAGAAAAGAATTTTCATTACAAATTCTAAAAAATAATTGGTTTAAAAAAGTATTTAAGTTAAAATTTTAGAAAATAATTGATTTAAAAAAAGATTTTTAGTTATAAATTCTAGAAAATAATTGAATTTTCGGAGAAATTGCAAAAAATTGTAAAAAATTCAAGAAAATCTTTTGGTAAGAATAGAGAAAAAAAATTAAGAATATGAAAGAATCGAAAGAGCACCCAAAACAAAAAGAAGCAAATAATATTACAAATTGTTAATAATAAAATGAAAAAATCGTAAAGGCATAAAATAAAAATTTTTGCAACGAAAAGTTTGACTCACTTGTCTATCATGATTTTCCTTCTCTTCTTCACTCTCATGCTTTGCGTCCTTTGAGGGAGACTCGTGATGTAATTGATGGAATTTAGCGATGTCAGAATCAGAATCACTGACAGCGACTTGTCGATCATTTTTCGAATTAATTCGATCGCACTCACTGTCCGAACTATCCTCAGCGCTTGACATCGCGGTTACTACTGACGGTGTAATTTTGTTCACAATCTCATTTCCAGATTTAACGGCCCCACTATTATCGCCATTAGCGCTACACTCTTTGGCCATCGGATGAGAAATCCCTTAAAAAATTAAGAAACAATAATAAACAATTTATGAATATTACTGCAAAAGAAAAAGAAAATTATTACTCTTTAGTAACTTTTTTCACTGGAATAAAATTTACTGTTAAGTCAATTTATATCTTCAATTGTATTTTGAGACTGAAATAATATTCAATAGAAAATTTAATAGAAAATAGAAAAAAATAACAAATTTTCCGACCTAATAAATATTTAATAGAAAATAGAGAAATAAAAAAAATGTAAATTTTTCCGACTTAATAAAATTTTTCAGAAGAATTCAATTTTTTCGTTAAAATTCAATTATTTTCAAAAATTTAAATAAAATTTGGTGGAAGAATTCAATTATTTTCATAAATATTATAATTCCTTTGAAAATTACAAGTATTTTCAAAAATTTTAATAAAATTCGTCGCAAGAATTGAATTATTTCCATGATACAATTTTAATTCAATTTCTTGAGACAATTTTAATTTTCATCGAAACAATTAAATTATTGTCACAAAATTTAAATAAAATTCTTGACAATTAATTGATTTTTTTAATATAAAAAAAATTCTTCTGAGGAATTTAATTATTTTCAAAAATTTTAATAATATTTGACGCAAGAATTGATATATTTTCATAAGTTATAAATTTCTTCAAAAAAATACAATTATTTTAAAATATTTCGTTGCAAGAATTCAATTCCTTTCATAAATTATAAAATCCTTTGGAAAAGTTCAATTATTTTTAATTTTAATAATTTTTCAGTTTTAATGAAGTTACAAGAAATTTTAATTTTTTCATAAATATTAAAATTCCTTTGCAAAATTTAATTATTTTTAGAAATTTAAATTCAATTTCTCGAAAGAAATTTAAGTTTTCTTCGAAGCAAATTAAAATATTGACACAAAATTTTATTAAAATTCTTGACAAGAATTAAATTATTTTTTAAAATAATAAAATTCTTCTCCTGAATTCAATTATTTTTAAAGATTTGAATAAAATTCGTCCCAAGAATTGAAATGTTTTCGTAAATAATAAAATTTTTTGGAGGATAGAAGAAAAAATAGAGAAAAAATAGAAATAGAAAAAGAAAAAATAGAGAAATAAAAAAAAGAGATATTGAAAATATAATAAAATTTAGAGAGAAACAAAGAAAAGAGAAATAGAAAATATATTTTAGTTACCAATTCTATTTTCGATATTCGTTTTTTCTTCATTGTTCGTTGTAACAGGCACGAAGGAATTGTCCACATTTGCAACATTATTCTCCAGCGAATGCAAATAAGGATTAGAAATTTGATATCCCTGAACGGAAACTGTAGAGAAATTAAAATTATCCTTTAACTTGGAATCTTTTTCTAAAATTTCCTCATTTTTTCCAATAATTTCCGAATTATTTTCCTTGAACTGATTTATTGCGACACTTCCCGAATTTACATTCGTAATCGAATCCAAATTTTCCCTAAATTTTCCACTTTCCACATTTGTTGATTGAATCATTTTTCTCTCACTCGTACTATTATTTTCGAAAAATTCCAAATTCAATTCTTTCGCAACATCCAGAGAAATCTTCGGTTGGAAAATTAATTTCGAAGGAGCGAGAATAATGGAGCCCGCTACTGTCTTTGGTCTCTCAATTCTTTCCAATTCTGAATTATCGTCAAATTGGCAAAGAAGTTTATCAGGCGATGCAGAATCAGAAGATTCGGAACTATTCACAATTGAACGATATGTATTCAATTGAGAATTGATTATTTGATTATTTGTATTTTTTCCCACTTGAATCCGATTTTCCATTTTTCCTTCATTTAGAGAGTCGTCGATGTCAAATGGACTTTTAAAGACGGATAATTTTCTTTTTGGAATTGGCTTCAAATTTAAAGTTGGAGTAATACAGTAAGTTGTGTCTATTTTTTTATTCGCTTGTTCCTCCTCTTGAAATTTGGGAAATATTTCAACTGTTGAAATATTTGTTGATGGCTGCGTTGTTATCTGGGACAAGGGATTAAAGTTTTTCATTCTATTAATTTCTGGTGCGTCCCCCTTTGACATTACGCAATCAAATTCGGCATTTTCTTTCGTAACTGACAATTCTCTGGGAATTATTAAATCAGGACTCGGAGTCGGTGGTCTTGTGTTTGTGTAGATGCACTTATGCCTATGAAAGTAAATAAATAAATATTAGGGAATTCATTTCTATTTTCGAAATTTCGGACAAATTTGGCTTAGAATTATGGATTGATTATTTAATTATTATTCCAATTATTTAATTAATAATTATTAAATTATTCAGAAATGCACTAAAAGCAACTGTTCCAAATAAATTAATTTCAATTCTAAATTTTTGCCAAAATTCAATTACTCTCTAAATTTTAATTTCAAATTCTTAAAAAATACAATTCTGTTTAACAATAATATTCAAAAATAAAAAAATTAAATTCTTTTAAATGCAAAATTTATTTTAATTTTTAACAAACTTTCCAAATAATTGAAAATTTTATTTAATATTCAATTAAATTCAAGTATATTTTATTTATTTAATATTCAATTATTATCTAGAATTTTAACTGAAATTCATTTTTAAATCAATTCTTCATAGAAATTTCAATGAGAATTCAATTATTTAGAAACGAAAACAAATAATTTAATGAATATTGAATATTTCTTAACTTCTTAAACAAACAAAAATTTCTTAAACAAATAATTGAATTTTTCCAAGGGATTTTATAATTTATGAAAAAAATTGAATTCTTGCGAAGAAATTTTTAAAAATTTTATTAAGAAATTTATAACTTATGAAAATAATTCAATTCTTGTTTCAAATTTTATTAAAATTTTTGTAAAATAATTGAATTCCTCTAAAGAATGTTATTATTTATTAAAAAAAAAATCATTTTATGTTAAGAATTTTATTAAAATTTTGTGACAATAATTTAATTGCTTTGTAGAAAATTAAAATTCTTTCGAGAAATTTAATTTAAATTTCTAACAATAATTGAATTCCTTCCAAGAATTTTAATATTTATGAAAAAATTTGAATTTTGAGAAATTTTATTAAAATTGTAGAAAATAATTAAATTTTTTCAAAGAATTATATTAAAATTTTTGAAAGTAATTTAATTTCAGCAGGGAATTTTATTGCTTTTGAAAATAATTGAATTCTTCTAATAAATTTTGTTATTTATGAAAATATTTGAATTTTGCAAAGAATTTGAATAAAATTCCTAAAAATAATTGAATTTTTGTGAACAATTTTGTTATTTATGAAGATAATTGAATTCTTTCAAAGAATTTGGTTAAAATTTTTGAAACAATAAAATTGCTTAAAAGAATTTTTTTATTTACAAAAAATAATTTATTTTTTCTGAAGAATTTTATTGAAATCTTTCAAAATAATTGATTTTATGAAATAAATTAAATTTTTGCGAAGAATTTTATAAAATTTTATTTAAATTTATTAAATTTTATTTAAATTTATTAAATTTTATTTAAATAATTAAAAATCTCCTATGACTTTTATTATTTTTGAAAATAATTCAATTCTTGAAAAGAATTTTATAAAAATGTTTTTAAATAATTGATGTTTTTCGAGAAATGTTATAAAAATTGTATTTTAAATAAATAAATTCTTGGAACAATTATTTTATTAATTGTGAAATAATTGAATTATTTCGAGGAATTCGGACAAAATTGTTTTGAAAATAATTCAATTCCTCTGAAGCATTTTTCTATTTATTAAAATAATTCAATTCTTCTTAATAATTTTTTATTTACTATTATAATTGAATTCTTGCTAAAACTTTTATTAAAATTTTTGAAAATAATTAAATTTTTCCAATTATTAATTATATTCAATTCTAACAGGAAATTTTATTAAAATTTTTGAAAGTAATTGAATTCCTTAGAATAATTTTATTATTTATATAAAAATTCATTTTTTGACAAAAATTTTCTTGAAAATTTTGTGACAGTAATTTAATTGCTTTGAAGAAAATTAAAATTCTTTCTAGAAATTAAATTAAAATTGTATAGAAAAGAATTAAATTCTTGCTACGAATTTTATTTAAATTTTTAACAATTGAATTTTTTCGAAGAATTTGGTCTTTTATAAAAATAATTGAATTCTTGTTGCGAATTTTATTTAAATTTTTTACCATAATTGAATTTTTGAAAAGAATTTTATAATTTATGAAAATAGTAGAATTCTTGCGAAAAATTTGATTTAAATTTTCGAAAATAATTGAATTTTCCCAAGGGATTTTATTATTTATTATGGAAATAATTTAAAGCAGTGGAAATTCTTGAGAAAAATAGAAAAAAGTAGCTTTTAGTGACTAAAATCTAAAAAATTCCAAATAGTAGCAAATTGTTTGAAAAAATACTAAATACTAGGTTTGAGTAAATAATTTCGATGCCTAATTAAAAAAAAAAAATTACTTGTGATTCTTTGTGGAGAAGATTTCTTCTTGTAGACTCGATTCCTCATCAACAGTTTCTTTAATAATTTGATCCAGCGCTTCAACAATCGGTTTGATAACAGAGTCCTCCTGCACTTGAATTTGAGACGACTTTTTTTCAATATTTAAATTTTCAGCTCCTGACAAACAGCCATTGCCTTTTTCAGATTCTGGATTTATTTCAGAGAGCGAAGTCATCGATGATTCTGACAAAGCTAAGGATTCGTTTTCAATAGAGCCGCTGAAAAAAAAAGAATTTACAATTATCACTTTTTAATTTCGAACAAAATACCAAACAAATTCTAAAAGTTTGTAAATCTAAAATTTTGTATAGAAAAATAATTTCCCATCAATTTTTTGAAGTAACAACTGAAAAATGTTGAACAAAAATAAAAAAAAAGAGGGAAAAAATTCTGGTTGAATAAAATTCTTGTCTTTTGTTAAAAAAATTATTCTTTCTTTTGCCATAAATCAAAGACAAACAAGCAAAATTTGTCGACAGGGGTAAAAAAAAGTAAATTGTTCAATACACTTGAACAATGGCGTTTAGAGTGATTTATAGGAACGATAAACCTTTCTCGAGATTGGAATGGGTCAGAAGGTCGTATGTAACTCTGGTTAATCCAGTATTATGTATAAATGCAACGAAAGGTGAATTGGACTCGGAACACCTACAATGTCGAGCACTAACCAGATTCTTGTGTAATCAGATTTAAACACTTAGCAATTCGCCTCTATCACTCTAACGGGTGTTTCTCTCAATAATCTGGACCATCCACTTAATATTAATTCCTAAAATTCAAAATTACAATAATTACAACGATAAAATTAAAATATACTCACAAATTTTCAATTTCGATAAAAAAAAATTCCAATTCAGATCTCACTTCAAATTTTTGCAACTCCGACAAATCTTCAAATTTTGAAAAGAAAATAAAGAAAATTCATTTCGTCACCGAAAAGTAATTTCCGATTTTTTCCAAATTAGACAAGAATAAATTAATTAAATTCACCAAAATAATGAAATTGGTAATTGATAATTGATAAAATTAAATAAATTAACAAAATTGACGAAACGAATGATAATAAAGAAATGAATTTAATTTTTACAAAAAAAAAGGAACGAAAATTCAACTTTGGAATATTTTTAAACGAGTGGATTTGGAGGAGGACGAAGATGATCGCAGTCAAAGTGATTCGAAGAAACTAAAAACGTCTATATTTTCTAATCGTGTCCCAGACCTTCATTCCTAATTGCATAAGCAATCAATGGTGCAGATGCCGGTATAACTAATTAGAAACTATGACGTTGATATTAATTTAACAATCAATCGAACAAATCTATCAGTCAATTAAAAGTTCAATATTTCAAGAAAAATATTCATTTGTTTACTGAAAAAACATTGTGTGTGTTTATTATTTTAATCGAAAAAAATTTATCACCACAATTAAAGTTTAAATAGCCATTAGACTTTTTTTTTAATTACACTCTAAATTAATTAATTAAAATTATTAAAAATAAATGAAAATTTTTTTTTTTTGGAAAAATTTTCATTAAAATTGTAATTAAAATTAATTGAATTCCTAACAAAAATTTTATAACTAATAAAAATAATTGAATTAAAATTTTTGAAAATAATATGATTCTTTTCAGGAAATTAACTAAAATGAAATTTATTGAATTCTTCTAAACAATTATATCAAAATTTTTGAAAATAATTGAATTTCTCAGAAGAATTTTTTTAATTTAAAAAAATTATTTTCTTGCCAAAAATTTTATTAAAATTTTATGATAAAAATGTAATTGAATTCTTGTAATGAATTTTATTAAAATTTTCGAAAATAAATGAATTTTTCAAAGGAATTTTATTATTTATAAAAATTATTGAATTTTTGTGGCGAAGTTTATTAACATTTTTGATAATAATTGAATTTTTGAAAAGAATTTTATAACTTACGAAAATAATTTTCTTCTTGTGAAAAATTTTATTAAAGTTTTTGAAAATAATTAAATTTTTCCAAGGTATTTTATTGTTTATAAAAACAATTGAATTTTTGCAACGAAATTTACTAAAATTTTTGAAAATAATTGAATTTTTGAGAAGAATTTAATTTAAATTTTTTGATAATAATTGCATTTTTCCAAAGCATTTTATTGTTTATGAAAATAATTGAATTTTTGAGACGAAATTTATTAAAATTATTGAAAATAATTGAATTTTTTTGAAGAAATTTCAAAATTACGATTTATAAAAATAATTGAATTGTTGGGACAAATTTTATTACAATTTTTTAAAATAATTGAATCTTTCCAAGGCATTTTATCGTTTTTGAAAATAATTGAATTTTTACGACGAAATTGATTAAAATTTTTGAAAACAATTGAATTTGTTTGAAGAAATTTACGACTTATGAAAATAATTGAATTCTTGGTGCAAATTTTATTAAAATTGTTGAAAATATTTGAATTGTTTTAAAAAATTTCATTAAAATTTAAAAATGGTTTAAGCAAAAAGCAAATTAATTAAAAAATAATTCTTTTAGTGCTATAATTAATAATAGTAAAACGTAAATAATGAAAAAAAATAATAATAAATACACAGTGATATTTTTTGTAAAATAAAATTTAATTTCGAAATCAATTAAAAATGTTCCTGCAAAAAAGAAAAATTCTTTGTCTTCGGTCTCAAAACCAATAATATAATGTAATTTATGTAAATAAAAGTTTTTTTGCACCTTTTGAATTTGCATATTGTCACTGGAGAATGATTTATAGTAGAAAAATAAGCGTCGTTCTAATTATTAATTTTCAATTATTAAGGACGTAGCTATAAATTTTCTTTTTCAATTTAATTGTTGATATAAATCTTTTTCAAAAACAATATATTTTAATGAATCGCGATTAATAAATAAATTTCAATTATTTTTTTTCGAAAAATAATTTTTATAAGATTTACCTCTGATTTAAAATTCTAATTTTCTTTTTTTTTAAAAAAAAGAAAACGCATTTTATAAATCAGAGTCGTGTGTGATTTAAGGGATTTAATTTTTTGCTCATTGATGTTAATTAAAACGTTTATCAATAATTTATCTGGACATGTTTTGTATTTTAATTTTTTTTACTCTCGCAAAGTGAATGCAAACCGATTAAAATTTTTTTTAATTACCTTATTATTATTATTATTATTATTAATATTATTCATATTACATACTTTTAATATTTTTGATTTTATTTTTAATTATTTATTAAATAATTTAATTTTTTGTGATATGATCTCTAACGGAGATTTTTCATTATTTAATTTTTTTATTTATATAAACTCTGATTCTATTTTTTCACGGATAATTTAATTATAATATTGACATTTTAGTAGATATTTAACTATATTTTTTACTTATTTAGTTTATATTTAATTATATTTTTTAGTTATTTAGTTTATATTTTTTTAACCTTTAGTATAATTTAAATAAATAAATTTCGTAAATTTGAAAAAATAAATCAATAAACTAATGGCAATTTAAATCGTTAATTTAAAAAAAAATAGAAATTAATAACAATAATTTAAAATTTTGAAAAATTGTGTAAATTAATTAAATTTAAAATACTTCCTCTATGAGGAAGTAAAATTGAAAAAAAATCGTCAAAAAAAATTTTTATTGAAAGTAATATTTCCTTTTTGTTAAAACCATTTTTTTTCGCAATAATCTTGTAATAAAAACGCGTAAATTCTTCTAAAATAAATAATATTCAGGCTTTTTTATAACAAAATAATTTATAGAAATTAATTATTTTATAGAAATTTTTATCAAAACTTTTATCTAAACGTTTATGAAATTTTTTCAATTCTTTAAAAAAGTATTTCCTATAGCAATTAAATTGAATTTTAATTGACAGATAATGAATCCGTTAATTCGGTTGAAAAAAAAATTGTTTAGAAAGAAAGGGCAAAATAATTGCTTTATATCTCACGCACTAAAAAAAGCGACGAACACGTGAGGCTGACAGCACAAAATCGAACGTGTGCAGTTCGAGTGCCATCAGCCGACTGAAAATTTTCAGACATCATATTCCTTCTCGCAAAGCAACGAGTGGATGTTTCCAGTGACTGAGGAACGTAAATACACAAGACTCTCTCAAGTACAAGTTCACTTATATACGTAAATAAAAATGTATGAAATTCACACTTTTTTTAATTCTCTTCTACGGACAAAATCACATATTCAAATTCGAGGAATATAAAGGAGTCTGCAACAAACAATATTTATTTAATTTCCTTCTCAAACACACATACGATGAATATTCAAAACAATTGTCTTATTTCGTCCGAAGAAATGAGACGTAAACATTTTTTTTTCTTTAATTAAATAAATATTTTTTCGCGATTGAGTAAAAATTAAAAATTGCGAATTAAAAGTTAAAAATACTTAAAATCAAAAACAAAAAGTAAATTAAAAAAATTAATTAAACAGAACAAAATAAACAATAATTGCATTTATATTAATTGAATAGAAATTAAGTAGAAATAAATCGAAATTAAATGGAAATTAAGTAGAAATTAAGCAGAAATTAAATAGAAATTAAGTAGAAATAAATAGAAATTAAATTGAATTGAGTAGAAATAAATCGAAATTAAATATAAATTCAGTAGAAATTAAGCAGAAATTAAGTAGAAATAAATAGAAATTAAATTGAATTAAATAGAAATTAAATGGAATTAAATAGAAATTAAGTAGAAATAAATAGAAATTAAATAGAATTAAATAAAAATTGAGTAGAAATAGATAGAAATTAAACAGAATTAAATAGAAATTAAAGAGAGAAACGCGAAAAAAACAATAAAAACTGAGAAATTCGAATAATAATTAAACATGAATCGAATAGAAAAAAAATTGATCAAAATAGTGAATGTGATGAAGTGGAATTATTTTTAAGATGTGGCGCGCAGCTGCTGGATTAAAAAACAAAAGGGAAAAAAGCGCAAAGTAGGAACCAGACGAGAGACGGAAGAACGAAAGTAGTGAGAGGCAGGAAAGTACAATAAATATAGGGCAAGGTCCTAAAGTGGTCCATGCGATATTACCAAATCGACTGTTCAAAAATTTCCTCTCAATTTTTTTCAATAAACAAAATTTTTCTTAATCAAACGAATAATCTTTTAAAATTCAAATAGAAAAAATTTCTTTGCGAAACTGCAAAAGTTTTCCAAGATAATTTCAAGAATTATAATTCTACAAACAATTTTCTTTTTAAATACTTTGAATTTGAAAAACTTTTGGGAAATTCTATGAAACAGATATTGAAAATAATTTAATTTCGTAAATTTTTTTGAAAATAATTGAATCGTTCCAGAGAATTTTATTCAAAATTTTTATTTCAAATTAATTTCGAAATTTTTTTTTGATTTCAACTATTTGCGAATTTAAATTAGTGCAAATTTTTCAGAAAGAAAAGAAAAAAGTAGCTTTTTAGAGACACGAATCTAAAAAATTATCCAAATAGTATCAATTCGTATAAAACGTAAAGTAAATAGTATATTTTAGCAAAGTTTCTAAACACTTTACAAACAATGTGCATATTTACATTAAATTAAAAAGCTAACTTTTAAGCCAATTTAATAAACCCTTTTCGAGGCCAAGAGAACGAGACAATTTTATCGACATTTTTCAATTTCCAATCTAATTTCAAAAATTAAAGAAATTTTCAAGAGAGCAAAAAGAAAAAAATTCTTCTTTTACTGAAAAAAAAGAATTTTAATAAATTTAAACAAATTGAAAAAGAGAATTTCAAATTTTGAACAAATTGAAAAAGAAAGAAATTGAAAAAATGGAAAGTATAAATTCCATTTTTCGAGAGAGTTTAATATCACAAGAGTGACAAGAAAATAATATGAATAAAAAAAGGAAAATTAATAATAAAGTAAAATTTAATTCATTAACACTTGAGGAGGAAATAAATTTTAAAAAGGGAAAGAAGGTCGTGTCATTTTGATCGGGGCAATGCCCAAGGACATTTTATCAACAAGTGCATCGTCCACATTTCTATTTTTGCTAAAAAAAATGAAAAAGGCACTTGTGACCTTAAACCAGATTCTTTTATGCGGCTTTACGCGAGAGAGCGACATTGCGTTAACTGTGCAGTTTTAATTTAATTTAGAGAGTGCATATATGTGACTTACGAAAATTGCCGATGAACTTTTGGAACCTCGATGTCAACTTGAAGGCAAGAATCTCTCGTTTTACTCTTTTTGACGACTCGCTCTTTCACCTGCAATTATCAAAAATACGATATTAATTTATTAAATTTACTATTATTTATAGAAAATGATTTATTTTATTTAAGTAAAATATTTTTAATATTCATTATTTAAGAGAATTCTTAGCAAAAATTCAATTATTTTCATTAATAATATAACATTCTTTGGAAGAATTCAATTATTTTCAAAAATTTAAATAAAACTTTCCCAAGAATTCAAATATTTTAGTAATTAAAAAAATTCTTCAGAGGAATTCAATTATTTTCAAAATTTTTAATAAAACTTTTCCCGAGAATTCAATTATTTTAGTAAATAAAAAAATTCTTCAGAGGAATTCAATTATTTTCAAAATTTTAATAAAATTCGCTAAAAGAATTCAATTATTTTCATAAATATTAAAATTTCTTGTAAAAATTCAATTATTTTCTAAAATTTTAGTAAAACTTTTTCCAAGAATTCAATTATTTTAGTAAATAAAAAAATTCTTCAAAGGAATTCAATTATTTTAGTAAATAAAAAAATTCTTCAAAGGAATTCAATTATTTTCTAAAATTTTAGTAAAACCTTTCCCAAGAATTCAATTATTTTAGTAAAAAAAAATTCTTTAGAGGAATTCAATTATTTTGATAATTAAAAAAATTCTTCAGAGGAATTTAATTATTTTCAAAAATTTTAATAAAACTTTTTCCGAGAATTCAATTATTTTAGTAAATAAAAAAATTCTTTAGAGGAATTCAATTATTTTTAAAATTTTAATAAAATTTGTAGCAAGAATTCAATTATTTTCATAAATAATAAAATTTCTCGAAGAAATTCAATTATTCTCTAATTTGTTGATAGAATTCTTTTTGAATTTTAACGAAAAAAAAATAGTAGAATTGTTTTCATTGAAGTTTTTGAAAGTACAAATTCAGAAAAAAAATGAATAAAAAACAAATTTTTTATTGCACATATGTTATTTCCGTCTTTGATGTTTAAAAGAAACTTTCCTGAACTGTCACCTCTCAATTTCTAAACTTTCAATCTCCAAACCTTTCGTAACATTTTTCCTTTATAAAAGAGAGGTCAAAAATCTATCTAAAGTTTTGATCTTATCTTTTGTCATGAAGATATTTCATTATCTTGACGATCATCGTTCACTAAATTATTCTCAACAAAAAATCCACGTGTCAAGGTAAAAAGTTTAAATATTTTTGTAATTTATATTTTCGATAAATAATCGAATATTAAAATTTGCCTTTTCAATAAATAATCGATTATTGAATTTTAAAATTTTCAATAAATAAACGACTATTGAAAATAAATCTCAAAAATCGAATTAAATTAAATTAATTAGATTTTTAATTTACAAAAGTTAAATAAATTAATAAAGAAAAGTGTGAGAAAAAATAGAAAACGAAAATAATTGATAAAAAACTGAAAATACTTATTCGAATAATTAAGGGGAAAAATATTTTTCCTGCTTTATATCAAATGGAAAAATTCGATTTTATATTTGGATGGAAAAAAAAGAGAATTTCGCGTTTGGAATGACAAAATAGCCTTGGAGATTTTTACATCGCACTCGACTTTCTGACGTCAAAAAGCAAAATGCATTTTCTGCTGATTACTCAAATTTTTGTCTCGGACAAAAATATGTATTCAAATTTATTATTTATAAATGATAAGGGTGGGGAAATTTTCCACTACTCACCAAATTCATCAAGACTGCGACTTCCTGTTTCAGAATTGACAATTTCGGGATATTGAAGTTTTCATTCTCCAAATTTAAAATGGGAACGTAAGGCCTTTCTCCATCCACCGACAATTCTTGAATAAAGCTGCAAATAATTATGAAATAAATTAATAAATTTATATTAATTTAATGTCTACAAATAATAATTAAATAAATAAATAACAGATAGATAACAAAATAAATAGCAAAATAAAAAATAAATACCAAAATAAATAAATAAAAATAACAAAGAATTAAAATCAATTAAATTAATTAAAAATAAATATAAAAAAGTATAAATAAAAAATAGACTGCGAATAATATTTGTTTAAATATTTGAATAAAATAAAAAGTGCGTGTTAAGAACAAACTTTTCAATCTGTTCAGAAAAAGTGCTCAATTCCTCGTTGCACAAACCCAATTCTTCCTCCAGTTCGGCGATCTTTGAATCGTTTTTTGCACGTTCTGGCGAAAAACCCTGAAACATAAGACGCTTTATATTTCTCTCACGTTCGACCTTCGTGTTCAAGTAACTTAATTTTTATTTTAAAAATTCATATTTTTATCGAAATCTCGATTTTAATTTAATATATTATGTTTAAATTAATTAACGAAAGTAAAAAATGCTTAACTGTCTAGATTGAAAATACGATTAAAAGTGTAAATAGAAATAAAAAATTTAAAGTAAAATTCAAAATATTTGATTATAAAATGGAACTTTACGGAAGCTTTTAATTCGGCGTATAAAGATCTGCGTGGAGAAACTTTTGTCGCTGTATAGGGAGTACTGTGCATGTAAGAATTGATGTAACCAATTGGCGGCGTCATGGATAACTGTGAAAAAAGTATTTTTAAGAGTTAATTTAATATTGAATCAAATTAAATTAAATAAAATCAAATAAAATCAAATAAAATCAAATAATAAATCAAATAATAAATAAAATAAAATACAATTTATGAGTAAATAAATAAATAAATATTTAAGAGCAATAAATTGTAGTTTACCTGTCCCGATCCACTATTGTTACTCTTCATCTGCAGCTCTAAATTCTGATTCAATAATTCTTGATTCTTTTCTCGTAAATACTGGAAAAATTAATATTTATTTTTAGACTTGAAAATTCAAAAAAATTCCAACTAAATTAAAATATTTCAAGCAAACATTTCAATTTTTTTAAACAATTTTTAATTAATAGGATATTTATAGCCCTCAGATTTTTCATTAAAATTTTCGAGAATTCAATTATTTTCAAACTTTGCAATTAAAATTCTTCAAAAGTTGTTCCTCAAAAATTGTGATAAAATACTTGAAAAAAATCAATTATTATTTTTTAATTAAATTTAACAAAATTTCAATTATTCAAAATTTGTTTAATTCGAAAATTAAAATTCGAAAACTTTGAAAATTTAATTAGAAAAATGATTCAAAAAATAATTTTTAAAAGATTTGTCTATAGTTATACTTTTCACACTATAAAAATCGAAATAATTTGCAGTTTATACTAAAAAAAGTATTTTATTGCAATATTTGGAAGAAAAATCGAAAAAGTGGTAATTTTTGAAGTCGCAGTTTTTGAAAATAGTGAAAAAAAGTCGAAAAAGTTATAAATTATCCGAGGCCTAGTTTCATAATCAGAAAAATGAAATTTACTTGAACTGAAGTTTCATAGTTCTCTCGACAGTTGACGTGTGAATCTTCCAATTCGACGATTGTGTCTTTCAACGAGTCGCATTCTACGCATTTATCGTTGAAGGCTTTTTCACATTCATCATATTGTTTTTGAAATTTCTTTTTCTCTTGTAAAATATGTGCAACTTGATTCTTTAGGGCATTTATACTTTCATTCTGAAAAAAAGAAAAAATCATATTTAAATAAAGAATTCGTTTTTCCTAACATTTTAATAATTTTATTAATTTTTTTTATTAATCAAACATTAGGAATTAAGAAAAAGGAAAATTTTAATAGAAAAATAAAAACGATAGAGAAATAAAATTGAAATAAAAAGTCGAATTAAAATTGAAATAAAATTGAAATAAAGTCGAATTAAAATTGAAATAAAATTGAAATAAAGTCGAATTAAAATTGAAATAAATGTGAAATAAAGTCGAATTAAAATTGAAATAAAATCGAATTAAAATTGAAATAAATTTGAAATAAAATCGAATTAAAATTGAAATAAAGACGAATTAAAATTGAAATAATTATTTTTTATTTTTATTTACTCACGTGCTTTTGAAGGGATTCGAGTTCATTTTTCAAAATTGCATTTTCTTTGAGAGTCTTTTGCAATTCCAGCTTGCTACATTTTTCCCGTTCTTCAGCCTCGCTGAGAAGCTCCTTCTGCTCATCGAGTTCCTTTTGTAGATTTTTGTTTTTAATTGTCAGTGATTCTCTTTAGAAAAAAATCAACTATTTAAGTTCTGACATATTATTTTTAATATTTCAATTATAGTGAATTTGAATAAAAAATTACAAAATACTTACAATTTACGATTAATGGAATTAATTTGCTTATGTTGAGTAATGTTAACATCCTCAATACGAAGAATCTCTTCTCTGAGAGACGCATTCTCCTCATCAAACTTTCGAATTCGCAGTCGCAAATCAATCGCTGCATCATATCCCATTTCAATTTCCGAATTTGCGCTTCTGTCTGTTAAACTAATATTAAATTGTTTAATAATAAAATAAATAATAAAATTCAATTAAGTTCAAAAATTGTTCTTTTTAGTATAAAAGTGGAGAAAAATGTTAATTATGACAATTAAAATTTGGATAAAATTGAATTTTTACCCTCGAGTGCTATTGCTGTCTGGACTGTAACTCGAGACGTTGACAACATTGATAAACGCTGAAAATACAGGAAAACAATGGTTAATTGTAGAAAAAATTATAATTACGATAAATGCAATAAGGCGAATTTCAAAGTTATTTATGTACGCAACTGATATTTAGAAATACAATACAATATTGTTGATAAAGAAAGAGACAATTTTTGCTGAATTGGAAAATTCCAATAGTAAAAAATATATAATAATTAATGTTTCCATTTGTTAATGTAATGAAATTATGACCGAAATTTTTTATGAAATGAAAACGACATTTTCGTGAAATAAAAAAAGTTACAAGGGAAATTTCTTACAAAATAGAAAAAAAAATTCTAAAAGACAATTTTTGTGAAATAAAAAAGTTGCAAAGGAAATTTTCTACAAAATAGAAAAAAAATTGTTAAAAACAATTTTTGTAAAAAAAAGATGCAAGGGAAATTTTGTGTGAAATAAAAAAAATTAGAAAAGTACTTTTCTATGAAGTAGAATAAAATAGAAAAAAAAATTTTTGTGAAATGAAAAAATTAGAAAAGAAAGTTTTTGTGAACTGAAAAAATTGTAAAAGAAATTTTTCGAGAAATAAAAAAAAAGTATAAAATTTTCCCAAAAAAACATAAATTCAACTTAAATATTATTTATATAATTTGAATTGAAAGCAAAATAGACAAATAACAATGAATAAATGTAAATTTCAGTGTTTTGTTCGGACATAATGTTTAAAAGTGAAATAAAAGAAAAAAAAAGGTAAAAAAAGAAGTTGTTTCCGAGAACCAACAGAAGTTTATCTGACACACTAGCTTTTCAAGTAGAAAAGGACAATAATAATCGGAGAGATGTTTTACATTTCAGTAGAGACTGAAATTCTCTGCCAGACAAACAAAATAAATTGTGTGCACGGCGCGCAGAAGAATTTTTTGAAAGAACTTAAAAATTTTCTATTAGAAAAGAAACTAAAAATTATTTTAACGAAGAAATTTGGAAATTAAAGAAAATAATTTAAAAATTAATCTCACGTAATGAAGACTGACGAACTGGACTTATTTCCTTTTCACTGTCGATTTCGTTTGGAATACTTTTTGATTCTTCACCAGATGAAATTGAATCTTTCATTAAATCATCACTGTGCCACTCGGATACGTAACGATACATATTCTCTTTATTTCTGAAAAAAAATTAAAAAACTCATTTTATTCATATTCTGTAATTATATTTGTATAATAAATATTACTTTTTATTAGTAAGTAATATAATAAATAATAAATTAATAAAAAATAATATAGGTATTACTGTTTATTTTGCAATGATGTGAAAAAAAATGATTTACGCAAAAATTGAAAACTGCAATTGCAAAGTTAAATTTTTTTTCCCGATTTTTGCGTAAATCATTTTTTTTAATTACTTCAAATTAATTCAATTTATTTCAATTAGTTCGAAAAGTTGACAATAATTAAATTCTATTTCTCGAGGGATAAAAAAATTATTTCTCGATAGATTTATTATTAAAAAAAAAGATTAGAGGCAAAATCTACTTTCAAGTTCAAGTATAGAATATTTAAAATTTTTTTTATAAATATCAATATACGTTTCAAACGAAACTCGATAATATTCACAAGTTATATAATGAGAAGTCGGTGAAATGAAAATAAGTAGAGTAAGTAGCAATAACGTAACAAACTAGAATTAAAATAATTGTTTTTTTTTTCTTCAAAAACATTACTTTTCCTCATTTTTTTTTATGCAGTGAACGTTATTATTTTATGCGTCAATGGACTTTTGCTTTGTTTTCGAATTAAAAATTCCACATTAAAGGAAAAAAAATACTAAATCTGATAAATTCCAAATAATGAAAAAATAAATTCGAAAATCGAATTTCTATTTAGAAAATTAGGAAATTAATTACTAATTTAATAAAAAAGGATTCAAAAATAAAATTTCTATTAAGAAAATTAATTAAGAAATGAATTAATTATCAATGACTATAATTATTAATTTAACAAAAAAATGTATTCAAAAATGGAATTTCTATTTAGAAGATTAATTATTAACCACTCATTCATTTCTTATTAATTGATAACAAAAAATTTCATTTTGAGAAAGAGATCTGTCAATCGAAACCGAAAATCTATTGAAAATGTCCTGGGATTAATTTTAGAAAATTAAAAAATTAACAGACTTTACAAAATTCTCTTTTCGTTCAAAAACAAAAGTGAAAAAAAATTGACAACATTTCTGCAAGTTCATAATTTTAAACAATTCTTTAGAAGACTGAATAAAATTGGATAATTTAATTGTTAGTTTTTCTTTCTCGTCACGAAGATTATCGTGACGAGACAGAAAAAATAACAATTAAATTATCCATTTCAATAATAAATTTCCATTTCCATTTAAAATATTGAAAAAGATTCATAAATAGTTTCAATATTCATAATTTCCAATAGATTTGTAGAAATAGTTTCAATATTCAAAATTTGAAAACGATTTACAGAAATAGTTTTAATATTCAAAATTTGAATTCGATTTACAGAAATACTTTCAAAATTTGAAATCGTTTTACAGAAATAGTTTCAAAACTTGAAATAGATTTACAGAAACAGTTTCAATATTCAGAATTTGAAATAAATTTACAGAAATAGTTTCAATATTCAAAATTTGAAATTGATAATTATTGAAATTAAATAATTTATAAACATCTAAATAAATGTCAATGAACAAATTTTCGAGCACCCTGTATATTAACCACCTGTTCTGCCTCGAGTGAGTGGCAATATCAGTCTAATCACAAAATATAAGCGCTGCATTCACAAAATAGTCACACACACGAAAAAAAACGAACAATGACAATATTAAAATTTTTTTTTCTCCAAGAAATTAATTATTGGATTTTTTTCTTCTTCTCCAAAGACATTGTGGAAACTAAAAATAGTTAATACGACGAAAACACACTGAGAAGGAGAAAATTGGATTTAATTTAAAATATAAATTCACAGATAAATATTTTATTATAACGTTGAAAAAATTTTCGATGAACTTTAAAAGTAATAAACTCTTTTTCACCAACGTGTGTGTGTACCGAACTAACCGAACTAACAATATTAACAAACGAACAAGGCTTATCGGTCTAAGCTAGAGTCGCGCTACAATACACCTTGTGCGACGACGATATATCAACAAACTGCAACTGCTCTTTTCTCTCTATCAAGTGATTGCTAAATAAACTGGTAATTTTCTAATAAAAATTATCATTTTCTAAATAATTCACTATATTCACGTGCTTTTACCAGGTAAATTATTTAAACCACTCGCAAGGCTTCGTAATTGAGAATTAATTTTGAAAAAAAGGAGCAAAAAGATTAAACTCGCTATTATTAAAACTACTTTAATTTAGAAATTAAATTTAATAATAATAAAAAATTATTATTAAATTTTATTTTTTTCCAATCTTAAAGCTACTTTAATTTAGAAATTAAATTTAATAATAATGACGATTAATAATTCGTTGTTATTATTATTAAATTTAATTTTAAAATTAAAGTAGCTTTAAGACTGGAAGAAAATAGTAAAAAAAGCAGTTATCGAAAAATTAAATTCTGACGACTAAAAAAATTCGATTTAGACGATTTACAAAATTGACATTAATTCTCTTTCTGTATTTTGTTTCCCTGGCTGTTTCCTTATTTTCTTCAAAAATATTTACTTAAAATGATATTTTTTAGCCTGCAAGTAACTTCAATTGTAAATTTTTGCGAAATTCAATTATTTTCTAAATTTTGATTCAAAATTCATCGAAATGACGAAATTCAAAATAATTTTTAAAAATAAATACCTTCAAAATAAAATTCTTTTAAATATCAAACTTATTTCAATTAAATTTGACAAAATTCCTAAATAATTTTGAATTAAATTAAAAATTAAATTTAATCCTATTTTTGAATTATTTACGGAAATTTAACTAAATTGAAAAAATTTTAATTGCAATTATTAACTGAAATTCACTTTTAAATTAATTCTGATTAAAAAGTTTTACGAGAATTCAATTATTTACAAACAAAAAATAAATAATTTATTAGTGATTGATTTCTTTTTAAAATTGAATTCTTATAGAGAATTTTATCAAAATTTTGAAAAATAATTGAATTTCTCAGAAGAATTTTATTATAATAAATTATGAAAATAATAAAATTTGTAAAAATTCAAATGAAATTGTAAAACAAAATAAAATAGCTTCGAAGAAAATTTAAATACTTAAAAGGAATTTCTTTAAAATTCTACTGAAAATAATTGAATTTTTACGAAGAATTTTATTAACAACTTTTGAAAATAATTAATTTCTTTTCACGAATTTAATTAAAATTTTACTGAAATTTATTCAATTCTTCTAAAGAATTTAATTACATTTTTTTTAAATAATTAAATTTTAATAAGAAAATATTATCAAAATTTTTTGAAAATAATATTGAATTCTTCTAACAAATTTCATTAAAAATTTTGAAAATAATTGAATTTTTCCAAAGAATTAAATTATTTTCATAAATAATTGAATTCTTCCGAAGAATTAAATTATTTATGAAAGTAACTGAATTATTCTAAATAATTAAATAATTTATGAAAATAATTGAATTCTTACGACGAATTACATTATTTTTTTTTTTAAATAATTGAAATTCCGTGAAAAAATGTATTATTTTTGAAAATAATTGAGCAAAAATTTGTTGAAAATAATTAAATTTATAGCAAGTATTTTATTAAAATTTTTTTAAATAATTAAAATCCTCCGAAGAATTTTGCTATTTATAAAGATAATTGATTTCTTGACGAGAAATTTAAAAACATTTTTGAAAATAATTCAATTTCAGAAAACTATTTTTCTATTTTTAAAAAGAATTGAATTCTTGTCAGAAATTTTATAATTTATGATAATAATTGAATTTTTCTAAAGGATTTAGTTATTTATGAAAATAATTGAATTTTTGCAAAAAAAATGTATATAATTTTTAATTCTTTTATTATTTATAAATTAATATAATTGAATTCTTGCTACGAATTTGATTAGAATTTTTGAAAATAATTGAAAAGCTGCGATGAATTTTAAAATTAATAAAAATAATTGAATTTTAAAAATAAATAAGTAATTTTAAATAATTGAATTCTTTTGGATAATTTGATTAAAATACTAAATATTTAAAATAATTGAATTTCAAACAATTTAGAATAAAAATTACATTTAAAAATAGAAATATAAAAATAGTGATGAAAAAATATATAATTTACAACTTACTCGTGACTTTGAATATTATTATTTCCATCCTGCTTTTTACAGGCTTGAAGACTAGAAATCCAAAGGCGTGAACCTTCTTTAAATAACGGCCAATTTATGTGGCCGTTTGGAGCAATTCTTAATAGGGACTTACGAATATCCTCAAAAAATTGCTTTCTGTAAAGAGAAAATTATTTAAATTATTAAAAACTTAAAAATAAATAAAGAAGGAAAGAAGCACTTGATTTTTTATAAAAAAAAACTCACTGATATTTGTCACCATAACTTTGGTATAAATATTCAATTACAGCTGATATTGATACCTCTTCATCTAATGTCGAATTTGAAGAAGACGAAGAAACACGAGACGACCGAGTTGAAATACATTTTGAAAAAATGTTTTTTTGCAACACTGCGGAAATAATTGTGTTAAAACAAATTTTTTTCAATTAACTGTAGTTAATACAATTTTAATATTTAATATTTATTTATTTAATGTTTTAATTATAATCAATACAATTTTAATAAACTTCAAAAATAAAATATTTAATTACAATTATTAACAGACATTTTTAGAAAATTGTAATAAAATTCTGAGAAGAATTTAATTATTTTCTAGAAATTTTAATAAAATCCTTCGCGAGAATTGAATTATTTTTATAAATAGGTAATAAAATTCTTTGATGGAATTAAATTTTTACATAAAATTCTTTGCAAGAATTCAATGATTTCCAATACATTAATTTTAGAGATGAAAATATGTATGAAGAAAAATTATTAAAAAAGTTTAAATTATTTTAATGAATATAAATCTTGTAAATTTCAAGTATTTTAATAAATATAAATCTTCTATATTTCAAGTATTTTAATAAATTATAATAAATGTAGTTACAAAATATTTCAGTTGTTAAAGAACATTATAGAGAAAGAATGTAAAGAAAGTGAAAGAGAATTTTAAAAAAATGAAAGAAAATAAAGTTTAAAATTAAATTCAATTTGTTTTAATTTTTAAATCATTTAAAATTAAAAAGAGAAAAAAATTATGATACGAATAAAAATAAATATAAAAATACGAAACATAATAACAGACGAAGAATGAATCACAATCACGTTTTGAAAATGTGTCAAAAAGAAAAATTATAGGTTATCTTTTGTATTTTTAACAAATAATTCAATTACCTTCATATTTAGATTGTTCAACTCTGTCACACATGGTAAATACAAAATATAAACAATACTAAAATTCTCAGGCGATAAACGTGGTCTGAGAATAGAAAAACACTTCGTAACCGGTGAAAAAAAACGACAAAAACACACGTTTTTTAGATGAGAAAATAAAGCATTTCTCTCTATCGATCACTTTTCTCTTCACTTTATAATTGTAACGAAAATAATCAAAATAAAGAAAATAAAAAAATAAACAGTAAATAATAACAAAAAACACGGAAAATTTTAAATAATTTAAACGGATTACAACATGGAACATCACTGCTACTTCTCTTCTTGCGCTTTTTCAACTGAAATATATCGAATATCGAATCGAATATATCGAACTAAGAGCGGGAAAATTCAAATTGAAAACCATTTTTTCATAGAAAAAATAGAACTTCGTGAATATTTTATTTATACGATTTAAATCTGTACACACATCAAATGGTTTTTTTCAAAAATAAATTTTTCGAAAAATTATAATTATAAGGAAAATCTGTTGAAAGTAAAAGCAGATTAAACACTGAAAAAGGAAACGGGTAAATTTTTATTTGAATCAAAGTAAGTAACTTTTTTTTTAACTTTTAACGATTTTGATGGAACTGGTAAACTTTATCCACCAACTCGGCTTTTTTTGCATTGCCGACTGGAACGTTTTTGTGCACCAAGAATTCTTTTAATGCTGCAACTGTTAATTTATTCACCTGAAAAATGTGTTTTAAATTTAAAAAAAATTTTAAATTAAAGGTAAAAATTATAATTTTGTTTATATTAAATAAATTAAATAAATGAATGAAAAATATTTGTGACGCGCTCTCAAAAAAAAGGTAAGAAGCAAAAGATTTAATATTTTTGTGTTACTTTTACCTGACTTAAAAGTTTCTATTTAATTATTTAAAACTAAAATTAGTTTCTTTTGACTATTTTGAATCTAACGAAGACTTGAACAATAATTTTTAGAACAAAAATTCATTCTCTTTCTGTATTTTTACTACAGAAAATAAAATTATAAATATTTTCTAATAATAAATTATTCACAACTAAGAATAACCGACGATTCGTTTGCTTCTGAGATTCCTTTTTTTTTTTTGTTGAACGTGTCACATATTTTGTGACTTGGATTTAGAATAATATTAGAATTTAAATTAGTATTTATTCTAATTAGAATTAGAATGAAAAAAATATATATTACAGTTCTATCTCGTATATGATCGAGTATGACCGCATCATCCATGAGTCTCATTCTCTTTGCAGGTACTTCGCAGTCATCATCTGAGAAATATCTCCTATATTCGGGCAATATTTCCTCGAGTCGCTGCTCAAGTTTTTTCGATGGAACTAATCAAACAGAAGTCGTTTATTTAATTATGTGTTGTCACAAAAATTTTATTTTGTATTTTTCTGATCTTTCACTGATTTATAAATTCAATTATTCAAAACTTGAATAATTTCGTTAAATTGAATTGTTTCGGAAGATTTATTAAAATTTTAGAAAATAGTTTATTACTTTTGAAGAATTTTAAAGTTATTTAAGAAAAAATTTAATTCTTTCATGAAATTTGATAGAAAATATGTAATTGAATTTTTGCAAAGATTTTACTAATTAAGGAAATAATTTAATTATTTTGAAAGAGTTATAAAATTTTAGAAAATAATCGAATTGTTTCGTGAAATTTTATTAAAATTCAGTTGAAAATAATAGAATTTTTGACAAAAATTTTACTCTTTATAAAAATAATTGAATTCTTCCGAAGAATGTTATTATTTTTAAAAAAATAATTGAATTCTTGCGAAGAATTTAAATTTTTGAAGATATTTGTACTTAATAAGTGAATCTTTTAAATTTTTGATAAATACTTTTTCCTGCGTATATCTTAAAATTTTGTATACAATTCTTTATAACAATTAAATTATTTTCTATACAATTTTAAGTGAATTCCTTGAAAGAATTAAAATTTTTTGAAAATAATTGAAATTTTGCAATGTATTATTATTATTTTTACAAATAGTTTACTATTTATGAAAATAATTTCATCTTGGGAAAGAAATTAATAAAAATCTTTTTAAATAGTTGAATTCTGGTGAAAAATTATATTATTCGTGAAAATAATTAAATTTTTGCAAAAAATAAAATAGAATCTCAATTTCTTTTTCTTACGTGTGGAATCAGGAGGTATGGACACTTCATTCAACTCCAAAGCCAAAGCTTCGATATTTGCCACTAAAGTTTCAAGTCTCGGATTCCTGAACAACTTCGGATCGTACTTTATTCTCGTCTTCTTGACGATTTTCTCGAAAATGTCCGTCGCGCCTTCATCCGGATAATGTGGCCAATCGTCTTTGTAAATCCAAGTTGATAGAGGTTTATCTAAATTACGAACATGATCTGCAATGTACAAGAAATATAATTTAATTTAATAGAAATCTCTTTTCGAATTTTGATTTTTTATCGAAATTAAACTTTGAAATGTTCACTTAAAAGTAAAACACTTTTAAAGGTAAAAAATTCCTTTATGAATTTTAATTTGTTATCGAAATATAAATTCGATACACTTAAGAGTTAAAAGTTTACTTTTAACGGTGGAAAATTTCATTCCGAATTCACCTTCATAAGCCATTTTGTACATATAAAAGCCACCTTTCCCCGCATCTGGATATAAATAATATAAACTCGGGGTCGAATGTATTCTAGCAGTAACACGAGTGACAATCATCAATTCTCTAGCCACGCATCTATCAACCAAAGTGTCGAAAATTTGTTTCTGCGCTGAAATTATACGATTATTATTAATTAAATTGCTAAATCGTAAGATTTTCAAGTTACGGCAAAAATATACAAATTAGAGAAAAAATAATTATTTACTAAAAAAAAAACTTAACTTACATTCGCTTGCTTCTGTTTTGCCGATAGTGAGAAATTTCGGACCCTCCACGTGATACATGGGATCGCATTCAATGGGCTTGAAGCAAAGTGTTTCAATTCCCTTCGTAAAATGATTGAACATCGAATTCAATTCCTTCGAGTCAGCTACAATTTTTCTACCTCCGTGCTCTTGAAATTTTGCCAATCCACCAGGAGCGACAATTTTGGAATCAAACGCCACTTCCTTATTTTATGCAATCGAGAAAAAAATTCACATTCAATAATTATTTTAATTACATTTTTCAATCTCTTTTCCTCTACTTACATTTCCCTCATCATCAGAATCATCTACAAATTCTTCATTTGTTTTTTTAAACACTGTAGAACCTTTCAAAATTTCATTGTTTTCTTTATTACAATAAACCTGATCCGGAAATTTGGTCTCTCTGAAAATATAAACCGAAATAATTTTATTCTTCTTCTTCTTTGTTTTATTCCGGTTTTCTGTTCAGTTTGAAGTTAGATGTACAATAATTGAAAATATAAAACAAAAACTTGAAAAATAAAATAAAAATGTACAAAATTGAATGAAATTTTTTCAAAACTAATGAAAATTGAAAAAAGGAACTTACGTTGAAATTGTATAAATAGAAACTGGAACAACGACATCTTGGCTAAACATCCAAGAAATATTCGATATTGTTCTCGAGGGAAATTGAATTTCCGCCTCAAGATCATTAAGTTGAAGTGGTTTATAAATTTGTGAATTCATTCCACTGGAAATTATTTCAAGATCTTTGTAAAACGATATATGATTGAATCCATTTTTTAAGCCAATTACTCGAAAATCAATTCCAAGATTTTTGAATGTCGCAACTCTTGCTCTAATTCTGTTACACTCCCCTTGATTGTCTGCATAGGGATTGTCTTGACATGTTAAAAGAATTATTTTACGAGAAATTACAACTGTCCTCACGGCTGAAAATGCCTGTGCCGCATGCCAGAGAGCATCGTGCAGAGGATATTCCGTTGGCGAACTCAGTAAATTAAAATATTCCGCATTATTTTCAACTGAAATTTTAAACACATTTTGATGAATTATTTGAATTATTCATTTTTTTCTAAATTAATTAAATTTATTATTATAATAATTTTTCTTTTTTAAATATTTTCAACTCTAAAATTAATGTTCATTTTTCCGAAAAATATTATTAAAAATTTGTTAAAAAATTAAATTCTTTCATGGAATTTTATTAAAATTGTATTAAAAATAATTGAATTCTTGAGACGAATTTTATTAAAATTTTGAAAATAATTTAATTTCTTGAAGAATTTTTTTAATTACTGAAATAATTGAATTCTCGGGAAAAGTTTTACTAAAATTTTTAAAAATAATTGAATTTTTACCAGCAATTTTATTATTTATAAAAATAATTGAATTCTTGCGACGAATTTTATTAAATTTTTGAAAATAATTGAATTGCTCTGAAGAACTTTTTTATTTACTAAAATAATTGAAATGTTTCGAAAGATTTTTATTAAAATTTTAGAAAATAATTGAATTTTTGTAAAGAATTTTACTAATTTATAAAAAAATAATTGAATTGTTTCTGAGACTTTATTAAAATATTTTAGAAATTAATTGAATTCATGCAACAATTTTTAATTAAAATTTTTAAAAATAATCGAATTTCTGAGAATAATTTTTTTTTCTTGAAAATAATTGAATTCCCGTGAAAAATTATATTATTTTTGAAAATAATTGAATTCTTGTGAAGAATTTTATAAAAAAATTTTTTAAATAATTAAATTCCTAAAAAAATTTTAATTATTTATGATAATAATTGAATGGTTGTGAAGAATTTTATCAAATTTTTTTTTAAATTATTGAATTCTTTTGGGAAATTTTATTAAAATAGTAAATATTGAACATTTTTTAATTGTTTTGAAAGAATTTCATTAAACATTTTTTAAAACAATTAAATTTCTTCAAAAAATTTAATTAAAAATATATTGAAAATAATTAAATTCTAAAAAGAAAATTTTTTTGAATAATAGAATTCTTTCGAATAATTTAAAAATAAAATTTTTAAGAATAATGGCATTTTCAAGGAATATTATTTAAATTATAGTGAAAATAATTGAATTCGTGTGAAGAATTGTATTATTTTTGAAAATAATTCAATTCCTGCAACGAATTTTATTAAAATTTTTAAAAGTAATTCAAAGTTTTCTAAGAATTAAATTACTTAGAAAATAATTTAATTAAAATTGCATTAAAAATAATTCAAATTAGTAAGTGTATTTTTTAAATTTTGATTATAAAATTATTCAAAAATTGAAATTTGTAAATAAAAAATTTGGTAATTTGCATAGTAATAATAATAAATTGAATATCACGTTCCACGCGTAATATTTTCTAGTTGAATTATAAAGTTCCAAATTTTTAAATTATTAAAATTTCAAAAAAAAAATGAGATATTAAATAAATTTCCCTTACTTTTTCCTTTGATTTCCTTCAGCATTTCAAGGGTAACTTTATGAAATTTTTGAACTGTGAAAACATTTCTCGTTTCTGGATTTTGGTCCCATTCGTTTGTTGCGAAAAGCATTAAACTCATTTGATCGTCTCGATTAAATGCACACAGCATTTGCATATTATTTTTATAGAGCTGAAAATAATTAATAGTCTTTTTTTAATAAAGTAAATAAATTTTTTGAAATTTAAACAATTTTTTTTCACCAGAATTTACTTATTTAAAAACGGTATTAAGAAATGTATGTACCTAAAACTTTTAATTAAGTAAGTTTTTTAAATTTGTTAATATTTCTCACCAAAATACTACTCATGAAAGGTGATTCTTCGTTATCGCCGCTTGTTTCGAACATAGCAGGCGATGTGTCTATTAGAAAAAGATTCGCCTGTCGAGGTTCAATATGATCCTGATCACTTATTTCCTCTTGAAGTTGCTGTGTTCCCAAAGTGTTGGTGAAATATGATTCCGCCTGCGTATTTTCCGCCATGGTTTATAATTTTCTGAAGCAAATATTGCAAGTAAAGGTACACTCTCACCTCACTGCCTGCCTGCCTGCACAGGCAGGCGCCATAAGAGTGAGAGAGAAAAAACATTTAATTTGAATTTTCTTACTCTCTTACTCCTATGTGTTACCATGTCAACCTGCAGGCAGGCAGGCAGGCAGTAGGAGCTGTGCTAGCGCCTTAAGAGTTAATTTCATTTTTTATTTTTGTAAATAGGTTTGAATTTCGAAAATATTGAATCTGAACCTGAAGTAAAAAATATTTTTAAGTTCTATTAACACTGTAATAAATTTATTGTTTTATTTTTTATTATTATCTATTATTATTATTTTATAAATTTAATTTATTGACAATAAAGAATAATATTGACAGACAGAAGAAACTATTTTTTTTGTTCATGGAAACCGGCGACAAAACCTAACCTATAAATACACATTTAACTTTCAGATGATTTCATATTAAAAGAATTAAGAAAACACTGCAAAGGATCGATTATAGAATTAATAAAAACTGATTTCGGTTGTCGGTAAAAATAATTTCATTAAAAGACTAAATACTAAACTCCAAAACCATTCCAAAACAAACTTTAATGCCTTTGTTTGTTTCTTTACTTGTAACGTAACGAATTTAATTCTGCTAATTCTGCTTTTATCAATCTAATAAAAAATCAATAACATACCTGACTTTTTTTCCTTATAGTTTCGTTCTTTACTTCTAAAAAATAAACTTAATTTAAACGAATTTAAACAACAAAATTATTAACTTTTTCTGCTTCTTATCTTGTTTTTACATTTGCGGAGTTTCACATTTCACTCTCGCCATTCACGTCACCAACGTGACCACGTGACACATTAGTTCCCGCCAAAACTAACAGGGCAGCCAACAATATACAATTCAAATTTAAAATGTTTCTTTATTTTCAACAAATAACAATTTTTCTTATTAATACTTAAAATTATAATTATAATCATTTAATTTATGCAAATCTTCAAACTACTATAACATTATATAAATTCTATGATTTTTAAGACTACTTACATAAAAGAGACTTAAAAAAATAAGATTGTAGAATATGGAAAAAAATAATTTTGTGAATATCACAGGCAGTTGCACTAACACTTGTTCTTAAAAATATAATATTATATACAGTTGTCAAGCATTTCTAAAATTGTGTATATTTTTAATATTCCCCCTTATTGTGCTCATTATTTTACTGTATTAAAAATATCTGACGATAGAAAATATTTTAATTCTATGCAGGTAGCAGGTAAATTAGGTGTATTTTTTCAACGTTTCCTCAGACCTTATTTTTAATTCCTCATGTTTCTCTGCACTATAATTCAAAGCTTTGTCCAGTGCATTATTTACTCCTTTGTTTAATAACCATAATACTCCAGGCACTTGACATGTATATTGATAAAGAATCCTAAAAAGGAATATTTTTCATTTTACAAAAATTTATATTATAGGTAAATTAAATATTTTTTATATTTTCTATTGCTTTTATTATAATTCAAAATTATTTGAAGTTTTTATTTTCTGGATATCAGGGAAAAACAAAATTAAATTTTTATGTCAATCCTGATATAGTAAAATTTACAGTGACTAAAATTACGAAACAGAAATAGTCAGCGAATTTTATGCAACTAAACAAATTTCTTGAAAAAAAGTTTCAATTTAAAAAGAAAATAAATTCACTTACTTAGAAAAGTGATATCTAAACCACATCTTATACGTTAATGTTGAATACAATCTGGGCATTTGTATATTCAGCATTTCCGACAAATATAAAACGCATGTCTCGTAACAACCACCAGGTACATAATACTTCAAACTCTCAATTATACATCTCATCATGTGCTCACATTCCGGAGTTAATTCACGAAAATTCGGTTTTGCCCAATACTCCAGAAAATGTCTACAACGTTGCTTCACTTCATCCAATGTTCCTCGACAAAAATTAAATCTAACCAAAAAAAAAATTAAATATTAGTAAAACATGAAATAGAAAAAAGTGAGAAAATGACAAGTTTATGTAAAATTAATTAGATTAAATTAAAAGTGAAACCAACTCGTCGTCTATTCCCAGAAGATATCCAATGCCCCGCCAAGTGTGACAAAATGCCTCTAAATTCTCATCGGTCGCATTGTAAATTCCAAATTTCGAGGGATATAAAATTATCAAGCCCATAAATCCAAATTGCGTTGCAATCATGTCCCCTTGATTGAGTCCTTTAGGCCGAAAAGAAAATAATTCCGGATTTTTGTAAAGCGTATAAGGACATTGTCCTAAACTTGGTGCAGCGCAAGCCGATTGAAAATCTTCTATGAGAATACTTCTCGTTGGACAAAATGGATTTTTAATTTTAGCTTCTTTATCTATTGTTTCGTTATCAATAGACGCTAATTTCTTTCTCACAGCCTCGTGCATCCTTCGTACTGTTTGAATGTCATTGTAAGCTGCTGTACCCTTTTTCCAAGGATCGTCCATGTACCAATTCCTCACTCGTCGTCCAGTTGAAATGTATCTAAAACCAGGCGAAAAAAAGAATAAAGTAACTTTCTTGAAATAAAAAACTAAAATAAAAATTATCTCAATTCTTGAGAAAGAATTGATCTATTTTTTTCGGAAAAAAATTTTGATTCCCCTTCTGTTGAAATTAGTTATTTTTCAAAATATTTATTTAATTATTTACAAAATTTTAATGCAATTCTTCGAAAAAAATCAATCATCTTGGTAAATAATAAAATTCTTCACAGAAATTCAATTATTTTCAGGAATTTTAATAAAATCCTTTGAAAAATTCAATTATTTTCATAAAATAACAAAATTCGTCACAAAGAATTCAATTATTTTCAAAAGCAAAAAAATTCTTCACGGAATTCAATGCAAAATTCAATTATTTTCATAAATAATAACAATATTCATCTCAAGAATTCAATTATATTAAAAAGGAATAAAATTTTTCACCAAGAAAACAATTATTTTCAAAATGTTGTTAAAAATTGTTGTAAATAATTCAAAGAAAAAAATTTTTTACGAGAATTTAATTATTTTTAAAAATAATAAATTTCTTCTGAGGGAATCAATTATTTTCTATTAAAGAATAAAAATCTTTTTAGGATTTCAATTATTTTAAAACTTTTAATAAAATTCGTTGCAAGAAATCAATTATTTTCACAAATAATAAAATTTTTCACAGTAATTTAATCATTTATGAAATTTTAAGTAAATTTCATTGCAAGAATTCAATTATATTCACAGATAAAAAAATTTTTCAGTGGAATTCAATTATTTGAACAAAAATTTTAATCAAATTCTTCACGAGAAACAAATTATTTTCATAAATAATCAAATTCTTGTCGGGAAATCAATTTTTAAAAATTTTAATAAAATTCTTTCCAAGAATTCAATTATTTTAAAAAATAACTTAATTCATCGGAAAAATTCAATTATTTTAAATACAATTTTAATTAAAATCGTCGCAAGAATTTAATTATTTAAAAATTAATAAAATTTTTTTGCAAAAATTCAATTATTTTCATAAATAATAAAACTAATCGCAAGATTTAAATTATTTTAAATACAATTTTTTATTGAATTTCTCAAATGCAAATTTCTTCGTATTTAAATAATTGAATTCTCGTACAATTTGCTAATAAAAATGAATTATAGAAATGAATTTCAGATAAAGTTTTAGATAATAATTGAATTTTAAAATCATTATAGCATGAATTTTTAGAAATTAATTGAATTTGGAAAAGGTTTCAAATTAAAATCTTTGGAAATTTGAATTTTTGATACTTTTAACTAACAATTCTGTGAAACTAATTTTTTTTAACAATTAAGTTCAAATTTTTTTGAAATCATTTAAAAATAATTATTATATCATTTTTGTTCTCTAATAAATAGATATTTAATTAAAATATTTCCGAATAATCAAAATTTCAGTAAAATTGAATAGTAAATAAATGTATTGTTTTAAATTTTTCACAGAACTTTATCAAAAATTATTTAAAATAATTGATTTAATGAAGAATTTTAGTTAAAAATTCCAGAAAATAATAATTGAATTGAAATGAAGAAAATAATTTTGAAGAAGTTGCAGTAAAAATATTCTTATAACTTATTTAATTTCAAAAGGTTCGAATTTGAAGTTGTTTGAAAATCTAAATTCTCTTGGAAAAACTAATAATCGTTAAATATTTATTTTGAATAAAACTAGATGTTTTCGAATAATTTTACAATTAGAGAAATTCGTAAATAAATTTTAATAGAACATTTTTTGAGTTTTTTAGAGAACATTTTTTTATTTAAAAAAAAGATTTTTAGAGTGAATCAGAATATTCTTTAGGGGAAAAGTCAAAAATTCTGTTAGGAAATCAGGGAAAAGGAAAATTAAATTTTTGTCACAATCCTGAAAAACAAAATCTAAAATTGTGTTTTTTTTGGGTTTCTTTGGAACATTCAAAGTCATTAATTTAAAGAAGAAGAAAAAGAAGAAAAATTACCTCTTAAAAGCTGTGTAAGGCGTACTGGACTTTCCAGTAACAACCAAAGGTTTAAGTCCATCTTCAAAGGAAAATAAAATAAAAAGTGACAATAGTTGCGAATACGATATTCCAAATGCATTGTCCACTGCAAATTTTTGACCCCGTTTAAATTTCTCCAAATCGAGCCAATCCGGTCTTTCATCGGGTGATCTTCCACAATCACCTTCGAGACTGGTTGCAATAATTATGTTCAGCACATCGTCCGGCAAAATTTTAAATCCATTTTTACAACCTTCTTCTTCTAATTTAAGATAATTAGCTAAGAATTCAATTTTTTTCTTGTCACCAAATAGTTCAGAATTATCTGGATAACTAAGAGTTTTTAGTTTATTTACTAAATATATTTCCTGGTCCCTCAAGTCATTAATATTATTATTATTATTATTTTCAGCAGATTTGTTATAATCATTTTTCCATATTGTTACAATTTCATTCTGAAGATCATTATTATTATTTTCCAATTTCATTGCTGCTTTTTGATTTTTAATTTCTTCCCACTCATCATTATTTTCACTTTTATTGTTACTTGCGCTTTTTTCCAGTTTCAAAATTTCCGAAGGTGACATATCTTGAATTTCCAAAGTTTGAGAATAAATTTCTTCCTTCATTTTATTACAGCAAAAATAACGTTTCTTTTCAATAGGCCGGACAAGTTTTCATCTGAAAAATACGAAAATTGATTAAAATTTAAATTCTAAGGATTTAAAATTTTTTAAAAAATAAAAAATTTTTTTTTGTCAAAAATTTTAAAATACAATAATTTTTATAATAATTTTTACAATAATTTTTTAAATATGTGTCAGTTTGGCAAATTTTCTAACACTTAAAAAAGAAAAACAAAATTTAAAAAATCGAAAATTATTATTAACGACGAAAAGTGAAAAATATTGAATATCAACTGAAACTGAAATGTTGAGAAAATCCTTGCTAAGTGTTATATATACCCTGACAATAGGATAGACGACTTTATGTTTAGTGCAGAATTTATTATTACATTTTGCGGTTATAAACCAAGAGATAGTCACGAGAGGTCCTCGTAACTACGAGCGAGACGAGATTACTATTATTTTAAATTGCGCACGTTATTAAGCAACAAAAACTGCGCTATAGGACATTTTCATGCAATTTGAATTAAATTTTTGCCAAAGATTATATATTTCAATTGATTAAATAATTTTTGTAAAAATAAACATGACAAAATCTTCTACAACACGCATTTTTTCTCAATGCAATTTTTCTCAATGACTTAATAAACAATAAGAACAAGTAAATAATGAGTAGGAAAAAGATAAACTTAAATATTTTTCTTACGCATTATGAGTTAACAATTTCAAAAGATAAAAATTGATCTACTCCCAAATCAATTAATTATTCTTATCATCTTGACAAATACGTTCATTGATTGCTCATTATTATTATTATTTATCATTGTTGTTATTATTATATTTTTTTATTATTTATTATTATTATTTTCATTACTATTAGTATTAATTATTCTTTCCAGCAAATATTACGCGCGCGGAGAACGTGATGCAAATTAGCAAAAAATTTTTATCAATAAATTAAAATTTTCGAATAATTTCTTTATCAAAATATAAAAAATTCACTTATTAAGTACATAACTTATTATTGTTTAAATTTTCAAAAATTTTAATATAATTCTCCGCAAGAATTCAATTATTTTCAGAAATAATAACATATTATTCGGAAGAATTCAATTATTTTTATAAATAATTGAAAAAATATAATTTTTTGCAAAAATTCAATTATTTTCAACAAAATTTTGATACAATTTCACGAAAGAATTCAATTATTAAAAATTTAAATAAATCCATTGAAACAATTCAATTATTTTTTTAAATAGTAAAGTATTTGCAAAAATTCAATTATTTTCAAAAAAATTTCACGAAAGAATTCCATTTTTTTTCTTAATTTATTATAAAAGTTTTAAACGAATTCAATTTAATTATTTTTATAAGTCACAAATTTTTACTAAGGAATTTATTTATTTACAAAAATATTAATTCGAATTCTTCACAAAAAAATTCAATTATTTTCAAGAAATTTTAAAGTAATTCTGATGAAGATTCAACAAAATTCTTTGCATAAAATTAATTATTTTAAGGAAGTTTAATAAAATTTTTTTCCAAAATTTAATTATTTTCTAAAATTAAAATTTTAGAAAAATAAATCCTTCGAAACAATTCAATTTTTTTTTAATTTTTCGAAAGAATACAATTATTTTCTAAAATTACAATAAATCCTTCGAAATAAATCAATTATTATTACAAGTAGTAAAATTTATTGCAAGAATTAAATTATTTTTATAAATAATAATATTCATCTCAGGAATTCAATTATTTTTATAAATAGTGACATTTTTTGCAAATTTCAATTATTTTCCACAAAATTTTAATAAAATTCAATTTTTTTCTTAATTGGTTATAAAATTTTTTAAAAGAATTTAATTATTTTCTAAAATTTGAATAAATCCTTCAAAACAATTAAATTATTTTTATAAATAATAAAATTCGTTGAAAAAATTAAATTATTTCTATAAATGATAAAATTATTCTTAGAAATTCAATTATTTTTAATACAATTTTAATTAGCTTCAAAAATTAAATAGTTAATGATAATTATTAACAGACACGATTATTTTAATAAGTTGAAAGAAAATGGTCATAAAATTCTATCACTTTCAAAATTTTTAATTAAAAATATTCAACAAACTACAATATTTTTAAAAAAAACTTAAAGAAATTCTTTAAAAGAATTTAATTATTTACAAAAACTCTAATAAAATTGTTTAAATTAATTAACAAAATCGATTATATTCAATAAATTTAAGACATTTTTTGAAAGAATTCAATTATTGTCAAAACATTTAATAGTGTCTATTCTTCGAAAGAATTCAATTATTTTCTGTATTTTAATAAAATTTCTCGAATGAATTAAATTATTTTAGAGAATTGAAATAAAATTCTGAGAAGAATTTAATTATTTTCTAAAAATTTTAATAAAATTCAATAATTAAATGTTTAATTTCAATTTATTAAGTATTACGATTATTTTAAAAACTTTTGAAAGAAATTGTTCATAAAATATAATTACTTTAAAAATTTTCAATTAAAATTATTAAAGAAACTCCATTATTTAAAAAAAATTCAATGAAATTCTTAGCAAGAATTCAATTATTTTCATAAATAATAAAATTCTTCGAAGGAATTGAATTATTTTCATAAATAATAAAATTCTTCGAAGGAATTCAATTATTTTTAATACATTAATTTTAAAATTGAAAATATTTAAAAACGTTTGGAAACAAAAAAATCTATTTACCATTTTTTCACGAATTTTTAAATAGTTCAATAGAATTTTTTTTATCATATTTTAATATTCAATTATATCTTTAAAAAAAAGTATATTAAAATTTATAACAGAATATATTTTTGTAGACTTATCTGTAAAATATTTAGTTTTATCATCAAATTTTCATAATTCATAAATAATTTAATATTAGAAGAGTTGGGGGTAGAAATTTTTAGAAATAATTCAATTTCAAAAATTTTAATTTAATATTAAAATTGTTTGAAGATTTGAATTTTGAAGAAATTCAATTAATTTTAAATTCTATATTCTTGCAATTTTCTGATAGTTGTTTGAAAAATTTTAATTCGTATTTTGTTTTGAAATTACTTAGAGATAAACAAATAGTTTTGCACTCAGAAAAAATTAATTAATAAATTACAATCTTAGTAACGGAAACTTTGATAATGAAAGTAAATCTTGAATAATATATTCCTTTTGTGATTTCAACAAAAAACATATTATGCCATAAATTACATTGACTATTCTATAGTCATTTACACTAAGAAAATTTACATGTTGCTTACGTCTGTTCACGTTTTTTTTAAATAGGACTATTAAATAAGTCGCAAATTTCGAGGATTTACTTTTATTTTGCAAAGAAAAATAAATGTAAGTGGTACAAAAAGTATAGGAAATTAAAAAGAAAATGATAATTATTGTGTCAGATTTTGTGAAATAGGAATGAATCGACAGAATTAAAATTTTCTAAACCGGTTAGTAATTCTTCATTTGCTATTCAATAATCACGTTTTTCTCGTAGTTGTTTCATTAAAAAGGAAATCTTCTAATGAAATTTAATGTGATTTTTTTTACCAATGAAGATAATTGAAGGTCTTGAACAAAAGTTTACAAAGTTTTAATTTTTCGACAAGCAGAGAGTTGACTCAATAAATTGATTCTTAAGCTGAAAATTACAAATTTAAAACTCTGCAATAAATTTGGTTACATTATTTTAATTTTCTTTCTTTCTTTTTTTCTTTCCTTCTTTCTTTTTTCTTTATTTCTTTTTTTCTCTCACTCTTTTATTCTTTTTTCATCTAAAATATTTCCTTTCTTTTTCTTTCTTATTCTGCAAAAAAAGTAAATTCTACATTTTTGCAAAATTCAAATTTTCTCTAAATTTGTAAAAATATAATTGAATTCTTACGAAGAATAAAATGAATTTTATAAAAAATTGAATTCTTTTGGGAAATTTCATTAAAACAGTAAATAAATGAAAGTAATTGAATTTCGAAAAATGTTTGTAAATAATTGAATCGTTTTAGAATTTTATTAAATTTTTTTGAATTGTTTCTAAGAATTACACTTTATTTTATTTTTGAGAATAATTTTTGTATTTCCAACTATTAGCGAATTTAAAGTAGTAAAAATTGTCAAAAAAGGAAAAAAGTATCTTTTAGTGTCGCAAGTATAAAAAAAGTTTCCAAATATTTGCCAATTGTAAAAAAAGGTAGTAATACAACATAAACGTTATCAGAATATTAAAAATGTAGAGAAGAAGAATTTTTTTTGAAAAACTGATAAATCTCGATTTATATTGGTAACAATATAGAGTTTAAATTTCATATTTCTTTATCAGCAAATGATAAATTTTCTACTTACTTGACCATTTGCAAACAAGATTTTCCTCTCTTAAAATATTGATTTAATCTCAGACTTGTCGATTGACTTCTCAATTTTCCAAAAAAATAATGTTAATAACAACGAAAAATAGACGATGGAAAAATGATAGAAAAGTCCTTAAGGCTCAAGTTGCAATTACATGACTAAAGTATATTTCTTGTTCTTAAATGTATTATTCACATTTTGGCATTGATCGACGCATTCGCACAATTTTCTGCACGAGCATGCGCTGAAACCTGCAAGCAAAAAATTTAATTAGAGTCAATGATACATATCTCTTGATAGAATCAAACACGAAAATTATCCATTATCAAAATTTTTTCCAAAAAAAAGTAAAATTATCAAAGAAGAAAAATCATTTTTTAGAAAATTTAAACTATTTTAATATTTTTCCCTAATAATACATTTTCTTAAAGAAATTTTTAATTCACCAGTAAATTCCACTCTCTTTTCTTTTTCTTTCTCTTCTTCTAAAAATAAAGGTTTTCTCGGGTGAAATGAACTTCTAATTATCTCAAATGAAAATCTATCTCCTATCGCCTGAAGCACTTGTTTCGTATCCAGTAAATTTTCATTTGATTCGATTCTAAACCAAAAAGAAAAAGAGAAAAAAAAAATTATAGTTTCCTATATACAATGAAAATGAAACCTCTTTAAATAATATAAATCTGGGTTACCGTGTTTTATGAAAATGAAACAAATATTTATATTGTACTTTCCATTCCTGGCAGTATTAAATTTTTAATTTTATTTAAACTGAAAAATTAATTAAATTTGCCATATTTTATATTCTCAATATAATATTAACTTTATACTCATATTACATTAGTTCTATATTGTTACAAACAAAAATTTTCAACTTTTTATAATTAAATGATACATAATTATGCAAAGTCAGAAAAATTATGAGACTGTAATGAACATTATTTCTAAAGTTGTAGTTTAATTTTATAAAAAGGTAAACTTTCGTTAGAAATTAATTTCCATTAATTATGTTAATTCTTCCTAAAGAAAAGATGCTATTTTGTACAAATATTAGGTCTCGGATCGACTTTAAGACGCAAAAAAATCGTTTTAGTCGCTTTTTAGTTTAGTACAAAAAAAAAATCGAAAACATTCAATTATTTTTATAAATAATTAAAATTTCACATGAATTCAATTATTTCCACATGAAATAAAATTCTTCACAGGAATTTCAACATTTTTAAAAAATTTTAATAAAATTCATGACAAGAAATCAGTTATTTTCACAAATGGTAAAATATTTTCACTGAATTTCAATTATTTACAAAATTTTAATAAAATTTATCGCAAACATTCAATTATTTTCAAAAATAATAAAATTTTTCGCTGAAATTCAATTATTTAAATAAAAATGAATAAAATTGTTCAGAAGAATTAAATTATTTTTTTTATAATAAAATTCTTCTGAGGAATAAAATTATTTTTAAAAATTTTGATAAAATTCTTGGCGAAAATTCAATTATTTTCATAAATAATATAATTATTCGCAGACATTTAATTATTTTCAGTGCAAATTAAATAAAATTTCACTAAAGAATTTAATTATTTTTTTTTAATTTTATGTAATTGTTTTCGTCGACAGAAAACAAGTTTGTATAAAAAATTTTGATACAATTTTTTATAAGAATTCAATTGTTTTGAATACAATTTTTACTAAATTCTTCGAAAAATTTAAATCCTCGTGGACACAATTCAATTATTTTCAAAAATTTCAATTATTTTTCAAATTTCTTCACATTTTTTTTTTCAAAAACAAAATTTTTTTTCAAAAAGTGGAATAAAATTCTGCATAATATAAAAATTTAAAACAAAATTTGACGAAATTTACAATTTTTTCATTCATTTTTTGGGGAATTAGTTTCAAATTACTTTTGGGAATTCAATTATCTTCACAAAAAATTGTAATTCAAATTTTTCAAACACCTAATTTATTCACATTTTCTAAATTCAATTATTAAAAAAAACAATAATTTTGTTAAATAAATATATTAAATACTTCTTGTTATTTATTTTTTAAAAGGTGTTAACATTTTTCAAAATTTTAAATTTTATTACTTCTCAAAAATATAACTGTAATTCTTCCAAAAATTCAATTATTTTCTGGAAATTTTTAATTAAAATTTTTCTCTAAATTAGTTATTTTAAATAATTTTCGAAAAGTTCTAGAATTATTTAAATTTGAAAATTTTAATTTTAAATCATAATTAAAAATGTATTGAAAACAATTAAAGTCTAATAACCAAATTTTATTAAAATTTTGGAAAATTATTGAAGTTATGCAAATTTTTTTCAACGGATTTAATTAAAATATTGTATTGAAAACAATTGAATTTCTGCAAAGTACTTTTTTTATTTATATTAAAGTTAATAAAATTTGTAAAAATACAAATTCGATTGATTCAAAGAAAAATTTTAATTACTTTCGAGGATTTAAATTATAATTGTAGGTACTAAAAATAATTGTATTTATCAAAAGAATTTTCTCCAAATTTATGAAAATAAATAAAATTTTGTGTAGAATTTTATTAAAATGTTTAAAAATATTTGAATTCTTTTAATTATTGTATTTAAAATAATTCAATTCCTGAGAAAAATGTTATTATTTATGAAAATAATTGAATTTTTGCAAACAATTTTATTAAAATTTTAGAAAATAATTGAATTCAATTCTTAAGAATTGTATCAAAATTTTTTTAAAATACTTGTTTTCTGTCGAAGAAAACAATTAAAATTAAAAAAAACAATTGAATTCTTTCGTGAAATTTTATTTAATTTGCACTAAAAATAATTAAATTTCTGCGAATAATTTATGAAAATAATTAAATTTTCGCCATGAATTGTACCAAATTTTTAAAAAATACATAATTGAATTCCTCAAAAGAATTTAATTATTTATGAAAATAATTGAATGCTTGCGATAAATTTTATTAAAATTTTGTAAATAATAGAAATTCAGTGAAAAATTTCATTAATGGTGAAAATAATTGAATTTTTTGCGATTAATTTTATTAAAATTTTGTAAATAATTGAAATTCAGTGAAAAATTTGATTTTTTTTAAAATTAATTGAATTTTTGCAATAAATTTTATTAAAATTTTGTAAATAATTGAATTTTTGCGATAAATATGAAAAATTTCGTAAATAATTGAAATTCAGTGAAAAATTGGATTTTTTGTGAAAATAATTGAATTTTTGAAATAAATTTTATTAAAGCTTTGTAAATAATTGAAATTTAGTGAAAAATTTGATTATTTGTGAAAAATAATTGAATTTTTACGATAAATATTAAAATTTCGTAAATAATTGAAATTCAGTAAAAAATTTGATTTTCCGTGAAAATAATTGAATTTTTTTTAAATTATGTAAATAATTGAAAATTCAGTGAAAATACTTGATTTCTCGCTACGAATTTTATTAAAATTTCTAAAAATGATTAAATACCTGAGAATAATTTTATTACTTATGAAAATAATTGAATTATTGTGATGAATTTTGTTATTTATGAATAAAAGAAGAAAAAGAAAGAAAAATAAATAAATAAATGATATAATTGTGAGTAAAATATAAGTAGGAAAAATGTGTTTAAACTTTAAACGAAACAGGAAAACCAAGAGAAGGGAAATTAACGTTAGTTGTATGAATTTTTCGGTTTGAAATTGAAGTTTCAACGAGTGGCCACTTGAAAAAAAGAGTCGCAACAGGAAATGAGGTTTGGAGCCAACCCTTTTGGGTGGTACTTTTTAAGTGCTCATGCTTCTCTGAACACGCGCATGAATTAACATCTTAATATTGCAAATTTTTCCTGATCCTTTTAATTTATTTTCGTGAGACCCACAATTTAAATTTTTTCGTCCGCAAAAAAATGCAAACACCTATCGTAACACAAATTTTAATAATATATGTAACATTTAAAAAAAAAAAAATTTTTCCCCTCAAAAAAATTTTTTTGCTTCACTTTCTTCAATTATTTTTCTACATTTTAATTATTTTTTAAGTTTAATTTATTTTCAACTCAACTAAGAAAAATTGAACTATTTTCAATTTTTCTAAATTTTTATTTTCGCAAATTTATCAGTTGATTCAAAAATAATTGATTAAAAAAATAATTATAAAGAAAAAAAATTTGGAACGAAAGTGAAATAGTTTTTAAGAAGATAAAAATAATGAAAATTTTCTTGATAATTATCATTATAATTTTCTTGAGTTGCTATGCAGCAGCAAACGGGAGCAGCTGACAGCAGGCCAACTTCTACTTTAGGGCAGGTGTAATGCCACGCGACAGACGGCTATCGAAATAAACACGATTGGTTACTTTAAAATAGAGAAGGGAGGATGATAATAAAATTTATCTTTATGAAATTTAATATTAAAAATGAAATAAAAGCCAATTTCACTTGTTGTTGTACATATAAAAATCATTCTCAACTTTTTAAATCAACCGCATCATAAAACTTGTGGCATTTTACAATTTAAACAAGCAATTTATATTCCACAAAACTTTTCGAATTGTATAAAAAAAAATTAAATTTGGATTTATTTTCTTTTTCCTCTCGTTTCAATTAATCAAGCGTTAATTTTTATTTATGATCACGTTTCATTTCAAATATTTTTATACTCATTTTTGTTTTTTATTCAATACTTTTACTAATTTTATAATAATACCAGCAAATGTTACTCGCACGGAACGTCATATTCAATTTATTATTATAATGCAAATTACAAAATTTTTATTTCTTTTCTTAAGGGCATTTGAACCTTGATGACGTTACAGATTGTGCAAAGCATGTGTGACGTCATCAAGGTTCAAATGCCCTTAATTCGTTATAATATTTTTCAAAAGAATAAAATAATTTTCTAAAAGTTTAATTAAGCCTTTGAAACAATTCAATTATTTTTTTAAATTTTTGCAAAAATCCAATTATTTTCAATACAATTTTAATAAAATTCAATAATTAAATATTCAATTTCAATTATTAAGAAACACGATTATTTTAAAAACTTGAAAGAAATTGTTCACAAAATTTAATTATTTTCAAAATTTTCAATTAAAATTATTAAAGAAACTCCATTATTTAAAAAAAATTCAAAGAAATTCTTCAAAAGAATTTAATTAGGATTTTTAAAAATTTTAATAAAAATCTTCGCGAGAATTGAATTATTTTCAAAAATAATAAAATTCTTAGAAGGAATTCAATTATTCTCAAATATTTTGATAAAATTCTTTGCAAGAATTTGAAACTAATTTAATTTCTTTAAAGTATTTTATTACTTTTCAAAGGAATTGAATTCTTGTGATGAATTTTGAAATTTATCAAAATAATTGAATTTTGGAGAAGAATTTTATTAAAATCCCCTAAAATAATTGAATTTTGGAGAAACATTTTATTAAAATTCCTTAAAATAATTTAATTTTGGAAGAAAATTTTATTAAAATTCTCTAAAATAATTGATTTTATTGGGAAGAATTTTGTTGAATATCAAGATAATTCAATACTTTTACTAATTTCCAAATAATATTTTTACTACTTTTTATTTGCATTAAATATTTCTCATAATTAGCTTTAGTAGCAATTTAAACATAATATCTATGGCTTCATAATGAAAACGTATTAATTCAGAGAGTAAATAAATTAATATTAGAGAGTAATATAATTTAATTACATATGAATTATTCAATTTCTAAATTGAATTATTTAGTTTCTAAATGAAATTGAAATGGATTTTTTAATATTCAAGTTTAATTTATTAGATTAAATTTTAATTTTTAATTAAATGCTGTACTCTTTTTTTTCGAGAAATAATTTGCAAATAAATTTTTTACCTGATATACGCTTTTATTTTCACCCCCATGATTGGCGAGATGGTGGGGAGTGTTATTCCCACGTGATCAAAGACCGCGTGTTCGCCAGCAGCTGTATAAACCTCCTGCTCCTCTCGTTTCATTCTCCGAGAAGCGATCCTCGAGGAAAGTTCGCATTTGTTGCATTTTTTAAATTCCCTAAAACAAGAGCGATTTTTTTCTGTAATTAAACTGTTTTTCTTGCAATTTTTCTCACTAAAAAAAATTTAAACCGAGTGTCGAGGAAAACAAAATTTCAATTTTCCATAAAATTGTAAAAGTATAAAAAATAATAAACGAAAAGTATAAAAAATAAGAAAATAATGAATAAAATTAACTAAAAATAAACAAATAAAATAAAAATACTAAATAAATAAAAATAAAAGAACTAAATAAATACGGAAAATAAAAGTACTGAATAAATACGAATAAATAAAAAATAAAAGTACCAAATAAAATCGAATAAAAAAAATCCCTTTCAATAAAATCGAATGCAATTAAAATTACAAAACAGTGAATTAAATATCAAACATCAAATTAAATACGAAAAAAGACAATCGGAATTTTAATTCACAAATTCAATTCCGAACTAAAAGCTTTTTCAAGATAGATCCTTCATTAATTTATAAAAAGGACATTGTTGTGTGGCGAAAGAGATTACCGCAGTTAAATAAGAGAAAAGTGTTTCTATTTTGAGAATTCGGGTCCACAAGAATCAATATTGAGTGATGAAAAGAAAATGTGGTGGATTTCTCCTTATAGTTGAGGAATTTGCAAAAATAACTATTTAACTAAATAGATGCAATAAACTTTTTCTTTTTCTAAAACAATTTTTTTTTAGAAAAAAAGAAGAAGAAGATTAAATACAAAGCAAATTAGATTATAAAGTTTTTTTTTGAGGAAAATAGTGAGTGTAATAAAGTGAAAGAGAAGTTTAAAAAAAAAAAATTAGGCCAAAAAGTGAAAAAGAAAGGAAGGAAGGAAGAAAGAAAGAAATATTAAAAAGTTTGTGTAAAGAAAAATCTCTTTCGAAATAAGAGATAAGCTGCTTTTCCTATTTCGAGAACATCAAGAATGGGATCGAAAAAAGGATTTTTATACGCGTTCTTATTCATTTCTTCAATTATCTTTCTACTCGAGGTGAGTTTCTGGGATTATTTTCGTATTCCTATTTTATTGTTATCAATATTTTTACCACTATTTTTATTATTATTATTATTATTTTTATTGTTATTAAAATTTTTTCCCCCATTTCTTAGTACAATTACTATTATTATTATTTTTTATTATTTTTATTATTATTCTTTTTTTAGAAAAATAATAACGATTAATATTATTTCATTGGAATTAATTTACTTTATCGAAGTTCACAACGTTTATAATCAACAATTTAGAAGAAAAATATTTTGCACTAAAATTTTGGTATATTTTTAAACAAAAAAAAAATGTTGTTCCAATTTTGTATTCAAGAATAAATTGGAAAATGGAAAAATGTTCAAACAAAAGAGTTTTCTTTAGAAAATAAAATTTCAAATTTAATTTTGAAACATATTTTTAGACAAAAGAATTTACTCTTTTGTTGAAAAATTTTGTTTGAGAGAAGAAAAATATTATTTTCCTAATTGTTGATCATAAACGTTGTAAATTATTAATTTGAATTTTTTTTTTACAAAGAAACATTAAATACGAGATTTGCAAAATATAATAAATTAAAAAATAAAAACAAATCGAAAATGCTTGTTTAGAATAAAATATACCTAATTGACAAAAGAAAAAATTGACAAAATGACGAAAAAGAATTAATTAAATAAATAAGTAAATAAAAAAAGAAAGGAACGGAAAAAAATGGGTAAAAATAGTAAAAATAAATAATAAATAGAAAAAATTAGATTTTAGAGATTTAGAGCATCAATTTACTAATTTAGAGAAAGAGGAGCAAAAAAGGGAAAAAACTGAATAAAGGTGACTTTGTACCCATTTTAAATAGTGATACGATCATTTCACATGTGAATTTCTCGCTAACAAGAGGAGAAAGAAAAAAAGAGTTGAAAGACAATATATATACGAATAATAAAAAGAAGTGGAAGAAATGCGAACGCGAAAGCATAGAATAAAGGGAAGAATCGTGGGGGTTGAACCGGAAAGATCAGAGTTGGTCAAAAGTCTAGGCTAATAATGCATAGAAATCGTGGGAGCGACGCCAAGGTCCGTTCTTTGTTGCCAAATGGCCCCCCTTCAACACCAGAATGGAGCAAAAATATATGTGAGAATGAGAGAGAGAGAGAGACCCCAATCCACTCCCGCGAATCCAATTCCTGCAATTAAAAAATTTATTTTCACCATCTATTCAACGACTGAATAAAAATTTTAATTTACCTCTTATTTCCACTCAATGTCATAAAAGAAAAAATTAATCTTCAAATTTCCATCATCACATCAGAAAATTAATTAAAATAATTTTAAAAATAAAATTTAATAAAATAAATTTTTTCTCAATTTTATTATTTTATTTTATATTTTTATAAAAATAAATATTTAATAAAATAAATATTTTCTCAATTTTATTATAAAAATAAATATCTTCTTCTATATTAATAATCGTTGTATTCAATTTTAAAATTAATATGTATTGAAAATCATGGAATTGTTGCTAAGAATTTTAACAAAAAAAATTGATAATAATAGAATTCCTTCAAAGAATATTATTATTTAGGAAAATTATCGAATTCTCGCAAAGAGCTTTGATAAAATTTTTCAAAATTCCAATTAATTTCTTTTTGAAGAATTTCTTTGAATGCATAATTATTCATGAAATTTTTTGAAAATTCGTCGAAAGAATTAAATTTTAAGAAACATGGAATTATTCAATAAATTAATAAAATACGTTGCAAGAATTCAAATATTTTCATAAATAACAAAATTCTACTAAGGAATTTTATTATGCTGAAAAATAATAAAATTCTTCACAAAAATTCAATTATTTTCAGTAAATTTTAAGTAATTCTGCGAAATAATTCAATTATTTTGATACGCAACAAAATTCTTCCCATAAAATCAATTATTTTAGGGAATTTAAAAAAAATTCTTCTCCAAAATTCAATTATTTTAGGGAATTTTAATAAAATTCTTCTACAAAATTCAATTATTTTGATAAATATCAAAATTAATCACAAGAATTCAATTCTTTTGAAAAGTAATAAAATACTTTGCTGAAATTAAATTACTTTCAATTTCAAATTCTTGCAAAGAATTTTATCAAAAAATTTGAGAGTAATTGAATTCCTTCGAAGAATTTTATTATTTATAATGAAAATAATTGAATTCGTGCGAAGAATTTTATTCAAATTTTTGAAAATAATTGAAATCTTTCGAAAAATTTTATTAAAAATTTAAAATAAATTAAATTGTTTTGAAGAATTTATCAAAACTTTAGAAAATAATTGAATTTTTGCAAAGATTTTACTGTTTTAAAAAATTGTTGAATCGCTTCGAAGGATTAAAAATTTTTTTTTTAAATAATTGAATTCTTTCGTGAAATTTTATTTAAAATAATTGAATTTTTGCAAAGATTTTACTATTTAAAAAAATAATTAAATTGTTTCGAAGTATTTATTTAAATTATAGAAAATAATTGTATTCGTTCGTGAAATTTTATTAAAATTTTGTTTAAAAATAATTGAATTCTTACGAAGAATTTTATTAAAATTTTTGAAATTTATAAACGAGAATAATTAATTAGTAAATTAGTTAATAATTGAATTTTTTAAGTTTGAATATTAAATTATTCAAATATTCATTATCAATAAATAAATTAATTAATTAATAGAAATAATGAAGTAGAATTAAAAAAACAGAAAAAAATAAAAATCACTATTCGAAAATTTCGATTCGATGAATATTCAAATTAATTAGAAAAAATCCGACTGAAAATTCCCCTTTCGCGAAAAGTAGGACGTTTTTATCAAATTGAAAAAGAGATAAAGAGATAGAGAGGTTAAAAAAATCTGTAATAAAGTGAAAAAAAAGAATGCCTAATGACCTCCAATAATGAGGAACTTTGTGACTATTCACTTTCGTGTCTCTCTCTCTCTCTCTTCATTTTCTTGCCATTCTCAAGCTGACTCGACATTCATTAAAGATTTAAAATCTCTCGTTAACAACTTCTAGATTAACGCACACTGAACAGACCCTAAAAAAAATGAGAATGTAAAAACTGTTGAATTTGCAGATTTTCTTTTGTTAAAGGAAAATTCAAGAACCAAAGAGTTCAAAGCTAAACTTTGACAAACGAAATAAAAAAAAAAATTTGATGATAAAACAGTGAGATTAATTTTCTCTAAAAGGCAATAAAGGGAATGCAAAGGCATTAAATTAAAAATGTCTATTTTAAATTTCAGAGATAACTCGTATCACAAAAAATAATGAGAAAAAAGCTTCTTCATTGTAGAAATTATCGATTTCTAATATAGTTATTTTTATTAGATTATTATTAGTTTTATTATTTTTAGGTCCACTTTGTGTAAAATAAATAGAGAAAAATTAACATATATGTGATTTTCTTTTCTCAAAATAAAATTTTTCTTGAAAGTAAAATTTTTTACAAATATTAAAAATTACAGATGTAAATAAAAATAATTAATAATAAATAAAGTAAAAATAATATAATTTTATTAAAAAAAATTGAAAATAATTGAATTCTTGCAACGAATTTTATCAAAAAATTTGAGAATTGAATTTTTTCGAAGAATTTTATTATTAAAATATAGAAAATAATTGAATTGTTTCGAAAAATTTTTAAAAATTTGAATTATTTTAAAGGATTTATTAAAATTTTAGAAAATAATTAAATTTTTGCAAAGATTTTACTATTTAAAAAAATAATTGAATTATTTCGAAGGATTTTAGAAAAATTTTTTTAAATAATTGAATTTTTTAGTGTAATTGTAATAAAAATTTTCAAAAATTGAATTCTTACATAAAACTTTATTAAAATTTTATTAAAAATAATTGAATTATTGCAAAGAATTTTAATATTTATAAAAATAATTGAATTGTTTCGAAGGATTTATTAAAAATTTAGAAAATAATTGAATTCTTTGAAAAATTTTACAAAATGAATTAAGAAAAAAATTGAATTCTTTCGTAAAATTTGAAAATAATTGAAAATAATTGAATTTTTGCAAAGAATTTTACTATTTAAAAAAATAATTGAATCAATTCAAAGGATTTATCAAAATTTTAGATAATAATTGAATTCTTTCGTGAAATTTTATTAAAAATTAAAAAAAAAGGATTCTTTTATGAAATATTTTAAAAATTGTGTTAAAAATAATTGAATTTGTTTCATAGGATGTTTAAAAATTTTAGAAAATAATTGAATTCTTTTGAAGGATTTTATATCGAACTAAGGTAAAAATTGAATTCTTTCGTGAAATTTTATTGAAAATTTCAAAAAATTGCGAATACTTTCATGAAATATTTTATAATTGTATTATGAATAATTGAATATTGTTTCCAAAGGATTTATTAAAAAAATTTTAGAAAATAATTGAATTCTTTCGTGAAATTTTATTAAAAATTTCACAAAAATTGAATTATTTAAAAAAATTTTACTATATTTATAAAAATAATTGCATTCTTTCGAAGAATATTATTATTTATGAAAATAAATGAATTCTTGCGAAGAATTATATTTTAATTTTTGAGAATATAAACAATAATAATTAATTTCTTACATACTGAATAATTGATTTGTATTTAATTTTGATTATGAAATTATTCAATAATTTGTAATTGAAATTAATATTTCATAATTTGCAAAATAATAATAAATTTGATATTTGGATCCGCGCGCTAAATAAATATTTTATTTACCAAAAAGTATTTTTCGAGAATTTAATAAACTAATCAATTTAATAAATAATTATTTTGATTATAATTTTTTCTAAATAATAAAAATGAATTTTTATTTTTATGAATAAAAATGAATAATAATAAATAATAAATATAATAATAAATAAAAAAATATAATAATAAATAAAAATTAATTAATAAAAATTGAATAAATAGATTTTATCTCGTTTTTTTCTGTGGATCATTCCTTGAAATTAATTTATTATGAATATACACTTTGAGAAGGAGTGTGATTTAAATTATAATATTACACATTCGAGTGTATGAAACCTGAGTGCAAAAGAATTCTTTACTGCTGGGAAAAATTATTTAAAAAAGCTATAGATAATTATCTCAATTTACTTACGGTAGCGTTGAGTGCAGGCAGCTGCAGTATTTCACCCTCTGCCTGGAACTTCCCATCGGAAGTCAAAACTGGGCAAGGGTTCATAGAAAGAGCAGAAAAATGTGTGGAAACCATCGTGGCGTGACCTTCTGACCTTCTGGAAGTGAAGCTTTTCCGGAATAAACTCAACCCTTTCCTTCATCGCTTTAAGGACATTCTTCCATCTATTTATTCCTGAAAAATTCATTCAAAACATTAATTTCACATTTTTAAATATTTATAATATTTTCTTCTTTAATAAAAAGTAATAAAAAATAATGAAAAATTAAAAAGTAATTAAAAGTAATTAAAAGTAATAAAAATAAAAAATAATAATAAATTAAATAAAAAATAATAATAAAATAATAATAAATAATAATAATTATAAAAAAAATTAAAAAGTAATATTAGAAAATTTTACTAACAGAAAATTTTTGTTCGTTCAAAAAAAGATAATTATACAGTGAAAAGAAAGTCAGAGTTGCAGAAATGATTCGATGTCATTGGACTGATAAATACGAAAAAAAGGGACAAATAGTATATTACAATAGTCGCAATTACCACTTCCGTTTTATTAACATCGGAAGTTCCCATTCACATACGTCATCGTATTTATTGTTTCCCTCGTCACTATATTGCAACTCTGTTGTGAAAATAAAATTCCCGCAAACTGGAAAAAAAATAAATTGCCACCAACTCTACTAAAAAAAGAAAAAAAAAGTTACCAAACTCAAAAAACGATATTGTATATATTGTATAAAGAAAATAGAAATAAAATGCAAATGAAACGGATGTATAAAATAAAAATGAATAAAAAACAAAAAAGTAAATGGCTGGGAAAATTTGTTTACAAAAATTGTGAAAAAGAGAAATTTTCCTCAAGCTGAATAAAATTTCCATTTTTTACAAATAATAAATTAGAAAAAAGTTCAGAGGAAATATACTGACCTATTTTTTGGTATTTCTCACGAGATGTAAAAGAGGGCGAAAAACTGTGTGTTATAAGGACAATTTTTCCTTTTTTTGCACTTCTTTATTTTCTTCTCCTCTTGTTCTTCTCTTTTCTACTCCCTTATCGGAAATATTCCCAGACAGTTTATATACTGCCCCGAAGCATTTGGAACAAGTTGCGGCCTTTTATATACATATATATATACAAAAAAACAGACTTGCAACTCGAGAAATATTCAAAATGAACAAAGGAAAAATCTCGAGCCAAAAGGATATTGCCTTTTGGCTTCGAGATATTATTAAGTCTTGAAATCGTCATCTCCGAACGCTCGATTCTCTTTAGTCCTCTAGCGTCTTTAGTCATCTCTTTTTCCAAAAACTGAGTCCTTGTCGTAAATTTTATTGTTTTCTTCTTATTTCAAATGTCGAATTGACATAAAAACTCCACTCTCATCGTAAACCACGGTCAAGGTCTATAAAATAAATTTTTAAATCATTGAAACACCATAATTGGAACAAAAATAAAAAATTTGTGTGTTATTTATCTCTTTTTGAAAAATGCAAAAAACTTTCATTATTTATTATCAAGAAGACGAGAAGAAGAAGAAGAAGAGAAAAAAATTAAATAAAATATGTCTAGGAGAAATTAAACGTCACCTTGCGAACTTTAGAAAGGGATGTCACTTAATTGGACGTGTAACAAGAATCCGACTTGTTCAGAGGTCGTAGGGATGCCTTGTCAATTTTCCGGTTCAACGGGCAAAGAATGAAGAGCTAAGAAAAAACAAAGAAGAAACATAATGCCTCAAAATGGAATTTTGAAAAGTTATTCAAAATAAACACAAGCAAAATAATTCAAAATTAAAAAAACAAAATTAAAAATTTTAATTAAAAATAAAAACAACAAAATTCAAAATCATTGAATTCTTGCAAAGAATTTTATAAAAACAATTTGAGAATAATTAAATTCTCGAGAAGAATTTTATTATTTATGAAAATAATTAAATTCTCACGAGGAATTTTATTAACATTTTTGAAAATCCTAATTAAATTCTTTTGACAAATGCAATTATTTTCAAAAATTTTATTAGAATTCGTCTAAACAATTCAATATTAAGAAACATGGAATTATTGAAGAAATTAATAAAATTCTTTGCAAGAATTCAATTATTTCCGTAAATAACTTAATTCGTCGCAGAAAATTAATTATTTTCAAACTTTTTAATAAAATTCATCAGAAAAGTTCAATTATTTTCATAACTAACAAATTTTTTCTAAATAATTCTATTATAATTATACTCAAAAATATTAAAATTCTTCACAGAAAAATTCAATTATTTTCAAACATTTTTTTAAGTAATTCTGCGAAAGAATTCAATTATTTTGATATGCAACAAAATTCTTCCCAATAAAATGAATTATTTTAGGGTATTTTATTTATTAAAAATAATTGAATTCTCGCGAAGAATTTTATTAAAATTTTTGAAAATCCTATAATTAAATTCTTTTGAAGAATTTCTTTGAATTTTTTTTTAAATAATGGACTTTCTTTATCGAAAATAATCGATTTTTTTAATAATTGTAATTAATAATTTTACTATTAAAATTTTATTTAAATTATTGATAGAAAATTAAACTCTTTTAAACAATTTTATTAGAGTTTTTGTAAATAATAAATTCTTTCGAAGAATTTCTTTCAGTTTTTTTAAATAATGTAGTTTTTAGAATTATTTTAATTGAAAATTTTGAAAATGATTGAAGTAAACAAAGAATTCTTTTCAAATTTTTAAAATAATCGTGTCTGTTAAAAAATGTTAATTAAATATTGGATTATTAAAGTTTATTAAAATTTTTATGAAAATAATTGAATTTTCGCAAAAAATTTTACTTTTACAAAAATAATTGAATTCTTTCAAAGAATGTTATTATTTCCGAAAATGATTGAATTCTCGCGAAGAATTTTATTATTTATAAAAAATAATTTAATTCTTGCGATGAATTTTATTACTTTTAAAAATAATTGAACTGTTTCGAAGGATTTATTAAATTTTTAAAAAATAATTCGATTCTTTGAAAAATTTTATAATGAATTAAGAAAAAAATTTAATTCTTTTGTGAAATTTTATTGAAAATAATTGAATTTTTGCAAAGATTTTACTATTTAAAAAAGTAATTGAATTGTTTGAAAGAATTTATTAAAATTTTTGAAATTTTTGAATTATATCATTTCTAAAAATAATTTAATTCTTGCCAAGAATTTTATAAAAATTGTAAATAATTGAATGTTTTTAAAGAATTATATTAAAAATTATCGAATTAATTGAAGTTTTTCAAAAGAAATTTATTATTTATTAAAATAATTGAATTTTTGCAACAAATGTTATTAAAATTTTGAAGAATAATTGAATTTCTAAGAAAAATTTTATTATATTTATGAAAATAATTGAACATTTGCGAAGAATTTTATCAAAATTCAATAAAATAATTGAATTCTTATAAAAACTTTATTATTTCTGAAAATAATTGAATTTTGGTAAAGATTTTACTATTTTAAAAAAATAATTGAATTATTTCGAAGTATTTATTAAAATTTTATAAAATAATTGAATTCTTTCGTGAAACTTAATTAAAATTTTGATGAAAATAATTGAATTTTGGCAAAAAATTTTACTATTTATAAAAATAATTGAATCCTTCAAAAGAATATTATTATTTCCGAAAATAATTGAATTCTTGCGAAGAATTATATTAAAATTTTTGAAAATATAAACAATAATAATTAATCATGTATTTAAGTGAAGTTTTTAAATTTCAATTATGAAATTATTTAAAAATTTATATTTGAAAATAAAAAATGTTACATTTTTTATTTTCAAATATAAAAAATTATTTTTTTATTCAAAAATAAAAAATGTTACATTTTTTATTTTCAAATATAAATTTTCGAATATTAATTCGCATAATAATAATAAATTGAATACCACGTTCCGAGAGCTAGTTACCAAGTAAATAAAGAAAACCCGCTCGGAATTGAAAAAAGGAAACAGAATATTATACAGAGGGAAAGTAACAAATAAGAGTGAGAGGCGAAAAAGAAGAAGAAGAAGAAGTAGGAGGAGGAGGATGCTTTTAAAAATTGGGCCTTACATGGTTCATTGGGCCCATTCGCCGGGTGTTGGCACTCACCTGACTTTTCTGAAACCGATGGCGCGTGCCATCGACAGCTGCCAGCAGCTGACTCCCATCCTTTTTAGCTGCAAACTATTATCAAGAGAAAATAATACTTTTTTTTCCCCCTTCTTACCTGATGTGTAAAATTACTGCAATGATCGTTTTAAGAAACTGTCGCGCTTCACTTTTAAATACCGCGCGATCGAATTTCATTTTTTCTTCTCCTCGAAACTCGCCACGCTCGCCACGCTCGCCACACTTCTCGAGAGTTCACTTATTGGATACACCACTCACAGAATTTGTATTTGAATTCCTAAAAAAAAGAATAAATAATTACAACTTTTCCTTGTCTCTCGTATAAAGTTTAAAATATATACTCGACTTTCGGTGTATGACAAAACCAAAAGTTTAGTTTACATTCATAATTTTTGCTTTATTTTATTTTTGTCATTTTATTCTGTTTCTATTTTTATTTCTGTTTCTATTCTATCCGAAATTTGTTTCTATTTAATTTATTTATAATTAATAATTTTTTTTCCATTATTTCTATTTAATAATATAGATAAATTCAGAAAATTATTTATTTAGTTACAATTTAGTTGCAAATTTAATTTGCAAAAAGGAAGAGTCTGAAATATTTTCGAAATTGAATTTCGCAATGCCTCTGAATAAGAAATGGTTATTGCCTCGAAAGATGAATGATTGAAAATTACAGATGAGATTTCGTTTTGTTATAGAAAGAAGAAAAAGAATTTAGAGCCGCGGGCTCGTTGTTCGATGCGGGTTCTCGTTTCTCGATATACTTCCAAGTTATGAGGATCAATTTTTGAAGGTCGGATAATAACAACAGATGGACATTTAAAATCGGATTAAATTTAGTCAGAGTTCGTTGAATCCCGTATTTTTATTCCCACGATTCTAAATTTATCCAACTTTTGACTAAATTTAAATTTTGTTTTCGAATTTCGGTGAAAATATTTTTAAATTTGAAATTAGTAATTTTGGTGAATTTAGCAAAATTTAAAAAAAAAGACTGGATTTTAGATTTTAAAAAATAAATTGACTTTGGGTGAATGAAAATGACTCTATTAAAAATCAAGGGAGTAGAAAAATGGTGATTAATTCCATGGGAAGGGAATTATGATAATTAACTGGAGGGTATGAAGAATCGGAGATTAAGAATTCGCATTGTTTTTGCGAGAATTAATATAATAAAAAGATGATCTCGATTCGGGGCGAAGAAAGCGATTGTTATCGGGGTTTTGTCTAGAAAAGCAAATGCAAAACGAACGGATGAACCTCCGCAAGGTGTTTCCGAAGTCAGCTGGTCCCCGTTTCTCAGGCACCTGTTCGCCAACGGTCTTACTTGTGCATTAAGTTTAGAATAGAAACTGATATAAAGAAACTCGGGGATAAAAAAATTTTTAACTCCTCTTTAACGTGCTCGGCACATGCACAGAATATATTTTTTTTCTTTCAAAATTCAATTTACCAAAGTACATTGAATTTTGAAAGAAAGAAAAAAACTTCATTCAGTTAATAGAAGTAGGAGAAAACAAAATTCTTTGCCAAAACACAAATTGTACACACGGGAAAAAAAATTTTTTTTTATTCACTCCAAAAATTATTAAATACTAAAGAAAATGTTAGAACATTTTCTTGAGTATTTATAATAATTTTTATTTACATTTACATTTATTTACGAATTTCTTTAATTGGAAAATTATTCGAAATCATCAATAACTTCTTTTTTTAAATAAATATTTAATCATTAGGATTATTTTCCAATAGGAATTTTTTGAAAATTATTTTCATCATTTCAATTCAATTATTATTTTCTAGAATTTTTAAAACTAAAATTCTTCTTTAAATCAATTATTTTTAATAATTTTCGAAAAAAGTTCTTTTAGAATTTTCAAATCCATTTGTAAAATTATTCAATTTTACGTGAAATTTCAATTATTCGTAAATTCTTCAATTAAATATTTATTAGAAAATAAAAACTTCAAATAATTTCAAAATAAAATTAAATTAAACTTTCTCAAAAAATTAATTCTACAGAATTGTTCATTTAAAGTATGAAAAATTCAGAATTTCAAAAATTTAATTTGAAACGAATTCAAAATTCAATTATTTCTAAAAATTCATGCTTTAATGCTTTTAATATTCAATTATTATCAAAAATTTTAACTGAAAATCAATTTTAAATAAATTTTTATTAGAAAATTCTACGAGTATTCAATTATTTAAATACAAAAATAAATAATTTTTTAAATAATTGAATGTGTATCAAACTTTAATTCTCATAAAGAATTTTAGCGACAAATTTTTAAATAATTATTAATTAAATTCTTTTTGTTGAGTTTTCAAATTAAAAAATATGAAAAAATTGCAAATATTTTTTTTTAATTGAATCTCTAATTGAATTTTTTTGACAAATTCTAATATTTTTAAGAACAATTACATTTTTTTGGTGAATTCGATTAAAATTGTATTAAAAATAATTGAAATTCTACAATGAGTTTTAATATTTATGAAAATAATTGAATTATTGCAAAGAAATTTTTAAAAAATTTGTATATAATTGAATTTCTGTAAAATTTTTATTATTTATGAATATAATTAATGTTTGTGTAGAAATTTATTAAAATAGATATTGAAAATCATTGAATTAAAGAAAATTTTTGGAAAATAATTTAAGTTTTGCGAAGAAAATAAAAAATTTGTAAATAATTGAATTCCTTAAAAAAGTGGTAATAAAATAGTATTAACATAGTAATTAAATACCTCAGAAAAATTTTATTATTCAATTAATTTCTTGCCAAGAATTTAATTTAAATTTTATGACAATAATTTAATTGTTCCGAAGAAAATTAATATTATTTTATTAAAATTTTTTACTATAATTGAATTCCTGAGAAGAGTTTTATTAAATTTTGTTTAAATTTAAATAATTGAAATTTAGTCAAGAATTTTATTAAAATTTTTGAAAATAATTGAATTCTTGAGAAGAATTTTATTATTTATGAAAAATTGAATTCTTGACGAGAATTTATAAAATATTTTTGAAAATAATATGTATTTTAATTTCTGCAAAATATTTTATTACTTTTGAAAAGAATTAAATTCTTGTGATGAATTTGGATATTTATAAAAATAGTAATTGAATTTTTGTGAAGAATTTTATTAAAATTTTTAAAAATAATCGACTTTTTGCGACGAATTAAGTTATTTATGAAGATAATTGAATTCATATGTAACAAATTTTATTAAAATTTTCAAATATAATTGAATCCCAGTAAATAATTGAATTATTTATGAAAATAATTGAAATATTGCGAAGAAAATAAAAAAATTTTGTAGATAATTGAATTCTTGTGATATTTTTATTTCTTTGTGAAAATAATTAAAAGTTTGCGAAGAATTTTGTCAATTTTTTTTTATAATAATAATTAAATTCTTCCCGAAAATTTTATCAAAATAGTAGATATTGAAAATCATTGAATTGAGGAAAATTTTTGGCAATAATTGAAATTTTGCCAAGAATATTATTAAATTTTTTTTAAATAATTGAATTTTATTATTTATAAAGATAATTGAAATTTTGACAAGAATTTTTTTTTAATTTTTGAACATAATTGAATTTCTGCAATTTGTAACTTCTCCAAAAATTCAATTTTTTTTTTAGTGTTTTTAACTAAAATTCTTCTATAAATCCATTACTTTTAATAATTAATTAAATATACAATTAAAAAATGTAACTAACAGAAGAATTTGAATTATTGAAATTTTTTAAAAATCTAAGTTCATTAAAATTTCTAATTAAATTTATTCAGATTAGAAAATTTATAAAATTCCAAATTAAAACCTTTTGAAGTTAATCTATTTATAAAAATTGTTCCGGATAATTTTATTTCTGCCAGTTGAACTGATTTAATCAATTTCATTAAGGCATTAGCTCAGATCCAAAAAAAAAACACCTTGCAGAGAATGCAACGTTGAAACTGAATTAATTTTTTATTAAGTAATTAGCTCAGATATTTTCTTTAAAAATAAAATGCTAAAAATTGAAATATTAAAGTAATTTTCTTCATATTCAATAAAGGAAGTAAAATAAAAAAAATTTACATTTTCCAGGTTGCAGAATGTCGACCGCACATCAGACATCATCGAGAGGGTTCGCACTGCAGTAAATGTGGTCCAGGAATGGGAGTGGTGAAACGTTGTAGTCCAGGTCAAGACACAGAGTGCGGTAGATGTTCTCCAGGAACTTACAGTCCACATCACAGTATTCAGCCCTGCTGGATATGCTCTCGTTGTGGTCCAGGACTCTACGAAGCTCATCCTTGCACCACAAAAATGGACACAGTTTGCGATTCCTGTCACAGGCACGCTCCAGAGAATGCCGACTATCAAAGGAAGTGTAAGGGACGAGCTAATTTCTTCCTCGCTCCAGAGGACGCTGTCGACACTGGCGAGGAGAGCGTTCTCGTGAACGATCCCGAGGACGATGTCGCCGACAGGGACGATCTTCTCCGAAAGGATGTAGACGCCATTTTTCCAGAATCTGACGAAAACTTTAATGGAATTCAAAGTTTATAAATTCAAAGCTGATTCAAAGCTTATTCAAAGGTTAAATCGAAATTCAAACTTTATTCAGTTTTTTCAAAATTCTTCAAATCTGTGGAAGAAAAAAAATTGAATTAGTAACAGAATTTTTTCAATTTTATGAATTTTTAATTTAATTAATTTTATACCTGTGTTTTGGTGTCTTCTTTCTCGGCTCCAAAAATTGATTCTAAATATAAAAATTGATTCCAAATAAAAAATAGAAACTAGTCAAATCTGTAAAATTAATAACTTGATTAGAAAAATTCGGAATAACATTGTCATCGATTATCGAGTAGTATAAGTAGTTTACTTTTATGTTTAAAGTTAGAAATAAAAAATATGTTAAGACAAAACTAGTCAAAATATAAAATCGTATAAGAATCCTTTCTTATAAAAATTTCAAATTTAAAATCTTAATCTAAATCTTAAAATTGAATTATTATTCAATCGACTAATAAATATTGTAATGAAATATGTCGATTTTTTTCTAAATTGAATTCAAAATATTTCATTACTTTCGAAAATTTAGAATTTCAATTAAAAGTCGATTTTTAGATTACAAATTATTTTCCCAAAACTATATCTGATTATGTCTTCTGCAAAATAATTTTCCAATAACTTCTCAGTTGTAAATATTTAATTTTAAAAAACGAAAAAAAATACGTCAGCCAAGGGTGATTATTCAAATAATCCCAAGAAAATAAGAGAAAAAAGATTGTAGAATAAAAATAGTAAAATAAAGATTAATTAGAAAACAAAAAACATTATAAAATTATAATTATTATACAATTATAATTGTAATATAATTAAAATTATAATATAATTATAATTATTACAAAAAAAATAACGCACCCAACTTAAATTATTATGTACAGATAAATGACAACGTATCTTTAATTATTATAATATCTTTACGTGTATTATGTATATATACATATATAATCCCTAATTGTATAACTTATATGATAATTATTATAATTTATAATTTATAATATGCGTACATTTTTATCTAATATGTCCAAAGACTTTTTAACAGGTTCAAATATCTAATATTAACCCGCAGAGTTAATATTAAATACAGATAACACGAACATTATACGACAATATTATTATTCTTTTCGGAAATTTTTTTTATATCGAAATAAAAATTATTGTGTGTGAAAAATTAATCAATTTTCTCAATATAAGAGACAGAGGTATTCTAATATAATTTTGGTCAATTATTCCTGTAATTTCCGAGAGGAAAAACCGCAAATAAAATTAAATCAGATCAAATCGAATCTGCGATAAACAATTAAATCCACCACTGGATGTTAATTTAGTTCTTCCTTATTAATTTAGTTCTTTTTTATTAATTTACTTTTTTTAAAATTTACTTTTTTTTATTCATTTACTTTTTTACTCATTTACTTTTTTTATTCATTTACTTTTTTATTCATTTACTTTTTTGCTCATTTACTTTTTTATTCATTTCCTTTTTTATTCAGTTTAGAATAAAAAAATAGTGAAGAAAAAAATAAAATTAATAATAAAATTGAAAGGAAGAATAAAATTATTTATTAAAAATAAATAAAAATTTGTGACGAGACGCGTCGCAAAGACACAATTTATTCGGCGAAACCTATAAAAATTTAATGGAAGAATATAATAGTAATTAAACTGAAATAAAAAGTTCAATTATTAAATAAAATGAATTAAACTAATTCTGCTGTAAAATTTCTAACCACTTGAGTTTTTTATTACTCCTAAAATTTTACATTCCAAACTTTACCTCGAAAAAAAAAAATATATAAAAAAAATAATCAACAAAAAAAAATCTTTTTAAATACGAGAGAATTTGTATATATAATATTGCTCATTAATATACATGAATTTTATTAACCCCTTAAGACAAAAACAATAGAAAATACCTATAATTACAAATTTCTTTAATAAACTGAAATTTTAATGAATAAATAAATTATTCAATTAAGGGCATTTGAACCTTGATGACGTCACACATGCTTTGCACAACGTGTATCGTCATCAAGGTTCAAATGCCCTTAATAAATCAATAAATTTTCCATTAATTTAATTAACTCGACAAATTAAATTTAAATTTAATTTAATCAATAATTTAATTTAATTAACTCGACAAATTAAATTTAAATTTAATTTAATCAATAATTTAATTTAATTAACTCGACAAATTAAATTTAAATTTACTTTAATCAATAATTTAATTTAATTTAAAACTAAATTAAATTTAATTAATAATTTAATTTAATTTAAAAACTAAATTAAATTTCATTTAATTAATAATCGAATTTAATTTAAAACTAAATTAAATTTCATTTAATTAATAATTTAGTTTAATTTAAAATTAAATTAAATTTAATTAAATTTACAAAAAATTTAAGTGCGAAAATAAGAATTCAGATCTTAAGAGGTTAATATTTTTTATACAAAACGTACATAGTTTTATGTACACTGAGAGCATATACGATTAAAAACAATTGTCGACAATTTAAAAAAGAGACACACAATGGAACTCTTGCTAATAAACAATTAAAGGCCCAATTATAAAAACCAAATCAAGTTTTTAATAAGGCTGCGTGAATTTCCTTTAGTTTCGGATAAATTTCGTAGTAATGATTATAATATTATTATTCTTTTGTGTGAGTGTGATGCGACATAAAACTAACAATGATACGCCAAGCACTCATTTTTTCAATATTCATCTTTGTATATAATATTTATAATATGAATTGTATATATATATATATATTTTTTTTTACTTTATATAATAATATTATACGTACAACATGGACAAAAATTATCTGTCAAGAATTAGACAATTTTTTCTTTAATTCTATACAAGTAGAGGGAAAAATTCTTTAGGGTTTATTTTCACCTCTTTTTTCCTTTATTTTCATAATTTTCGTAATTTCCTTCACTTTCCTTCACTTTCTCTATTTTTTCAATTCACTCAATTTTTTTCATTTCCTTTATTTTCTCCATTTTTCTATTTCCTTTTTTCTATTTTCTTTATTTTCCCTATTTTCCTTTAATTTCACTTTAAAGTTTTTCCTTTTACCAATTTTCGCACCTAAAGAAATTTGTCCTCCACTTTTTTGTCTCTAAACTCTACGATCTTTTCGTTAATTACTACATTTTTTTTGCTATCACTAAATTATATTTTCTTCAAAAAAAAAAAATTGAAATTCTTGACAAACAACTTTTGTGCGTGTGTCGAGCATAACTTAATAATATCGCACTGGAAGAGCGATATTTATTTTATCGTGTCATATTTCTTTTTTTTTTTTTTTGTACAATAATAAAGTGTACAAGCTACACGTTCGATAGAAGGGAACATTTTCCATTAAACTTTTCATCTATCTTGCATTTTATAGTTTTTTTTTCTCTCAATATTATTGTAACTACAAACAGTGTAAATTCTCGCAATATTTACTCGATCCAATAGTAATATAACTTTTTATTATAAAAAAATCCATGACTGGTAAAAACACGACTTTGCATAGTTTGGTCGAGAAAACGAAAAGCAATCCCATAATTTCTGGATTTTATTCATTTTAATATAAATAAACAATGTTTTACATATAATAATAATATTAATAATAATAAGGGGATTGTGAGATTCTTTACAATTTGACTCGATGGGAAAAGTGAAATTGTTTCTGTTCTTCTGCAAAACTGAAAATTTTTTGAAAAAAATCTACGAAATTTAGTTTCGCAAAGGGATAAATTAAAAACTGTTTTTATTATATTAAAAAATATTTGTGTAAAAATCTTGCATTCCCAAAAATCAAATAAAAATATAATCCCCTCGTTTAGAAATGATCGCTTAAAAATTCTCGATCACAGCCTACACTTAGATTAATAAAAAATAAAAAAAATACAGAAACTTTAACTGTACATCATTAAAAAAGAAAAACAATGACAAAAACGAAAAATTAGGACTAAAATACCTGGTTTTTCGAAAAATTCTTAAAATACATATTTACAATTAAATAGGAAATAATTTTGTGACCGTTTTTAAAAACTAGACTTAAAAAAAAAGAAAATAAATCCTAAAATAATTTGAACCAGGGAAAATATACAATCAAGTTTGAACAGAGAAGACTAATAATACACCTATCATTTACATTTCTAATTACGATTATTTATAATTCATTTCTTTCTCATCGTACCTCACACAGTTTCCAGCAACCAGTCATGGATTTCCATTTTTCCCTCAAAAATTTAAGCGAAAAAACTTAGTGATTTATATTTGGAAACTAGTTTACAAATTAATATCATACTTTTCTGTTTATTTATTTTATACTTTGAGCTTCGTTAAAACGTAAGGACTTCAATTCTATGGCGAACTAATCTCAACGACTACGACAAAAAGTGCTTTAAATCCGCATGTCTCCAAAGAAGCACGGATCAATGCTTTTCTCGAGTAAATTATAGGAAGGAGTAATGATTTCATTTTCAAAAAAAATATTGAGTATCAAACTTGTAAAAAAAACGAGGATTCAAATTTTTTTCTTTTGATTCAGGATTTAAATCCTTTTGATTTAATTTTAAATTAATTTTGTTTCCATTTTCGTCGGTAGAAAGAAAAAAATTCTTTAATTTCCCAAAAAGAGAAATTTTATAGTGCTACCATTTTATTTTTTCGAAAACAATCCGGAAATATGTTAAATTATTTCCAAACTGTTTCTAAAAACTAAAAGAAACTGTTAAAATTCGTTAAATTATTTTTATCAAGAGGAAAAAATTTTTAACTTTCAAGAAGCTTTGAATTCGAGTAAATATACTCGAAGAGATTTTTAATCTATTGAATAGATTTTTTTGAATCCTCGGGGGACTTAAAAAATAATGGTAAATTTCAAACGGAAGCGAATGAGACTTTCGGCAGTTTTCCGTGTTTCTAGGGCAAAAAATAAAAAAAAAATGAAGAGCAGATTCTTACCTTGAGATGACATCTTTAGGTCTTAATAGCTAAGTTTAACTATCTCTCGTCGTTACTGTTTTTTCTTTCCACTCTCAACTTCTAATACTGTCCATCGATCTGTCTTTTTTCTTTTCTTCATTTATATATTAACTTTCTTTTTTTTGTCACAATTCACGAATATTTGCTTATTTTTTTTTAATGAATTCTGTTTTAATGGGAGTGTGATGTTTGTGGGTAACGAAGCTCACGACAAGCAAAAGAAACTGGAGGGGGGTCCAGAGAAATAGTTGTGTGCTTCTCAAGCTGACAAGAAAAACATTCTTTGATCACCTCTCGCGGGAAACGAGATTCATGTCATCATCCAAACAAAACACGTAATGTTTTGAATTTTATTTTCCTCCAATTTTCAATAGAGGCGCGCACTGCTATAGGCCCAAGGCTTTTTTTTAAAATTGGTCCACGAGCAGGTCACAGACTTCTATGGACATTGTTTCCTTACTGGAACGCACCGTCAATCGGAACATCTGCAAATTATCATCATTTCAAAAATAATTCTATAAAACTATTTTAAAAAACTTAATTCTATAGAATTTTTATTTAAATGTAAATGAAACATTCAGATTTTCAAAGATTTTTATTAAAAACCTTCTCAAAATTCAATTATTTCTAAAAATTCACGCTGTAATGATTTTAATATTCAATTATTATTTCTCAAATTTTAAATCAATTTTTATTAGAAAATTCTACGAGAATTCAATTATTTAAATACAAATCACATAATTTATTAAATACTTGAATATTTCTTAAAATTTAATTTTGATAAGGAATTTTATCAAATTTTTAAAAAATAATATTGAATACTTTCGGAGAATTTTTTAATATAATTTTAATGAATAATTACATTTTTTGAGGAATATATTTAAAATTGTAAAAAAAAATAATTTAAATTCTGCAATGAGTTTTCTTATTCAATTACCTATTTATGAAAATTATTGAATTCTTGCAATCAATTTTATTAAAATTTAAATTCCAGAGAACAATTTTATTTTTTATGAAAATAATTGAATTTTTGCGAAGAATTTCATTAAAATTTCTTAAAATAATTGAATTTTTATAAATTTTTATAATTTTTATCATTTTTATAAAAATTATTCAAAATAATTGAATTCTGTCAAATAATTCTAATAAAATTTATAAGAATAATTGTATTTTACAAGAAATTAAATGAAAATTGTATAAAAATAATTTAAATCTTACAATGAGTAATTTATTATCAAATTATTTAAGAAAATAATTGAATTTTTACTATTGTAGTTAATTTGTTTAAATTTACTGTATTCACCTTGAAAAATTTTATTATTTGTAAAAATAATTGAATTCACACGAAATATTATATTATTTGAAAATTTCTAATTCAATTTATTCAAAATTGAAATTTTCTAAAATTTCAAATTAAAACCTTTTGAAGTTGTTCTATTTATGAAAATTGTAATCGCAACTCTTTTAAAATTAAATTTTGAAATATTTATGTAAAATATTCATTAAATAATTCATAAGTAATAAGTTTATGATAGTTCTTCAAGAATTGAGTTATTTCAAAATAAATTAAATAATAAAAAAAATTATTGTCATAAATAGAAAAAATTGGATGTTTTTTTATTAAAATTCGTGGTAATTTAAAAATATTTCCAAAATTTGTTTTTTAATTAGATTAATGTTAGATGTTTTACGATTCATTTTTTTATGAGTTTATAGAATTTCTATCAAATTGGAGTTTTATAACAAAGATTCGAAAGAGAACATCGAATTTTGCAAATTTAATTCTATTCTCTTTTAATTTAATGGATTAATTATTAAAGTTATAAAGAAATAAAAAGAATTTTTAAAAATTGAAAGAAAAAAAAGAAATTTACCTGTGCTTGTTTATTGGGTTCCAATCTCAACAAACAACCAACTTGCTGCGCTCGCATGTGAACAATTCCGGCACAGACAAAATTATCAGGATTCGGATCGATTCCGTCCAACAGTTGCATTCCAAAACCTTGAAGTTTTGTGCGAACTTGCTGCAAATCCATCGGTTGCTGAGCTTTAAATATCTTTTGCGAACGTTGCTGATTAACACTGCAAAAAAAAAAATCAAGTGAGCATTTTCCTTCAATTTCGAATTTCAAATCGGAAAATTGAAAACTCACCCTCCAAGATTCTTCCATCTGGCAAAGAATGATTCGCCATTCATTTCTGTTGGCTCGAAGAACTTGTTGATCGTTAACGGCAACTTCATTGTAATTTTCTGATTAATATTATTGTACATGAATGTGATGACCATACTCGGTGAGTCTGTAAAGAAAATTCTTTTGTATTTTAATTTCTAATAAAAGAAGTTAATACTATTTAAATACTTTTTTGTAAAAATACTTGTTGTATTTTTACAATTTTTACAATACTTTCTAATAGAAAAAGTTAATACTATTTAAATACTTTTTGTAAAAATACTTGTTTATAACTTAATTTAATTTTTATAAAAAAGAAGTTAATAGTTTTTAAATACTGTTTTGTAAAGATACTTGTTTAAAGCAATTAAAAAAAATTAAATACTTGTTTATAATTAATTTGTAATTAAATTAGAAAAAAGAGTTAAACGTTATTTAATTTACCCTCGTAGTCATCAATACATTCTGCGTTAACCATTTGCTGGATTTGCGCTCCTGCCTCTAAAACAGGATCAACAGTTTTCACCTGCACCGACAGTTTCGCTTGATTTTCTTCTGCCCAAGAAATTTCAGGCTGGAAATTAGTGAGTGGCAGTTGTGTCTTATTGCCATAAAACAAACCAATGCGGCCAAGATTCTGCCGAAATTCCGATTTCACTCCGATCTGTATCAAATCATTTTCAAAGAGAACTCCATTATTTTTACACACGAATCTGAAAAATTAAAGGAAAAGCGTCACGACTCTGGGAAATTAATGAAACAAGTTAAAAAGTAAAAAGAGTTTAAAAACTAAAAAACAATAATAAATACAATAAAAATTTGACATACTAACTTTTTCGGATTATACGTGCTCTGAGTTCCATTCGTAGCGCCAACTTTATTAGGCATATTGTAAATATCTCCCAAAACATCCAAAAGAACGCCAGTGTTGCTCGTTGGTTGTGATGAAGGCGGTGTTGACAGTCCCAAAAGATCGGCAGACGAATTATTCACAGCGACTGCTGCAACAGAAGTTGCCTCCGGATGATGATTCGTATTCGGTGCTGGACTCTTGCTCTCGCGAATTTCATTCTCTGGAACGCGACCCGGTTTCTTCTTCTTCAGCACCGCAAGAATCGAAGATTCCCTTTCGGGGAATGCTGGCATTTCTTCTAAAACTGTCGCCAAGACATCAGTCGAGGCAATGATACTGAGTTGCAGATACTCGGAAGTTCTTTGCTGTAATTCCGCGTCTGCACTACGTAAATTACTGTCCTGTCTAAAGACGTCCTGAATTTGCGTTCTAATCTCGGGAAAGAGATTTATGAATTTAATGTAAGTCGAAAGAAGTAGAGCTCTCGTCATTGGCGAACACAAGTGATACTGAAAATTAGTTCATAATTCTTTAGTTACGTTTCATGTTAATAAAAAAAATTTTTATTAAAAATAATCTAAACTAATAATTTGAAAATAAATTTACATTTACGTTTTGCAAGATTAATTAAAGATTTCTAAAGATTAAAATAAAAAAAACTTACTTTGGAATGTAAGAGTTGGAATTGCACCAATGGAGAAGAACGTTGATCTCCTGCTATTAAATTTCCAAACTCCCCGAGAATGTAACCTCCGACTTTGACCATATTCTCATGACACGCCGGCGCTTGTAATGCCTATAAAATCAAATTATGAACCAATAGAAAAAAATGGAGAAAATTTACTTTTATAAAATTATCAATAAAAAAACAATCACAAGGTTGTCACAAAAATTTTATTTTATTCTTCCCTAAACACGCCATGTTAAGTAAATATTAAGTAAATGGCCATTAAAATTAATTTAATTCACTATTCATAAAAAGTAACCATAGCCGATAATCAGCAGAAGATGAAAAATTAGTTTTTGAGCTAACTTTATATTTTGTTGACTAACGATTAATTTTTTACTGGTTCTAAACTACTACTAAAACAATACCAATTAATATCTGGGGCATTAAAATTAATTTAATTTGCATTTTATAAAAAGTAACCACAGCCGCCAATCAGCAGAAGATGGAAAATAATTTTTGAGCGAACTTTATCTAATCTGTTTAAAAACAATTTTTAGTCATAAAATTGTGTACTGGTCACAAACTATTACTAGAACAATTCCAATTAATATCTTGGTAATAAAAATTAATTTAATTCACAATTTATAAAAAGTAACCACAGCCGCCAATCAGCAGAAGATGGGAAATAATTTTTGAGCGAACTTTATCTAATCTGTTTACTAATAATTTTTAGTCATAAAATTTTTTACTGATCCTAAACTACTACTAGAACAATTCCAATTAATATCTGAGTCATTAAAATTAATTTAATTTGCAATTCATAAAAAGTAACCACAGCCGACAATCAGCAGAAGATGGAAAATTATTTCTTGAGCGAACTTTATCTTCTGTGTCTACTTTTTCTAATATTTTCCTGAACTGTAGAACCCTACTTTTATATTACATGAAATTATTCTACTATATTTTAATTGCAATTTTAAAAAAACAATGTAAAAATTTGTCTAACGGCACTAACCTCAAAAACAGTTTTAGCCGCATATCCTTGAACATCATCCCTGTTGATAACGATTTGAATGACCCTGTACCAAACCTCCTCCGACACGTAATCTCCAGCTATCCTGATGAGATTCAAAATAACGTCCACGTACCAAGTGTAATCGGTCGCGTATTTTTCAGCGAGAATCGCCACCTTCAGGACCATTTCCTCCCGAATTGAATAATCCGCCGTCTCAAGGTAGTTGAGCATCTCCTGAACAATCTCCTCGGCATTACTCTTGTCACACATTGCGTACAATAAATCAACAGCTTGCTGTCGAACAGAAACGTCCTTCTCCATTTTCATCGAAAGAATAACGACCTCCTGATGCTTCTTCACTGCCTCGTGCGACAATTCCGAGGTGGCGAGATGGCACATTGATTCCAGTGCTAAATAACGAAGATTCGTCTCACGATTCGATAGAAACTGACCAAGTTGATTGCAGGCGCGAACCAAAAGATGTGGTTCGCTATCGTTGTGAATTATTAAACTAATTGCCTCAAATAAAACGGCATTCTTTGCATTTGCATGCTGAACTTTCTTCGACTTTGGTGGCTCTTGTGCTTTATTCAAAATTGTCTCGAGACACTCATTCAAACGACCACGAACGCCTGGATCTTCGGCTGTAAAAAGAAAAATATTATACCAAAGAACCAAGAGACTAAAGCATTTCTTTTTTTCTTAGTTCTTTTGCGAGACGAGATGCTCATACACGGAAAGAATTTTTGGCTATAGATTTGAGGCAAAGATCTGTTGCAAAAAATGTCAGAAACAGGTCTCGGATTGATCACAATTTATTTTTTATTTTCCCCTGGAAATAAAATTTCAATTTCAAACCCAAAATTTGCATTTAGTTACTTCTAAAATTCAGTTATTTTCTACAATTTTTAATCTTCAGAAATTAGTTTTAATATCCGAGGCCTGTCTAAATAAAAAATGCAAGTGCAATAAATTTTATAGCAATTGTAGAAAAAAATACATGCAACAAAAATTGTCGTATTTCCGAATAATTATTTTTTTAAATTTCTTATTGACTTTTGGTTCTCTTTTTTTTAAAAAATCATTGTTTATGAAAAACAAGCGAAAGACTTAGTTGCTTGTGAGAAAAATTGATAGCTTTCTTGCACAGTGGTGTTGAAAAAATTGAAAAATTGTTCCAATCTTAGTTTTGGATAATCCATACCGTTTTTTTCCGTGTACGTCAGGCATTTACCTGGCGGAGTGTAATTCTGAAGCAATCGCAACAGTTTTACGGATAGCCAAGGCGCAGGCACGAAGTAATATGTGTAATCCTGCAGATCCGTGTAACTCGATGTTACAATCTTTAAAAAATGCAATTAATTTTAATCAACACATTTCTAAATAAAGATAATTGTATACGTTATTATTATTAATCAAATCTAATAATTTAAATTATTATTAATTAATCAAATTTAATAATTTAAATTATTATTATTAATCAAATCTAACAATTTAAATTGTTATTATTAATCAAACTTCATAATTTAAATTTTTAAGTTCGAAATTTAGTTCCTTGAAATTAGCGTCGAGGCTAATTTCAGGAACGTAGAGCTTTCGAAAAATATTCAACGCACCCGACTGAGCCTGGAGACGGCGAGACTGACGCATCCTTTATATTCGTCCGGATTCCTCTTGACGAGTGCGTCGATAAGCGAAGCTGCAGCTGTAACGACTCCTAGATGTTGATCGTTGAGTAAGTGAACAATACGAGAGGTCCATTCGCCACCGGGAACAACGTCCGGAGCAGTTCTCAGTAAACGTAAAAGGCACAGGGCTGCACTCTGTTTCACCACGTCCATCGTGTCACTGAAAATTTTATTCACACAATAAATTTCTATAAAAAAAAAAAAAATTAAATGTGACGCTCTGCGACAAAAGGTACAAAATATTTTCTTAATTAGATTTATTTACGAATTTCTTTATTTGGAAAATTATTTAAATCAAATCAATACTTTTATTTAAATAAATATCATTTTCTGCCATTTTTAACTAAAATTCTTCTTTAAATCAATTATTTTTAATAATAAATAAATTTTACTGCCCGTAAAAATATTATAAATAAAAAAAAATAAATAATTTTTAAATTTAAGTTTCTTTTGAGAATTTTTAAACCCATTTGTACAATTCAAATTCTCATAAAGAATTTTATCAACAAATTTTTGAATAATTGATTTCTTTTGACGAATTTTAATAAATTATAAAAATAATTGAACTTTTGAGAAGAATTTTATAAAAAATAGTAAATAATTGTATTCTTTTAAAGAATTATATTAAGAATTTTCGAAATAATTGAATTCTTGAGAAAGAAATTTCGTAATTATTAAAGTAATTGAATTTTTGCATAGAGTTTTATTAAAATTTTTTTAAAAATAATTATTGAATTCCTGAGAATTATTTTAATAATTATGGAAATAATTAAACTTTTGCGAAGAATTTTATAAAAATTCGTAAAATAATTTTAATCCTGAGAAGAATTTTTTTATTTCTTAAAATAATTGAATTTTCTTGAAAAGTTTTATTTTTTGTAAAAATAATTGAATTTCAGCAAAAAATATCTAAATTATTAAAATTTTGTTGAACAGACACTTGAGTTGCTCAAAAGGAAATTAATTTTTGTGAAAATAATTGAATTTTTAAGAAAAATATTGCTTCTTATGAAAATAATTAAATTTTTATAAAGAATTTTCTAAAAACATTTTTAAATAATTAAATTTCTGTAAAAACTTTTATTTTTTGTAAAAGTAATTGAATTTCAGCGAAGAATTTTGATGAAAATAATTGAATTTCGGAGAAGAATGTTTTTTCTTTATGAAAATAATTGAATTTTTGTGAAGAATGTTTTTGAATATTTTTGAAAATATAATGAAATTATTGCGAAGAAATTTATAAAAAATTTGCGAATAATTGAATTCCTGTAAAAATTTTATTATTTACGAAAATAATTGAATTTTTGCGAAGAATTTTTTTATTTATGAAAATAATTGAATGTTTGCGAAGAATTCTTTTGAATATTTTTGAAAATAATTGAATTTCTGCGAAGAATTTTATAAAAGTTTAATAAAAATTATTAATAATTGAATATTTTCAAAGAATTTTATTACAATTTTGAAAAATAATTGAATTCTTTTGACGAATTTTAATAAATTATAAAAATAATTTAACTTTTGAGAAGAATTTTATAAAAACTGTAGATAATTGAATTCATTGAAAGAATTATATTAAAAATTTTCGAAATAATTGAATTCTTCATTTAATAATAATTCTTTATTATTTCTTTATTGATTACTTCTCAAAATAATTGAAGTTCAAAGAAGAATTTTATTATTTTTAAAAATAATTGAATGTTTGCGAAGAATTCTTTTGAATATTTTTGAAAATAAATATTTAAGTAAAATTATTCATTAAATAATTTATTAGTAATCATTTTATTCCTAGTTCTTCAAGAGTTATGTTATTAAAAAAGAAATTATTATCAGAAGTAGAAAAATTTGAAGGTTTTTTTTATTAGAATTCGTAGTAATTTCATAGTTTATGTGGTAAACAAAAAAGACGCCACAATTCAAAATTTTAATTTTTTCAGTACTTTTAATAAAAATCTCTGACTTTTCCCTGAATTGTGGCTTTAATTTTACCCTCCAAACTTGAAAAATTATTAAAATTACCTCTTGTCACGAACTGTCACAAATTAACCCAGAAATAATTTTATTTCCTAATGAAGTGTGCATTGATGTAATTGGCATTCTGCTGCAGTCTATATTTCTAAATATTAATTTATAAATTCAATTTAAATCGAAAAATTGTAAAATTTGATTCTAATTTTGGTATAAAATGGAAAGTATACGCTGAGGCATTTAAGCAGATTTTGAACGAAATTGAAAGTTACCTAATATAGAGACGACTGGATCCGAAAGATGCGAATTTTGAAATTTCAATGTGGAATGGAAATGAGTGTTAGTGTTTTTGTGCAATGAAAAATATTTTTCATAAAAAATTCTCTTACCCCGATACCAGCAACTTGGGGATTTCGTTTCCAAAAGCCTCCGCCATATCCTTGCTTCCAATATTCGCGATACATTGTAATGCAAGATTCACGTGAATTGGATTTCGAGATGCCAAATCGTTTTTGATGCTCTGAATTATTAACTTTATTAGATCGCTATTTGTGTTCACTAGCACTGATATGAATAAATAGCCCTGTAAAGAAATTCACAAACATTCCATTAGTCGCAAATAATAAACATTTAATTATAAAAATCTATCAAATATATTTTCATATCATAATGAAATTTCAAATTTATAATTAAATACGACGATTATTATTATTTAATGTGTAGTGAATAGAAAATGAAATTTATACTCACGATTTGTTTCTCTGAGTATTTGTTGGATGACAGAAGATTGACAGCTTCCATATGACCAAAATCGATGTCATGTCCCAGGAGGAAAATAAAAAGAAGTTTACAGACATATTTCTTTTTTTGATATCCGTCAAGAGTTTTATCTCCTTTGAATTTCCCTCGAATATTCGCCAATTCTTTGTTTATCCTCTTTATTTCGGCTTCCTTGCTTTTACCTGAAAGATTTCAATTGTTTTCGATAAATTTCATCAGTCTTGACAAAATTACAAAATCTTAACAAATTATTTATAATTATTTAAAATTATTATTTAAAATCTCAACAAATTATTTATAACTATTTAAAATATTTTAAAAATAATATTTATAATTCAAATACAAAAAAACGTTGGGATTAACGATTAATTGTTTCGATTTATTGAACATTTTCATTTTTCAATTGAAAAAAAATTGAATCTCCTGACACAAAGTTATAAATCATTTTGCAGTTTCAGTGGCAAAATGCCATTTGGATCATAATCAAAGATTCAAAACTAATGATCCATTTTCAAGTCCCTCGCGAGACCAAAGACCCTCGTGTAAATTAGTAAAACTATACAAAGTAAATTAATAAAAACATTGTCATTTTAATTAATTGCTTAATAATTTGAATTGCTTAACAAATTTAATTAATTAGAAACAAATGGAAACCAATTTAATAGATTTATCTAACAAATTTATCCTTATTTACCTAAATTAATCAGTAAATATTAATCAATTATTTATTAATCAATAAATATTAATTAATTTATTAATTAATTATTTATTAGTCACTAAATATTTTCCTTCAGATAATTTCTCTCTTATTGATTAATTTAATGTAAATTATTAAATTTAATGTAAATAATTCTTTGATTTTATCCATAAATTTGATGCGGATAATTATCAATTATAGGTTGTAAATCAATTCATTAATTGTTATTATAGTTAATTGAATGTAATGAAGAAGAAGAAGAAGATGATGAACGAGAAAAGGCGAGCTTGACATTGGTGTAGTTATAAAATAACGCATTAACTAATTAACATAAATTGATGCTGTCTTTCGATATGTGAATCCAACACACCGAAAGTCAATCTATCAGAAAAAGATAGGCCACTATCAGAGCTCCGCCCCTCGAATCTCTTTCTCCACTGTTAACAAACACTTTACATCTCTTTTAGTCAATCTCAATTCTCAATGACACTCTATCACTCCTAGAATTTTCTACCGATTGTTATTTCATGTAACTTACAACAAAATTCACTCATATTTTCGAAAAATCTTCTTATCAAAATTTTCTTTAATTTCATCTTTAATTTCTCTATTTCAAAATAATCTTTTGCTACTTTTTAAATTTTTGTTACTTTAATTACTTTTTTGTCTATTTACTTATTTTTTGTCACTCTTTTTAAAAATGTTATCACTTGCCTAACAATTTGCAATTTGCTAACACTATTTGCCTAACAAAAAAGATTTTAATTAAGCAAAAAATAATAATTTTTTGCTTAATTAAAATCTTTTTTGTTACCACTTTTTAAATTTTTGTTACTTTAATTACTTTTTTTGTCTATTTACTTATTTTTTGTCACTCTTTTTAAATTTTATTACTTTGATTATTTGGCTAACTAATTATTTTTTGTCTGCTTAAAATCTTTTTTGTTGCTTTAATTACTTTTTGGTTTATTTACTTTTTTTTGTCACTCTTTTTAAAAATTTTATTCCTTTAATTATTTGCCTAATTATTAATTTTTGCTTACTTAAAATCTTTTTTGTCACCACTTTTAAAATTTTTGTTACTTTAATTATTTGCAATTACTTTAATTTCCTTTTTTTGCTTAATTACTAAATTTTTTTCTAAAAGAAAAGAATTCTTTTTAAAATAGAAAAATTAAGTTTAACTTGATAAAACTAATATTTTTAGAAAAAAAATTACTAAAATCATGGAAAATATTGATTTTCATTAAAAAACAAACATGAGTTTGTACGTCAAGTTGTTTAAATTAAAACTTACACACGATCGTGTTGCTGAATAAACAATTACGAACTAATAAACTTACAATTTCTGATGTCTGATATGAAAACTGCAAGTCCGCGCATGCCATCACCTCGTACTGCCGGCATCTTGTCTTTCGTTGCTTAAAAACCACCTAAAGAATTAAAATTTCTCTGTTAGATTAAAGCTAAAACAATACAATCACCAAATATTATTTTTAATAAACAAAAAATTCCAAATACAATTTTTCAAATTTTTACTAAACATAATTTTTTGTCCATTCTTTACTAAACACAAATTTTGTCAATTTTTTACTAAACACAAATTTTCATTTTCAAACAAATATTTTAACAATAGGTTATAATTCCAATTTTAGTAAATACAGAATTTTCATTTTTTCATTAAAATCGTTAAAAAAAACACATTTAATTTTTATATACTGAAATCTAAAAATACTTTGCAAAAATAGAATTAATGATAATAGTTAATGTCAGAAAAAATTCCCCAGGTAATTTATTTACCGCTCAATTGCAATTTAATTATTTAGAAAGGATAAAAGTATAATTATTAATGTAGGAGATAAATCGCTAATTCTTGAAGACGAAATGTCAATTTCCTGCAAGGTTAGAAATACAGATTTTCCGAAGAATTAATTTTCTGAAGGATCAATTTTTTTGTATTTTTAGCGAACACGAACAAAATTAAGAAAATTTAAAGGGAAACGTGTCAATACGTCAAGTACAAACAGTGCTAAATTATCATTTTCTATCAAAACGTGAATAAAAAGGGACCACCTGCCCGATTCTGGAAACAGGGTCGTTACCCTTAATTTAACCCCTTTAATAAGAACATCAAAAAAAATTATTATTACTAGAAATCTTGAGAAATAGAACAAGGGAGAGAGAAAGAAAGTGAGAGTAAGAGAGACCTGTCTTAATTAACCCGAATAAAAGTCAAAGGTGGCTTTTTTTTGACAGGTCAGCCTGCGCTCCCGCCTTCGTGGCCATGCGAAAACTTATTCAATTGTAGAACTTTGCATGTCCAGATTTGTAACTTCTCGCCAAGTCGTTACAATTTCTTCAAATACTGTACATTCGTAACAAATAACAGAAATTGTAACCAAATTCAAACAAACGGAATGATCGCTAAAAGGATCTCAAAAAAGAGGGTTTCTTTCATGAGGAGAAACGGGAGGAATTTTCTGCCGCTGATGAAAGAGAGAGAGACTCAACAAACTACATCAGATCCATGAACTTTATGTGACTATTTTCTTGGATCAATTAATGGGAAATGTGAATGTGTACATTCTTTATAATAATGAAATACATACCAATTTAATAAAGCACGTATTCACGCACAACTTGATTCACAGATTGCACTTACGACAAAAAAACTACCGTAGATTTTCTGTATGTCGCCATTTGCAACCGCTGACTACAGAGACAGCTGCCCGAGTGGCCATATTTGCGCGTGGGAAACTGCGCAAAGGTCACTGCGCATGTGTCACAATTGTTCGACCAATCAAAACAAAGCGCGCCAATTTGAAACTTATTCAATTAATATTTAAAAATTATCTTAACTTATAATTTTCCAATTATTATTATTTAATTTAAAAATTATTTTTTTACAAATTATTTAATATCATTATTTTATTAATAATAAAATAATTCCTATTCTTTTTAGTCTTTTCAATTTTAATTATTGAAATCTATTATTAATTATTATAATTATTATTATTATTATTATTCTAACTATTATTATTACTACCTGAGAAAAATATTATTGTTTATAAAAATAATGTAATTCTAGCGATAAATTTTTACTAATTATAAAAATAATTGAATTCCTGAGAAGAATTGTATTTTTTTTTTATAAAAACAATTGAATTGTTTCGAAGGATTTATTAAAATTTTAGAAAATAATTGAATTTCTTAAATAAAATTCCTCTTTTTGTATAAGAAATTACAAAAGTTATTTTCTATGAAGAATAATTCTTTATTAAAGAATTTATCACTATACTTAATTAATTAAATTAATCAATTAATTATTAATTAAATTATTACTTTGTATAAAATTACCTAGAAAATATTTCAGCAAAATAGGAAAATATTTTCTTTTTCTTTTAATTTTGCTTGCTTTGTTGAATTTTTTCAAACAAAAGTTCCATTCTGTCTTTCATGACTGGTTGTCCTTTTTTCGTTCTCTTGGATAATTTTTTATAAATTTGCATTTTCTTTTCCTTGTATTTTTTTAGTGCCTCTTTTCTCTCCGCTTTTATCTTCTCTGCCTCTTCTTTCTTATTTTTCTTCTCCTGTTTCTTCTTTTCAAATTCGGCTTTTGCGGCGAAAAATGGATTTCTCTTGTTTGAACTAAAATTAAAGTAATTAATTATTATTTATTAATATTAAATTATTTAAATTAAATAATTAATTATAGTATTAATTATTATATTGAAACTTATTATTCAAATTTTTTATTTTTAGTTTTTCCTTCATAATTTATTTAGTCGTCGAAGTATTTTTATTAACTTTAAATGTAGAATTTCGTTCCTCGAATACTTTATTAGTAACATTAGGAATAATTATAAACTGAATAATTTAAATATTTTATGAAAATATACATTTAGAATTTACCTTTTGTTATCCTCTGCGTTCGAATTACTTGGACCTGGCTGGTTCTTTTTGTCCTTTTCTTGTTCTTTGTAAAAATTGCGAATAATTGCCTTTTTTCTACGTTCTTCCCATTGGTCAACTGTATTTTAATTTTAGAGAAAACAGTAAGTTACATTAAAATATTCTCTTGGTTAAAATAAACATTAATTAAAAATTAAAATAGAAATAAACTAAAAAGGAAAATAAACACTAATTAAAAATTACAATAGAAATAAATTAAAAAGGAAAATAAACATTAATTAACGAATTAGTTAACATTAGCATTAGTTAACGAATTCGTAAAGTTGAAGTAAACAGTAAATAAAAGTTAAAATAAACATAAAGCTCAAATAAACGTATTAAAGTTCAAATAAACATTAAAGTTTAAAATAAACATGAAAGTTCAAATAAAAAGTACATTCAAATTGAAAGAAACATTAAATTAATATAAAAAGAGAAATAAAATTCAAGAACTAATAATAACAAATTAACAACGTAAACAACATAACCTCAAAACTGATTTCCTACCTTTAAATTTATTGCTGTATTTTTTCAATCTGTACTTTTTCTTATCGAAAGGCTTTTTGGTCTCTGGCTGTCTTTGCTTTTCTTTTCTCGCAATAATCTGTTCTTTCATTTTGTTTTTCTTTAATTAACTAAATAATAATGTTTATTAATATAACATCCACATGTGTCACATGTGTAATTTCACTTCTGTTGATTCTCTCTCTCTCTCTTGTCGTGTCGATAAAAGCCATGCGGTTGCACTGTGTAGTTGAATGAATGCCTGTCAGATGGCGCCACTCGTATACTCAATTGAGTGAAGTCAGTAACGGTTAGTATTGGTCAGTATAGTATGGACTATGAACAAGTAAACTATATGGTGCATAATAGAGATGAATAATTAATTTATAAGTGAGAAAAAAAACTAAAAGTGCATGTAGTAGATATGCAAATGAAGTAATTGCAAATCTGAAAATGAAAGGAAAGAAAATCTTGATAAAACCAATGATGTGCACAGCTGTTTTCATCTTTTATTCGGTATACAAACTATTTAGATTCACATAATTATTTTCTTTTAACTGTAAATATTTTACTCCTTTAGAAAGTGTATTAAACATTTTCGAACTTCCGGTTTCTTTTTGGTATGTTTACTTACATAGTAATGTTGTACGTTTGTAATCTATATTTATAGAAAATACAACGAAAAATAAGACCGTGTCCGGTTAAATGACAGAACAATATTTTTCAGTCTGAAGTTTGCAGCAAGTTTGGTAACAATTTGCGGTTGCCAAACTTGCTTATTTAGTTTGCTGACAGTTTTCAATGTAAGTTTGCAGCTAACAAGTTTGTAGAGTTCACAATAGAGATTTTTAGGTTAAGTTGACTTGATATATATTATTCGCGCGTCTCTCGTGCGTTATAAGCAAGGAAGAATAATAAAATCGATGGAATCAATTGTTTTCAACCATTTCAACGCGGGTAAAGCGTAAACATAACCTAAAAATCTTTTGTGTGGACTCGGTCTGAAAAATGATGTGTAGTATATCTTTACTCGTAAATTAAATGTTCTAATAATATACTTTATTTGTGAATCGTGATATACTCAATCAGGAACCAATTCTCATAACTATTGCCGAAGAGAATTCAATGTCAGTGGCACGAATAAACAAATGAGTAATAATGATGACAAGTAAGATTATTGTATCACCAGTTAAGAAAAGAAAATTTTATTTTATTATTAATAGTTCGAAAAATACTATATTCACAGGAAATTTTCCCTTTCGATCATTTTGTGATCGAAAACACTGATTTTTAGGTTATGTTATGTAAAAACAAAAAATTGATAATTTATAATTAATTCTTTTTGAATAATTGAATTTATTCTTGAAATTGCAATAAATCAAGTTTCTATAATAATTACCTAATCGTTTTGTACAGTTTAGTAAAATGATTATAGACGATAATATAATTACACACATAATTTGACTGAGATAGAATAATTTATCTACAAAAGCCTTGAGAGAAATGAGAGAAATGCAACAGGAGTGTGAAACAGTATTTTTTTAAGTATAGAAATCTTGTTTGGAATGCGATAGAAAACAAGCAAAGAAAGGCAAAAGAACTCTATAAATAGTTTTGTAGAAAATCCAAGCAATCCCAAGTGAACCACTTGGGTCAATTTAAACGATTTAAACCGTAAATTCATTCTAAACTGTAGAAATCAGTTTTTTTTTCTTTCTTCAAGTAGTTTCAAGAGATTTTTCAAGTACTTTTGGGCATTTTCACTTCGAATTTAACGAAATTAATAAAGTTATAACCTCAAATTTTTTCGTGAAGTAGAAACCGGAGAACCAATGATTATTTTTATTTTTCTGTGAATGTAATTACGATTCGGACCGAAAATATCTTTTTACAGTAGGAAAATATTAATGTTCACGGAAAACGAGTAAAATTTCTGAATTTTAATAATTTCTAAAAATTATAATTATATCCCTTCCTGAATTTGATTATTTTCTACAATTTTCAACTAAACTTCAACTCTGAATCAATTAATTTAAACAATTTTCCAAAAGTTCTTCTAGAAGTCCAAAAAGTAAATTTTGAATCTTAAAAAATTATCAAAAAACAATTCTAATAATTAGTTTTTAAAAATATTTTATTAATGTAATTTTTCGAAAATGTATTTCTTAAAAGAATTTTTGTATAACTTGAAAAAACTGATTAATTTTTTTGATGAATTTTAATTAAACATTTTGAACATTATTGTTTTCTCCAAAATGTTAAAATAAATTCAAAAATGTTATTATTTTTAAAAATATGTAATTGAGAATGTTAAAAATATTGAATTTTAAAAAAATAGAAGCTTATTTTCATTTTTAAATTTACCTTTAAACAGTTTTCATTAAAATTTTTGATAATTCGATTATTTTCAAAATTTGCAATTAAAGTTCTTCAAAACTTGATTTTCAAAAATTGTAACAAAATACTTGAAATAAATAAATTATTTTCAATTAAATTTTACAAAATTTTAACTAATCAAAAACAATTTTTGAAAGATTTCTTTATAGTTATTTTTTGCATTATAAAAATCAAAATAAGTTGCACTTTTTTTTACTAAAAATTGTGGTATTTTGTTGCAATATTTGGAAGGAAAGTCGAAAAAGTCGCAATTTTCTTAATTTTCCTGACAAAAAATTTTTTTCATGACATTTACCTGACTTAACTGACAAAAATTTGTTTTAATGTGTCAGGGAAATTTTATCCTTTATCACTTGGAAATTATGGAAAAATAATGGAATTTATAAGGAGAAATTTGTAGAAACCCCGCTAACGGAAGTCGGAAGTGTTCGCAGAGGCGCAGAGGTCAAAGATTTGATGTTAATAGACAGATTGACCTTGAGATGAGCCCACTAATATCGAATCGGCATTAGGGATCTTCCGCATTGTAATTTATGCCAAAACAGTATAACTATTTGACGCAACAAAGCTTATTATCATAAATACTCCTTGACGCTCATATATAGTTTTATTTCTCTCATCAATTTTAGAATCTACCTACTAGATAATGATATTTTTCTCACTTTTCGTGCCATTGACCGCAGCCCACGAGTATTTTTCTCAAAATTATTTTATTTTTTCATTTCTAAACAGATTTAAAATTTTTATTTTTTCTATTGTATACTAAGGGAGAATTATTGTAACTTATAATAATTTAACCTCTACGGTATAAATTACCTTTATCTTTATAAATCGCGACGAGTTTCAATTAATTTATTATTCTTTTTGTTGTAGGTAAGTGCTGAAGAATTCTCTATATAGAAATGAAAAAAGAAGTATATGAGGATGAACGTGAGGATCGTGAGTATTTAAAAACGCGAGCAAATTTTAATGAATTCATATATAATATCCATAGCGCTCCATATATAGACACTTGTGACACTATCGATTTACCCCCGCAATGGGATGACGCCACATGGGTTCAAGTTCCCCCACGCAAAAAATCGTCATTTTTTTTTTTTCGTTTTTGACTCTGAAATTTATTTTTTTGACTACTGATTTCCCTCCTCCGAGAAGAGGAAGTCTCTCGAGACTAGACCCCCTTGTCTTTTGACATTGACACACTTCCGCACACGATCAGCTGCATCAGGACGCAAATAACTTGTCTAATAATTTTTAATTCCCCCTCCCTTCATCCCTCGTGGCTATAGTAAAAATTTGTCGCGCTCCGGAAGAAAGGAAACAAATCATATTATTTATTACATTACATTATGGAATATTTCCTTTTGAACTTTAGTACCTCATTTTAAAATCATGAAAGATTTTATGATTATCGGATTTATTATAAAAAGTGAATTTTATTGAAAAAGAAATAAAAAGTAAGTATGTGAAAAATTCACATGTAAACAAATCATAAATAATTAACATTTTGCCTTGCATTTTGCTCTTCAGCTCTTAATGTGATGTTTATCTATTTTTCAGATTCAAAGAAAAACTATTATATATTCAGAAGGAAGAAATGTTATAATTTGAAAAAAACAACTAACAATGATAATAATTCTATACATGGAAGAATAGATTTTAAAGGTTATTTTTGAAAACATGAAAAGACAGAAAGCACATCCGAAATCGGCAATTTAAATCATGAATTGTCAAATGATTAATTAAGTATTAATTTTTGCCTTTTAATAGAAAAATGGTAATGTTAAGAATTCTATACAGAAGAATAGATTTTAAACGTTATGTTGGATTAAGCCAAAGATTTTTGAAAACATGAAAAAGACAAAAAGCACATATCGGAAATCGGTAATTTAACGCGTGAATTGACAAATGAAATCTTAATTAGAATCTTTTTGGGGCGCATTTAGAATTTGATTACGAAATCGGAAGTGTGAAAATGGATATATGTGTAGGGAATTGAATCATAGGCAAGGTTATAGAATAAAAATAAAATTAGTCACATATTTGGGAATTGGGAAGAATTTAATAAGGGGGCGTCGGGACGCGTCATTCATTCGTATATTATTATGTGAAAAGTTGGAAATAGCAACACACGAGACGCTCTAATTCAGCCTCTTCGTATAAAAGATATGTCACATGTGTAGATTCATCGAAATAAAATGAAACGATGACGATGACAGGCATGTAAACATTCCGTAACTGACATTGTCTATATATGACTATATCTATATGTCTACACTATATATCTATATCGATACATATATCTAAATGCACTACTCACAATATGTTAATGAGAACAATTATACAATACCGCTCTTCTTTTCTATTCGCTGCCTCGTAAATATTATACTTCTGATTTTCTTGTGTTAGAATATCCGCCTCCACACAGATTCTTCTTATTTTAATAATGATTCGTAATCCTTCCGAATGGAATTTTCGAGAAAAGTTACCAAAACAAGAAAATTTCTCATTCATATATCTATATACATCTATTGAAAATTGTCCTTGAATTTTTGCATTAGAAAAGATTTTCCCGTGGGCGTATATGTATAGTATTTTTGTTGAATCGCGTTTACGCAGAGTTTAAAAATACATAATTTGCTCATATTCAGCGATATATTATTGTTTTGCGTAATTTTGCCGCAAAATTTTTTTTCTTTTTGGTTTTTTTGCTCGTAAACAATAAATATAGTGACGCTCCCCAACGCTTCGGGACAAAAGGATATTGCGTGTAAACTTATAGCATTATTTGACAGATTTAAAGGGTTTTAAAAGTTTGTGCGCGGCGAAAATAAATTATGAAAAAGAGTAATCACTTCTCGGCACGAACCGCACATTTATATTTAAGTATCCCCATGGGCAAAAAGATATGTTTTATTTCGGAAAATTTAAATCAAATCTTTAGAGCAAAAAAAAACAACAAATTCAAATCATTTTCAGTAAATTCAAATGTATATTTTTTTTTTTTTTTTGACGAAAAAAAAGTTAAAATTTTTTTGTGCTTGCGATTGCAACGAATATACAGCATATAGAAAAGGCTCGAACGTAAAGTTAATCAGCATATACATAAAACGTATAAGTATATATTAGTTTGCGTAAAATTTAAAAATACTTTTCTTTGAAGATCGTTAAATTATAGCTTCCTCAAGACAGACAGGAAATAGTCGAGAAATTAACCTCGTTAGCGGATTATCGCGGTACTTGACGTCTCGATGAAACTGAAGCATAAGGAGACTCCCTTTTGATGTACCGTGGAAATTAATTGACCAATCGAGATTCATTAACTGCGTATCGTGAAACATTGTTAAGAAATTCTTTGTAGGAGCAAAATTCATACGGTTAGGCAGTTCGCAACTTTTTTAAAGAAACCAAATCGAAAAAATAATGAATTAGTAAAAATGTTTACTAATTAGAAAAATTTACTTACTCAAAAGCAAAAAGTAAAAAAGTTTATTAGTAAAATTAATTAGTAAAATTTTTTTTTAGTAACAAATAGTAATTTCTACTAATTTATTAGTATAATTTATTATTTCTTACTAAAATATAGTAATTTCTAGTAATTTATTAGTAAACCTTACTAATTCAAAATCTAACTTTACTAATTTGAATTAGGAACAGACTTTTTGCTTTTGAATTAGTAAATTTAGTAATGAATAGTAATTTCAACTAATTTATTAGTAATAAAATTTACTAATAGTAATTTCTACTAATACGTTAGTAAAATTTGCTAATTCAAAGCAAAAAGTAAGTCACTAATTCAAATTAGTAAGCATTTTTACTCATTAAAATTTTGAGAGTATGCAAAAATTCAATTATTTTTAATACAATTTTAATAAAATTTCATGAAAGATTTCAATTATTTTAAAATTTTTGGAAAAAATTCAATTGTTTTCTAAAATTTTAATAAATTCTCCGCAAGAATTTAATTATTTTTCTTAAATGAGGCTCCGGATCTTAAAAGGGCACTTTCACCATGTAAAGTCTATGCGGAAAGTGCCCTTTTAAGATCCGGAGCCTCAAATAATAAAATCGTTGCAAAAATTCAGTTATTTTTAATACAATTTTAATAAAATTTCATAAAAGAATTCAATTTTATAAAAATTTTTAATATTTTACTAAAAATGTCAATTATTTTCTAAAATTTTAATAAATGCTTTGAAACAATTCAATTTTTTCTCAATTTCAAGGCAAGAATGAAAAAAAATTTTATAAATAATAAAATTCTTCTCAGGAATAAAATATTTTCAATAATTAAATATTTAATTAGAATTATTAACAAAATCGATTATATTCAATAAATTAAAGAAATTTTTTGAAAGAAGTTAATTATTTTCTATATTTTAATAAAATTCTTTAAATCAATTTAATTATTTTAGAAAATTATAATAAAATTCTGAGATGAATTTAATTATTTTCTAAAAATTTTAATAGAATTCATTAATTAAATGTTTAATTTCAAAGAAATGCTTCAAAAGAATTTAATTAGGATGTATGAAAATTTTAATAAAATTCTTCGCGAAAATTCAATTGTTTTTATAAATAATAAAATTCTTCTAAGAAATTCAATAATTTTTAAATTTTTTCATAAAATTCTTTGCAGGAATTAAATGATTTTTAATATATTAATTTTCAAATTGAAAATATTTAAAAAGAATAAATAATATTCTAATTTTTCTTTAATATTCTGAATTCTAATAATATTCTAATTATTATCTATATAAACTCATTTCATAAATCTAAAAATATTATTTTTAAACGTGACATTACAAAAGAATGATTTATGATCCAAATTCAGTATTAAAAAAATTTTAAGTTCATACTCTTATCTGAAAAAATTAATTTAGGGTCGTTGAAATGCTTGAAATGTAGGATACGTCCTCGCGATCGATTTACAAACAAGCGCTAATGACACACGTGTAATAGTTGTTTAATGAATGCTTTATACCCGATGAAACGCCTTGTTGTTGTAATTCCGAACAAAAAAAACAACAAATTAAATTCTCTCCATTTTGATATACCAAATTAAATTAGGAAAAGTTCCAATTTTTTTTTCTTTTCAAAAATTTACATATACATAAATATTTACTTCATTTATACTTTTACTCCGTTTTCCATATTTACTTTTTAACTTCATTTCCCTTCTTTTATCTATAAAATTTTTTATTTATTTTGTTTCCCTTTTCGAAAATACTCGTAATAATTTTTCAAAAATGGAAAATTAATATGATGACTCACGATTCGGTAATAATTCGGTGTTTTCACCCACGCACTCATCTCGATTCTCTATATTAATGGCAGAATCGTATTTTCAACGTTTGACGCGACATTTGAACGAATTTGCCTTTTTTGGCGCAAAATATTGAAGAAAACAAACAAACTTTATTTTTTGTTGAATCACCGTGAAGATTATTTTGAGTTAATTACGTCAATTACAATTTTTTTTGCATCACAATTCACAATATTTACTTTTTAAGCTTTGAAAAAAAATATATAAATATACTTCCGGTGGAGGAAATTAACCAACGCCCCCCAAAAAAAAAATGAAGCAAGAAAGAATGAAAACGAAAAAATTATGAAAAAAAATATTTTGACTCTATTTTCTATACTTGTTTTTAAATTATTAAAACATTTTTAAGGGGATCTGAAAGTGGATGCGATTTTTACACTGAATTTCAAATCTTACCGACTATTTACATCCCCTTAAAATGATTATTTTGTACAAAAAAAATTACATTTTCGAAAAATTGTATAAATAAGTATTTTTATAAACAAGTGTTTTTTGTAAACAACTCATTCTTTGCTGAATTTAATAATAAATATAGAAATTAGAACAATAAATAAAACTCGGTATATAGGTATTGAAAATAATGTTGAAAAATTCCCGCGACGTCGAAAGTTCCCGAACAATGACGAACACCCACGACTCGTGCTCCGACTATTTAAGGAGCACCAGACAAGTCGCGCTTTATTCATAGAGGAGATTTCAGTGCGAACGGTTCGTTCTTGTGGGAAAAAATCGTGACAACTACTTTTTTTGTGTTTTTAAAAAAAGAAAACAACAGTCGTCTGCTAGTTTTTTTGCAGTGAATTGAAAGTGTGTGTTTATTAAAGTGACAGTAGAAATTTGAAAAAAAATCACAAATATGGCAGACAGTGGTATCAAACGCAACATTCCCATCAAACTCGGTGACTTCAGCGTCATTGACACCGAATTTTCAAATATCCGAGAGCGCTTCGACGCCGAGATGAGGAAGATGGAAGATGAAATGTCCCGATTCAGGAGTGAACTCATGAACCGGGAAAGCAACATTTTCAAGAGTACAATGAGGTATTATTTTCATTATTATTTATTTTTGTGTTAAAATTAATTTCTTTATAATTATTTTCATTATAATTATTTTTATCGTCATTGTTATTATTTGTCTAGGATTTTAGAAATGTATTTTAGAAATTCCGTTCTTTCGGGTAGAGAGAAATGTTTTTTAATTTCTTGTCTAGTGTCTCTGGGAAATTTCGAATTTCGCGCTTACACTGAAAAAAAAATTTTATTTCAAATAGTTTATTAGTTGTCTGTTATCAAATAAATATTTACTTGAATCTATTTTTATTTTAGTCAAATAAATTTGAATCAATAATTGTTTGATTATTTGGCCAAAAATCTCTTCTTAATTATTAGATAATTACTTGAAATTTGGACCAATAATTTCAGTATTTGAAGCAAATAGAATTTAATTGACTATACAGTCGAAATTATTTGATTCAAGTAAATATTTAATTAATAGTCAAATAATCGATTATTTGAAACAAATAAATTTTTTTCAGTATGGATTTAAATCTTGTTTTAAAAAGTTGTCAAATAAGAACGAAGTGGTTTCGAATTAGGTGATTCTTTCCTTTTTGAAATGGAAGAGTTTCGTAAATTCCGAATTTGGTCTCGAATTATTATTTCACATATAAAAGGTTCATAATTTTAATTAAGAATTATAATTTACTGGAATTTTCATCAATAATTAGAATTAAAAATCGTCTATATAAATATTCTCTTTTTTGAATTCGGTATGAAGAAAATTAGGTGTTAAAATATGTGACGTGCCCTGAAGAAAGGTAGCTAAGAAGCAATAAATTTGAGGTTATGTTTGTAATTTTTAAGTTTATAGTTTTCTTCAGAGCGCATGAAATATCGAAGTAAATCTCATCTGTTAAATATTAATTTGAAATTTTGAAATATTAATATCTTAAAATATCTTAAATATCTGAAAATTTCGTAAGACTGATATAATTCTGTCAGAAATGATTTTTTATGGGATAATCAAATCAGCTTTCGGCGATATTAAAATAGGTTGAAATCGCGTATTGAATTAGATTGAATGACTAATAAAATAAAAGCATCGAAGATGGTCTGCAATAGTGAATTTAACGGTTATTCACGTTTTCGTTTCGTGTTCTCTTGGGTTTGAGAATGTAATTTTTTTTCGACTTTGTTTTCTCAACAACCGGAACGAGTCGAGGATCTCAACCTACAATCTGTAATCTCCCTTTGTAAGGTGCTCGTCGACGAACCGTTACAACAACTTCCGCGTGTCAGTATGCATATACAACCTTTCATTCTTCCTTCGAATATGTATATGATTTCTTCAAATTGAAACTTATCATCCCTTTTTATTAATATCTGTCTTTAATTCTTAGAAATTTGGAAAATTTCTTGGGATTTCTTTACTTATGATTTGGAGTCTTATAATTTTGTGAAGAAAAGGGTTTTTGCATGTGGTCAGTTTGGATCCGTCTTGTAACAAACTTGTATCAAAAGGTTTTGAGGTTTTTGATTTTTGGAGTAACTTATTTATTGGTTAAAATGATATTTGTAAATTAGTAAAAACAGTTAATAATTTGAATTAATGACAGAGTTTTTGCTTTTGAATTAGTAAACCTTCTTCTACCTTTCTTCTTCTTAATAATCGTTGTATTCCGATTCGAAGTTTGAAGTTAGTTGTTGTTTGCTTTTTTGTTTCCTAATTTTTAAAATAATTTTTTAACACTTGGCTTTTCTTTTTAAATTTATTCAATTTTAAAATTAATCTATTGAAAATCATTGAATTCTTGCCAAGAATGTTATCAAAAAATTTGTGAATAATTGCATTCTATCGAAGACTTTTATTATTTATAAAAATAATTGAATTCTCGCGAAGAATTTTATTAAAATTTTTTAAAAATCCTAATTAAATTCTTTTGAAGAATTTCTTTAAATATTTTTAAAATAATGTAGTTTCTTGAATAATTTTAATTGAAAATTTAGAAAGTAATTGAATTTTATGAACAATTTCTTTCAAGTTTTCAAAATAATCGTGTTTCTTAATAATTGAAATTAAATATTTAATTATTGAATTTTAATAAAATTTTTGGAAAATAATTAAATTAAATTCTTTTGAAGAATTTCTTTAAGTTTTTTTTCAAAATAAGGTAGTTTTTTTTAATAATTATAATTGAAAATTTTGAAAATAATTGAATTAAACAAAAAAATTTTGAAGTTTATTAAAATTGTATTGAAAATAATTGAATTCCAATGAAGACTTTTTATTATTTATAAAAATAATTGAATTGTTTCGAAGAATTTATTAAAATTTTAGAAAATAATTTAATTTTTCGTAAAATTATTTAAAATTTTGTTCAAAATAGTAATTGAACTTTTGCAAAGAATTTTATTATTTATAAAAATAACTGAATTGATTTCAAGTATTTATTAAAATTTTAGAAAATAATAGAGTTTTTCATAAAACAATTTGACAATTAAAAAAAATAATTGAATTGTTCCGAAGGATTAATATAAAATTTAGAAAATAATTGAAATCTTTTGTGAAATTTATTTAAAATTTTGTTGAAAATAATTGAATTTTTGCAAAGATTTTACTATTTATAGGTAAAAATAATAATTGAATTGTTTCGAAGGATTTATTAAAATTTTAGAAAATAATTGAATTTTTTCGTGAAATGTTATTAAAATTTTGTTAAAAATAATTGAATTTTTGCAAAGATTTTGGTATTTAAAAAAAATAATTGAATTGTTTCTTAAATGAATTATTAAAATTTTAGAAAATAATTGAATTCTTTAGAATAATTTTAGACCTAAATAATTTTACAACGAATTAAGAAAAATCAAATGAATTCCTTCGTGAAATTTTTTTTGAAAATAATTGAATTGTAGTAAAGATTTCAAGTTTTAAAATAATAATTGAATTTGTTTTGAAGGATTTATTAAATTTTTAGAAAATAATTGAATTTTTAGAAAAGAATTTTACTATTTAAAAAAATAATTGAATTTCTTTGAAGGATTTATTAGAATTTATAAAAAATTAAAAATAATTGAATTCTTTTGAAGAATATTATTATTTATGAAAATAATCGAATTTTTTAGAAAAGACTTTTACTATTATATTTAAAAAAAAATTCAATTGCTTCGAAGGTTTTATTAAAATTTTAGAAAATAATTGAATTCTTTCGTGAAATGATTAGTAAACATTTTTAGTTCTTTAGTAATTTTCAAATCTGGAGAGTTATTTAGGCATTTTTTTTATAATTAAAAAACGTTTTTCCCAAATGGCAAATAATGTTTTAAATTTTATTATTTTTAAAAATTTTTTAATTTGTATTTGTTTACAAATTTGTTTCTTTATTCGTCTATTTGTTGTATTTACCAAAAATTATATTATTATCTTCTTATTCTTCATTCTTGTTTAGTTATTTGATGATGATTCTGATTCTGATTCTGAATAACCGATAATTTTTAATATCGATAAATTTTTGTAGATTCTATTATAATATACAATGTAAAAAAATTTAGAGCAAGAGAGAGAGATACGAGAGAAGAATTATGATATTAATAAACTTTAATGAGAGTTTTTTGGAGTGACGGATGTAGATTACCGATAAAAGAACATGGAGTGTCATTAACAAATAATTACGGTTTTCAATGGGGGCACATTGTAAGTCACACACACACTATAATTTCGTGATGACCTTGTGCTGGCCGTGTAAAGGTAAAAAAATGCGTATAGAATATTATAGGCCCTATAGCTAAGAATTTTGTTTAAAAATTGTAGTAAAATTTTTACTAATATCGTAGTAGAAAAATCCGAATTCAAAAATTACTCTAATCAAAAAATTAACGCATTCCTTTCTCACTGAACGTGAATATTAACTTTGAATTACCGTGACCTATTGCCAAGATGAAATAAAATCTCGAATCGACTTTGAACTTGAAAAAAATCTCGAATTAATTTCATGAAACATTAATCATGCGCAGAAATGATTACGTACTATTGTTTTTCCTCTGACAATTATTTTATTTCTGTTTTAAATTTTCAATTATTATTATTGTTTGCTGTCGAAAATAGAGAACATTTTCTTCGAAAAATTATTTTTCAAAATTTAATTATTTTCAAATTTATAATTAAACTCAAGATTTCCTGGATTATTCTTATTTTTATTAATTTTTATTTTCAAATTATTTAGTTTAAATTATTTCCTAAAGTTTAAATAATTAAAAATCATTTGTTTTTAATAGTTTCGGTTGCATATTTTCAAAAATTCAGTTAAATTAAAAAAAAACCGAAGAGAGTTACAATTTTATAAAAAATTGAATTTTTGTATTTAAATAGCCGAATTCTCCAAGAATTTATTTCTAAAAATAATTCAAAATAATTGATTAGTTGCAAGAGAAAAATTTTAATTGAAAATACAGGAAATAATATTGAATTTTATTATTTTGTATGTAAATTGACGTATAGTGAATGTAAAGATTTAAATAGATATGGAAATGTGGAGTATAAAAAAAAAGTTTCAATAGTAGAAACTACTTGAAGAGAATATTTGACTGCTTGACATATTAAGAATCTTGAAAGTTTTTCAAGTGGGTGGTTTAAATAGTTTGAAAGTCTGTTGAGTTGGATTTCTATTTTGTGTATTATTGTAACATTTCTGCTATTTTTAGCGCTCCTCATCTGTTGGAACTTTTCCCTTGAATTCGTTCAATTTAGATGTGAGAGAATTTTGATAAAACTATTTTGACTGTCAGGATAAATATTATAATTATCATTTTTCTATAATATTATTATTATCTTCAAAAATCATTTTTAAAAATCATTATTTTTTTTTACTTTAGTTTTTTTTTATTTGCAATTGTTTTATTTTATATTTTCTTCATTGTATATTTAGAGAGGAAAAAGGAATAATCCTCCATCTGAGGCGCAGATTCAGAAAAATCGATTCTTATCCTTCAACCCTCCGCATTTCCTGCCCTTAATTTCAAGGGTCTTTGCACGTCCAAAAAGAAAA